AAAGATCACATGGCAGTTTGCTGGAAATTGTCCATCGCCCATTTTTATTGTAATACTACAAAACCACATAACTATCAACCAGGTACCATGTTCATGTAAATATTGTCATTAATTAATTTGTTTTAAAATATTCATTAGCGTCATAACCGTGCTCATCGCTCCAGTGACCGACTTGTCTTTGGGTGCCATTTACTAACCTGATTGCTTTCATCTTGGTCCACCGCACCTATCCATTGGGATGCAGGTATATAATCATAGGGTCATTTTGGGGTTTAAAACCCAGTTTTTGGCGCAGAGCCTTCTGCTCCTCTCCCAGGCAATTCTCAGTTCAGGTTCTTTGGATGGTTTTAGACAAAGAAGAAAAATAACTTTATTCTGGGACTGGTGTCCCCTAAGAATAATTTACATGAACTAAATAAAGGAAGTACCTTCTATGAAGTTAAAAGTAAACAAAAAAAAATAGAAATCTTGGCACAATGTAACCAATAAGGCAGGACAGAAGAAAAAATTACTAGAACATTAAACAAAAATAACAAATGTTAACTTGAGGTTTCTGCTTGGAGGGAGAGGAGGTGATTATACAGGTGGGATTTAAAGGTGGAAAAGGAGGCAGCGTGACGAATAGAAAGGGGAAGGGAGTTCCAGAGTTTAGGGGCTCGGATCAGAAAGGATCTTTCGAAAGTATGGGTTGTATGTTGCGGAAGGATAAGGTCGATTCGGGATGAGCGGGTCTTACGAGTGAGATGTGAGGAGTTGAATTGGAGGGATTGGATGATGTAAGGAGGACGACGAGTGTGGATGGACTGGAAAAGAAAGCAACCTAGGAAATACTGTGCACGGAAGGCAAATGTGGATTCCATATGAGCCGCTGGTCTAGTGTGATCCCTAGATATTTGGTCTCCTTGGAAAATGGGATCAGGGAACCGTTTAGAGTTGGAGTTTTTAGGATTCCTCTTGTCTTCTTCCTGAAGAATGGACTCTTTTTTTCGGGGGGGGGATTTAATAACCTCCTCCTTTTTGCACCACCTGTCAACTAGATTGAGGGCTCGTTGTATACGATCCATTACATTGTCTGCAGGGCGGCCCTTTACTATTACGGCAAGGTAGTCCGCATAGCCTAGACAGTAGAATCCTTCTTGTTCCAGCATTTGTAGGAGTTCGTCGCCCAGAGTCGTCCATAGCAGAGGTGAGAGAACACCTCCTTGTGAGTGCTCCTGGGGAACTTAGTTTATTTAGTGTGTTTTTCAGTGTATTGATAAAAGGCTATATAATCTAAAACTATTTGGCATTCATTTTTCGAATGTTACTAATATTCCCTACTGAGCATCGGTGTTTGTTATTCAAAGAACGGTGGGATGGGATTTGATGCTCAAACAAAATTGCTTTCCGAATATTTTCCTATATCGGCTTCACTATAAAATCATTACAATTCAAATATTGAATTACATGCAAATTTCAAAATTGTCCACAAAAATAAAATGGCTCTTATTTACTTAGTTGCTGCAGGGATTTTTAATTGTCACCATTGTTGAATTTGTATAATTGTTAACTGTTCGATTGAAACTCACAAAATCGATCAAGTGGTTTTGCGAGACTTATTAAAAGGACTGAGTGTATTATGTTTACAATGCAGGTAGGAAAGAATTTGAGGATTTCAATAAAAGAGTAAAAGTTTTCTGAGAAGTAATAAATACGTATTGATAAAGAACATATCAGATTAGGACAAATGTTTGATAGCAGAAATGATGAATGATGGAGTGAGTGCAGTGTTCAATCCTTTTTAAAAAGATAGTTCCTTCTCATAGTAAGAAGTTTTGTAAATCCGTATTTCGAGCCCTTAGCTCATCTTCAGGTTGAAGGATTTCTACAACCACGTCTATCGACATGAATTGCAAGAGTGACCCGCCGATACGCCCGTTCCGATGAGAAGCTGATTATCCATTATCCATTATCCCCACTTTGTGCCGAAATATTCATGGATAAATTCGAAAAAAATCTTTTCAAATCAAACAACAAATTAAATCTTCATTTTTGGAAACGCTTAGACGATATTTTATGCATATGGTCGGGAACATTAAATGATCTCAAAGAATTCCTCCAACTAATTAATTTTCTACACCGTAATATAAATTTTACAATGGAAATTAACAAAGGTGGTTGTTTGAACTTTTTAGACCTAAAATTGTCCATAATAAACAACCTAATAGAAATAGACGTATATAGAAAACCCACAACTACAGACACTATGATTCCAGCGGATTCTTCCCACCCATGGTCCCAAAAGACTGCTGGTTTCATTTGGCTCATAGACCGTTTGTTAAAACTTCCATAAACACCTGCTACTACAAAAAATAATTAGAAACTATTAAAACCTTAGCAAAAAACAATGGGTATCTAGAAATATTTATTGATAGGTTGCTAGTTAAAGAATAAAAAATTAACTTTAAAAGAATCAACAATAGACTCAGCCACCCCACCATATATGAATCATTAGGTTTCCGTTGTTTGCCATACGCCAATTATCGGAAAAAGTTAGTAAAATTTTTAAACTTGAAGGTTTTAGAACCCGCTTCTCATTGGAACGGCTTGATTGCAAGGGCTCGAAATCCGGATCTTTGGAAAACGACTTACTGTGAGTAGGAACTATATTTTTAAAAAGGAATGTTTGATAGTACTGTCACAAAATCAAGTGGGGTCAAAACAGCCAATAATTTATTTTTAAATATGACATGTTCGAAGTTCTTGGGTGCTGCCCTCCTTGGATTCGATATCATTTTTTTTTTTTTTAATATTTGTAAATGTTTTAAATATCCTCCTTAAAAGATTAATTCCTATATTTGACTCTGAAAACGTAATTCCTAACCATCAATTTGGGTTTCGACCTCTCCATTCTACTGTTCAGCAGTGCTTCAGAGTAGTCGACACGATATCTTGGCTCTAGAAAACAAACAATACTGCTCAGCCGTATTTTTGTACGTCACGGAAGCATTTGACCGAGTATGGCACCCCGCCTCCTCTATAAGTTAAAATGTATCCTCCCTCATTCCTACTACCTTATCGTGAAATCTTTCCTCTCAGATCGATGGTTTAAAGTAAGAATCGGCACCGAGTTTTCACCTATCACACCAATCAAAGCTGGCGTTCCACAAGGAAGTGTCCTAGGCCCAATCCTCTACACCATCTACACTGCTGACATACCCACACATCCAAACACACAAATCACAGCCTACGCGGACGACACCGCAATCTTATCAACACACTCCAATCCTATCCTAGCAACAGAAGCACTCCAACAACACCTGAACCTTATTACCAACTGGTGCAATCTGTGGCGGATCAGGTTAAACGAACAAAAAAGCCAACACGTTACATTTACGCTCAAACGACAAACCTGTCCACCAGTGCACATTTACAACAAAATAATACCACCATCGAACCAAGTCCGCTACCTTGGGCTTTACTTAGATAGTAGACTTACTTGGAACCCACATACACGATTAAAACGGCAAGAACTTAACAAAAGATATGGACTACTCAGACACCTTCTTGGACCAAAATCAAAACTAAGCATACATAACAAACTAACCGCTTACAAAACACTCATCAGACCTATTTGGACCTACGGAGTCGAGCTGTGGGGCTCGGCCAAATCATCCAATATCCAACGAATTCAGTCTTTTCAATCTAAAGTTCTCCGCCGTATCCTCAATGCTCCCTTCTACGTCACAAATCAAACGATCCATAAAGATCTTAAAATCCCTTTCGTGAAAGATCTTATCCATACACGCTTCTTCACTTTTCACTCTAAACTCTCCCTCCATCCTAACTCACTAGCCCTAACTCTTTCCTCAACATCTCACCCTTACAATCCTCCACGCCGTTTAAAACGACGATGGCCTCGTGACCTTCTATCTAACCCACCGAATTAACTTTTACTCCCCCCCCCCAATTAAATAAAAGTTGGTTTCTCTCCCCACTGCCTCCTTGTCTGACAGGTCTGTCAGATTAGTTTATAACTAACTATTTGCTCAATGTATATTATGTACAGATAGCGATAAATAAAATAAATATCTTTTAAAAAAAAAATATTTGGAAGTGCGACTTGTTCAACTGAAATGTAGTTATCTTGTGTAAAATTTAATGTAGTTTGCAAAATGAAGGAAAATCGATTTCTTTTTCTTAGCTCCTGTAAACTCATAAATACGAAATTTTATTACAAACAAAATATTTATTTATGGATTGGATTAGCAGAGGGCAATTTTTTGAAGTTAGTTATTTACTTTATTTAGTTGTGTATTTCTTGTTACATAAAGGTTCTCAACCCTTATAAATCGGCCGGTATATTTGTGGAGGCGTTTCAGAGTTATCACCAATTTTTTTGTAATTTTCGTAAAAAAATCGGAGGCAGGAAGGCGAACATTATGAGAAGTTGTTTCCAAAAAATTGTATTCTGGTTTTTTTGGAGGTGCAAAGTATTTTTTTTCCAAAACCTCCCTTATATTTTCTAAATTTAAAACTTTTTTTTAAATCTTTTCCCCTCAGTGCCTTCCGCTCGTTCCATTCATTTCGGATCCTTTTCAACTAGTCTCCCTCTCAAATAACGCACTACCAACATTGGAGGTCATTTGGGGAATTGAAAATAACAGGTTTTTTCAGAGGTGTCACAATATGCCTACATGACTTAGAAAGTAATGTAGCAAATTTATGAAACTTGCTGATGTGTAGAGAAACCGAAGCTTCTAAGTTGTAAGAATAACTTCGTTTGGGTGGCACTGCACTACGTTTTATTTACTGAATCCACCATTCTTTTTTAACCCTCGGGGTGCCGGTTTTTTTTAAATTAATTTTTTTAAATTAAATAGTCAACACCGTGCCCTCGCCTTGACGCATGCCACCGACTCCCCCATTTATTAATTTTGTGTTAACAGATGACGTTGGGAAGGCAATTGGTATAAATGACGTAGCCTGACAGGTTCGTATAAATCCCGAATACAATAGCAAATTCGGTTAGTAGACATGAAAACTCTGTGCGCACTTTTTCTCGCCCTGCTGTTGCCTGGTAAAGGCAAAAAATTCTTAAATGTATTCGTACATTCTTTAGATAGACAAATACTTCTGAAATTGACATGACTATACTTAATTTTATACTTCACAATTATTACCTTAAATTTTAAGTTATTATCAAATTAAATCGGAAAATTGAGCTAATTTAATTTTTAATTGAAGAGGGGCTGTTAACTCAGAAGTGTGGAGAGTCGGTGGCAAGCAGAATCGTCGGTGGGACCAAAGCGAATACGAAACAATATCCATACTACACAGGTCTAATACGCAAGCATAACTTCAATCGTACGATGTCTCTTGCTTGTGGAGGTTCATTAATTAGATCAAATAAAGTTTTGACGGCCGCTCACTGCTACGACAAGTCGTAAGTGAAAATTAATTAAAACGTAATAAAAATAACAAAAAATGCTGGAAGCAGTTAGAAAATAGCTAGAATAACGTCTGCCCATATAAAATAAGAATTATCTGTTGAAAATTACAATCAAGAATTTTTCTCCTATCGTAATTGAAAACTAATTCATACGTAAGATAAGAACAAGAAATATAAGTAAAAGAGGTACATGTAAAATAAAAAGTATCTGTTCGAAATTAAACTTAAGAATAGTTGCAAGAACATATTTCATTCGGTTATTTGGGGTTTTAGGAAAACATATTGGATGACTGAGTATGTAGCAGTATTCGACATACAGGACAGATGCAACCGCCAATATGGTGGTTCCAGCGACATAATACATGTCGAAATGCATCCTCTGTGGAACACAAATACGTTCAATTGTGACTTAGCCATCGCTACGCTCAAGGATAACGTTCAGTACGACACAATATGTCTTTCACCGAAAGGTACAAATTTAAAATAAAATTTTATCGTTGTCGACAAGTCGTCATAATTTTCGTACTGTTTGAAAGGTTACAACAATTATCCGACGTCGGCCTACATAATCGGTCTCGGAAGAACACACGAAAATGGCTCGGCAGCAACCGTTTGCCACTTGTTGCAAATTTATATCACGATCTTTACTAGGGATACATGCTTGACAACAGATATGGCGGGAATCGTACAACGTCGCGCCGGTATCGTATGTGCGGGTGATTTAGAGGGCACGCGCAGCTCCTGTCAGGTAACAAACAGTATTTAATTCCCTTTTCCTTTTATGTCATACTTCATTGAATCATAAAAACAAAATTTTATGATGAATTCAATAATTAGTTTGTGTAAATTATGAATTGAGGCACATCAGCTCTCAATATGTGAGGAACGCCTTGAGGTGTTTTATCCTCATGTCCAGTTACAAGTTCTTTCTTGTCAGACCAGTTGTAAGTAACTTCATAAATAAGTTTTTCAAAGTGAAAAAAAAAAGTTATATAACCGATAACCGGAGCAGTTAGTTACCAAATCTTCACGATCAACGAATTGTAGCAATTCGTTGATCGTGAAGATTGAAGTTGATCGTATTGTTGTACTTACTTAACAAGTAATTAAGGTTTGTAGTTGATATAAAAAAGTCAATGACACGAGTGGGATTCGAACCCACGATCTTCGGCTAGATACGCCGCTGCTCTACCACTTACTCTACTGCTCGATCCACTCGGACTCTAACTTCCGACACTAACGATAGCTCAAGTGGTAGAGCAGCGGCGTATCTAGCCGAAGATCGTGGGTTCGAATCCAGCTCGTGTCATTGACTTTTTTATCTCAACTAAAAACCTTAATTAATTGTAATATATTAATTGGTCAAGCGGACCACGAAATTAGTGAATTTACTTAACAAACTTTTAATCCTAAATTAAACAATAAATAAATCTATTTATCATGTATTTATCATTAATTTTATAATAATTTTGATGAATAGAATATTTTGTTATCTTTGAAAAATTAAGATGTCTTTAAAAGATGTCTTTTTAAACCTTTTTAAAAAGATAGTTCCTACTCACAGTAACTTTTTTAGTTCTTAATATTTAATTTAGCAAGAACGAATTTTGGTGTTAGGTTTAATTTCAAACATTGGGAATTGTTCTAGATTGATTAGTTGATTTTTGAGCATGAAAGTCTTAATTTATAATAAAGATTTAAGTGTTCTTGTTTCCTGACTGATTTTAAGTAGTTGGATAGTAATGGTAGTATAATTAATTGCGTTATAATCCATTACTGCTTTGACTATCAAATTAATAGAAAAGATAAATGGTGAAGTGAGTGTGTCTCACTTTTCATCTTTTCTATTTAAAAGATATTTTCTCTTCAGAAATGTTTTGATTTCTATCAACCTCTTCAGTATGTGATTGATATATGTGATGATTTCATAAAACATTTTTCAGGGTGATAGTGGAGGACCGTTAATAAGGGTTGAGAGAGACGTTCATTATCTGCAAGGTAACTTCTAGTACAAATATATATTTAATATATCAATATTTTTTTACTAAACAAGTGATTTAACAAACGTTTACCAATGCCTGTCGTATAGGAATTGTCTCTACCGGTGTCGGATGTGGAAGACGAAATTCACCGGGTATATACTCCGATGTAACCGCCCACAGGATTTGGATTGACCGAGTACTTAAAAAAGCATCTCAAACCAATCCAGCGTCTGGTGCTAGGCCAACGTAAATATTACAGACAGTTTATTCTAATAATGCTTTACTATAGTGCCTATAATGGTGTCTTCGATAGTTCTAGGCCATCCAGAAGAGGGGCAGCGCGATCAAGAAGTTAGTGGTTATAGCAGTTATAGATCGTAAAATTCTAGGAAACATTCAAAGCCAAACAGGTACTTTTTTCCACAAACCAGGCCTAAAATATTCTATTTTTGATAGCTACTTTTTAATAATTGCATAATAAAAGATAATCATGATGTAGAAGTTTGATTACTAAGTATAACACAGGTAATTTTTCTTTTTTCGTCCAACTAGCGACTAGTAACTAATTGTAAGATGTTGAAACGACAAAATTTCACAATTTAGAAAACGAAAAATATAAAATTGTACTGAAATGTCGAAATCGCACTAGTCTTCTTTAGTGAGATAACATTAATATTTTATGTATTATGGTTTGAGTTTAATGAAAATTTAATACACTTTCATTAGTAAGTTTGGTAGTTCTTTTATACCATGCCCAAAACTGTACATAAAAATCAATGAATACAAAATAACTAGTAAAAATTTAACCCAAAATTTCAAAATGTAAGATTTTCAATATTCGTGCGGTTTTAACTCGTAGATAACAATTTATAAAAACAGGCACAAACACCAGCCTTGTTGACACAAGTGGCTTTATTGTGTGGTTAAAAATCTGTTTTTGCAGCCTGTCACGACTTAAAAACTTGGAAATTACTAATAAACTATCATGAACTATCAGGCAAATGTTTGACTATATCCGGTAATGTTGGCCTGCCTATTATCTCTCGAATTATTTATTTTACGTTACATTTGTAATGCACGTCAAAATTGTAAATTGAGATCAGTACTCCTGATTTTCTCGAGTGGATGTCTATATTTTATAGTTGTTTTCATTCCAATACGATGTCATGTTATCGAAATATGAGCCGGAATGGCTTCGACTGATGTGCATCGACACGGACTCCTTCATATTGTGGATAAATACGAATGCTTTCTTCAAATCGTAAGGACTCTTTCAGACGACTTGATTCAACTAGTTGAACGGAAGGGTGTCAAGGAGGGTAAAGTGGTAGCAAAATGTTTGGGAATCGCCCCAACACATTCACAAGCAGTCAACTCGTCTGCCCAGGCACAAGTGCCGCTCATGTTCTCATCCCCACTGGTTGACTCAACTATAAAGAGACTGCTCGGCATTCGTCCTTCACTCCAGTCACCTAGTTGAGTCAACTGAGCTCACCATGGAAAACGTTGCAATTGCAAGTTTCAATATTGAGCAGTTTGATTGATTTGATGATTGAGCAGAGAAGATATTGGTATTAGACCCGTGATATGGGACATGAGATGTGAGGAGTATAGTGTTAAAATTAAAAGAAGCGAAACTTGTGGGAAATAACACAACAGTATTCGAGATAAAATGCCCGTTTCCCAATTTTATAACAACGATAAACCCACACTTTTTTGCTTCTCTTTTTGAAGAAGAGCAAGCACAAGAAGTGCTCCTGCTTCCTCGGGTTCTAACATGTACTGACTTACAGTTGGAAAGAGAGGTTGATTCCACAAGTTGCTTGGTGTGAAATCGAGTCTTCACACGGCAGTAAACTGGTTGAGAGTCAACCGGGCAACTTAGTTGAATCAACCAAACCGCCTCTGCTGAAAGAGGTTTAAAGCCCATTGTAATGGGAGCTGGCAAGTCGCTCTGTATGTTTTATTGGTTTGTTTGACTTTTGACCCTCTTTTTACGCGAATTTACTCCCTTCATTTGAAAATTATTTCCTTCCAAGGGTTTCCATTCTCAAGGAGATTAAAGATCAAATTACAAATAATAGTAATTGTAATAATTTTTTAATTTTTTTAAACTTCTAATAGTGATGTGATGATACATATGATACATTGCCGTAAAATATTGTTTTAAGCACATATTAAATTAATGAAAATAAAATATATTTATTGACATGGATATGTCTTACGGCTGGGGGTCAGTCCGAAAGTTTAACACGGAAAATGTTACCACGTATGACGCGACGCGATTGACGTCTGTGACGCGACGCGATTGACGTTTATGACGCGACGCGATTGACGCTTTTGACGCATGTGACGCGACGCGATTGACGCTTTTGACGCATGTGACGCGACGCTTTTGACGCATGTGACGCGACGCGATTGACGCTTTTGACGCATGTGACCCGACGCGAATGACGCTTATGACGCGACGCGATTGACGTCTGTGACGCGACGCGATTGACGTCTGTGACGCGACGCGATTGACGCTTATGACGCGACGCGATTGACGCTTGTGACGCGATGCTTTTGACGCCTGTGACGCGACGCGATTGACGACTGTGACGCGACGCGATTGACGCCTGTGACGCGACGCGATTGATTCTTATGACGCGACGCGATTGACGCTTATGACGCGACGCGATTGATTCTTATGACGCATGTGACGCTAAGCGTTAAAACACGCGAATATATTTCGTATTTCAGTACCCACCGTCCTTTGTTATCGGTAACTAGCCGTACTGATTCCAATGCTGTAATTATAATCTAAATAAAAACAAATTTGTGTCAGTGTGTACGGTTTGAACAAGTACGTGCCTCTCCATCGCTGTTGACAAAACTCTCCCCTTGTGAGTTGTAATGAGCTTCCAAATAAAAACGATCCTCAAATTAATAAATAAGCGTTCCCTGATAATTTGCGAGTGTGTTTAAATAGCCATCATAAGACATATCCATGTACAGATGTATCTGCATGCAGTGTTTTTTATGACCACTCCTCTTCTTTTTTCACTTATCCACTCACTCCCTCTCCTTATATGTATAAGGAAGTTATTTCGTGATGAAATCTGAACTCGATTGCAAAGGGTTAGATAAGTATAAGATATACAGGTCTGGAGGGTTATGAAAATTCCAACCTCTGGACTTAACCACCGCGATTCTGCCCTCTGACGCTAAAATTGCATTAAAATTCCCTAATCCAAAATCCTCCGAAAAAATATAAACGTAACTTCTAACCAATCACTCGATCCAAAATGAATGGCCTTGTGGAAGATGACATAAAATTCCGCAAATCCCTTTCATTTTTACCCCAATCCCTTACTTTTAACCTTAACAACCCCTACCTTAATATCCTTAATATCCCAAACCAAGAGGTCAAAGCCTCGAGATCTGTTGGGCAGTCCCTAGTAGAAGTGTCCCCACTAGTTCGTGGTGCCCTAGTGCCAGATTTTATTTTATTTTAAATTTGAACAAATTAAGAATTTCACTTATAATATAGAAAATAAGTACTGTTGTAAAAATTTAAAAAAATATTTCTAGGTTGTTTAGCATTTTATAATTTTGAATATGTTCTATGAGAGGAAGTGTACATTAAAAATAAACAATTGATTAATAAATAAAATGTAATAAACAATTAACAAATAATATCTACAAACTATAATAACTATATTCTTTTTCTCGTTGTTTTTTAATGTAACAAATCTATGTATATTACAAGTAAAATATTGTCTAGAAACATAAGAATTACGGCAATGTTTTATTTTTATAATGAAAACCAATTTAATTTATAATGCATATATTTTGATATATAATTTATCGTATACTATATAGTTTATATATTTTTCCGCCTACTAGTCCCATCATACTAGTTTTATTTTGAACTATTACATATAGAAATAAATGTTCATTGTAAATGTTTTTAAAAAACAAACAAGCGTATTAAATACTGTATTGTACGACTTAGCTGTAAATGTTTTCTTTTACCATCCTGTTTGTCCACTCAACTCAAAAAATCTATGAAACCAAAGGTCTGGAAATAAAGATATCGTTAAAAACGACAACTTACTACTACGAATATTGAATCAATCACCTGTCTCAAATTACCGCATCGCGATCCACGCATTAGACTCGATATAAAACTTGTTCCTATTTGTGCATCAATCCAATCCCTGTGGTAGGAAACGTCGGTGTACACACCGGGTGAATTTGCCCGACCGCAACCTCTACCGAAGGAAGTGAGTCCTGTCAACACACAAATAAGCTTATATACGCTAACTTCTTTCTGTATAATAATAAAATAAACTCAAAAATGAATAGGGATATTTGTAAATTATTCTTATTCTATTAATTCTAATTAAACTCGCCAATATATTCTTGTTAGTTGGATAAAACAAAACAGAAAATACTGCCAAAAACGAACAAATATTAATCCTCATTTTTATTAAAGGATTTACTTAAGAAACACCTTTTCTCATCTTTTCTCCATGTTAATCCAGTTGTATTCTCTTTAACCATGGAAAGGCATCATCTCGAACCAAAAGTTTGCAATATTATTGTGAGAATGATTCATCGAGGTCATCTGCAAGTGGATATCGCAGAGGCGGTTGGATATTCTCAGAGCGTGATCACCCGGGCTTTATCCCGACTCCGAGAGACTGGACTGGAAGTGCCAATAGGAGGCCGGGTAGTGGACCCAGCCTATTAAGACGCTAAGGGAGGACAGAAATATTGTACTCCTGCAAGATGAAACCCTTTCCATAGTGCTTGATCCTAAAACAAGATGTTTGGCAAGGCCTTTTCAACACAAACGATTCGTAATCATTTATGGGAAGTTAGCCTCACATCGAATGCCCCTTTGCTGCAGCCCGCCACCAGCAACTCAGGAGAACATGGTGCAGCGAGCGCCTAGAAGAGAACAACAATTGGAATGCTTTTATGTTTACTGATGAGTCGCGTTTCTGTCTGTATAGTGATAGCAGGCGCCGAAGAGTCTACCGAGAACAGGGTATAATGTACAATGCCGTACAATGCCCCAGTTCGTGCTCCCTTCAGTGCAGTTTCGAGGAGGCGGTGTAATGGTCTGGGCTGGGATTTACACTGGACGGCGAACTGGCTCCATATCGTTTAAGGCCACTGCAGACTGTTATGTTCAAGAAATGATCGAGGAATACATCCCTCGAACCAGGGATTTCATTGGCTGTGATTTCCGATTTCTGGATGACAATGCCAGACCTCATGGAGCCCTTCCATTGTCTCCAGACCTCAATCCTATCAAGCACATGTGGGATGCGTTGCAGAGAAGGCTTTGCGATCACCCTCCACAGCCAGTTGTCCTGCAACAACTGAGTTCCTGGTTGCAACATCTCAAGAGTGAAATTAGTGGACAACCTAATTAATACTATGCCCAACAAGTGCACAGAGGGTTTAGCTAGCAGAGGACATTATACACAGTATTAATTGTTTTTAAAAAAAATATTGTGTTCAATAAACAAAATTATGGAATTAAAACCTTTCATTCTGTTATTTTTCGAAATCTCTTGATTAACTTTTCCTTTAGTAAAAAAACATAATTTCTAATAAATTATAATGCTATTTATAATAAAAATAAAATAAAAATTATTTAGGGAAAGTAAATACCACAATACCAATTGTCAATATCCCTTCATTTCATTTTTGTTCATTTTTGAGAAATTTAGGTAAAAAATGAATAATTTCATGTAGCTTTTTATTCCTAGGCTACAATTGCCAATTAAAATAAACAAAATTATGGAATTAAAACCTTTTATTTTGTTATTTTTCAAAATCCCTTAATTAAATTTTCCTTTAGAAAAAAACAATAATTTCTAATATATTCTAATGCAATTTATAACAAAAATAAAATACAAATTGTCAATATCCCTAATCATTTTTGAGAAAGAGAGAGAGAGAGAGAGAGAGAGAGAGAGAGAGAAAGAGAAAGAGAGAGAGAGAGAGAGAGAGAGATTTAATGTGGACTTTTATACCTTGTAGGATTTCAATGCCGTTCTCAAACCGTACCAAAGGACCCCCGCTGTCACCCTGAAAATCACATTAAAAAAATTATAACGTTGTTGCTAATATAATAAAATATACCATCATTTCAAACTTGAAAGAAAAACTAATTATAAAAGAGACATGAGAAGTGGTATATAAAACGACTCAGTTCGACAGAAATAAACATCGGGGGGGGGATGAAATTTCAGTCAAGCTAAACTCTATTGATAATTTAAAACAGTCAAAAAGTCTTTCAACGGAAAATTCTTCACAAGAAACTACGCGAAGAAAATTTCAATGGTTAAATAATGATAGAACATAGTCTAACCCATCAAAAACTATCGAGAGCATTGTCGATAGGTGGCACTAGGGAGATCTGACTCGTAGAAGAAGGGTATTATTATGCATTCATGCAAATGTCTTACCTGGCATGTGTCATGAATCCCGCTTTTAAGACCTGCACATACGATGCCAGAAACAAGTTTTATAAGTTGCTTTATTTCCGTTTGTAGGCATTCATTCTTAGGGAAAATCTTGACACCTGCCCTCATGAGTTTGCAAGGTTGAGATTTCCCTCCTTCCGTTGTTGCACCGTAACCGACAACGTAGCCCGCAGACGAAATCCCACCTCCTCCTTGTAAGCAAAATAATTAAGATTATATGATATCTTTGCTACTTGTGTTTTTTGTTTTTATTGATAGTATTTGTTTTTATCTGTATACCTTTTGGTGCAAGACAAACTGGGTCGTACAAGACATTCCGACTCAATGTCGCGATGGCTAAGTCGTTATTAGTCGTAAGAGGGTCATAGAGTGGGTGAATTTCAACTCGTATTATCGAGCTTGACGCACCATATTCACCTTTGCATCTGTTCTTCAGATCGAATACTGCAGACAGTTCCGACATCCAATTTCCTCCTTTCTTACGCCTAAAAAACCAAAAGGAATATTAAAGATGAGATGATGGATCGACCTGCTGTTGAACAACTTGGAACAAGGATCTTCGGTGAGGTCACAACAGAACGACAATTCATTCGATTATATCGACATCGAAAGCTAGGAAAAACTTAATGAATTGTTCTGTTGTGACCTTACCGAAGATCCTTTTTCCAAAAGGAATATTCTTTTTTTCTTTATACGAACGGATATATGATTTTTTGTATATCAGATTGGACTTTGATTTTTAATCATACTCATACTCACCTATCCGCATAGCAGTGAGCGGCTGTCAAAATTTTATTCGATTTGATCAAAGAAGCTCCGCACACAACCAGGAGCGACCCGTTGGATTTAAGTTGCGAAGAAAGTACTAAAGCTGTGTAGAAAGGGTGTTTTTCTGAATCCGTCTCGTACCCGCCCACAATTTTGCTCGCCGTCGACTCTTCACATGCACTTTGCGATAACGACTCTTAAAATAAAAATATATTTCATATCACAATAAAGTTTGGATTATAGAAGGAGTCGGCCTCTTTACGACCTGCGCACTGCGACCAGCATTGGTCTATTGTGTATCTCCATTTTGTCTAGAGCTCCTCCTTAAAACCTAGTACGCACTGGGATTCTTTGTTCGGACTCTTTGTCGCAGATTCTCGGATACATGTCGCAGACTCTTTGCCCCGCAACATTTTCGTTCCGGAAATCGTGTCCGCATTGACTCAATGTTGTGCATCATTGAGTCAATGTTGAGTAAAGAATCCCATGATGGAAAGTCAAAAAATACTAAAACGCAACACACCAGATTCAAGGCTCATTGTCATAGATCGTCCCGGATGCAAGAAAGTGAATCCCAGACAGAAGAGTCCGAACAAAGAATCCAAGTGCGTACTAGGAAGGCTTTTTACCAGATCCGAAAGCTTTTTCTAGGACTCCCGTGTTTACTTCAGACCAGGGCTTTTCCTCTCTCACGAGATGGATCTCAGCCTACATAAGCCTTCCCGCCACAGAGTACATGTTCCGCTGTCTCTTCTTCTTCCTGGCATCATCTTGTTTCTGCCACTCTATACATGTGTGCAACTAGCAGTCCAACTACCATTCTAGTCCTCACTCGTCCTAGATTTAGTAGTTCTGCTGTTAGTTCGTCTGATGGATCCACGTTTTGGGCAGTTTGATGGCCACAAAAGGTTTATATAACGTAATATATATTATATCATATATCATATCATAGATGTATGTGGTTAGTTTAGTTTTTTATCTTAGAATTGTGACGTAAGTAAAATTTAATCAAACTTAGTCTAGGTCAAAACAAGCCAATATCCATAAAATCACAAGGCTTAGTATGTATCCTAATCTCTAAATTTTCCAATATAAATTTAGCTGGATCAAAAAATTATTGATCCATAGATTTGTCAGGTAGGAATCCATATTGATTTTTGGCGATCAAATCATTCTCATTTAAATCATTGATATTAGACGATAATTACCTAATTATTGCGTAGAGCCATTTTTTATAAAACGATTATGGTTTGAATTTTTCTTGGAACATCCCAAGTTTATAGGAAATATTAAATATGTGAAGAATGGGAAGACAAATTTAGCTGATTTTTTTAAAACATAATTTGTATGAGTATCATCAACAAATAAGTTAGTTACAAACAACTAACAACTGGGAGATGTAAATTTAGTAGTCCTATAATAAAAATGTACATTTTTACATTGTAAAGTTTATGACCTGAATATTTATTCAGTTCTGAGAATAAAATTAATTAAATCAAAAGCTTTGGCTGTTTTGTTATGAAAATTTCTGTTTACATTATGAATAAGAAAATATCGAATTCACAAATTCAGATATTACATTATCTAAAGAAATTAAAAATCGCGTACCCCTATTGGATTTATACAAAGTACCTCAAAGAAATGCTTTATATGCTTAAAAGAAAAAAAGTCCCTTGTTTAAACGGCGCAAGTCAGCGGAATATTTTAATACAAAAAAATCATAAAATCATTAAGAAAAGCAGTTATATTTGCATTTTAATACGGATTTACAATTTGGTCTTTTTCTTTACCTGGGATCAGCAGAGCGATGAGAAGAGCGCACAGGGTTTTCATGTCTACTGACCGATTTTGACATTGGACTCGGGATTTATACTAACTTGTCCTTCTGAGTCATTTTTATCGACCAGTGATCTTTCGTTCGCCACCGCTGAAGCTAAGGAAAAAAACAATAAAATATCATATAGCTATTGCATCGTCCTTAAGCATTATGTCCTTAAGAATGAAGTGTTAGAATAATTGGTGAATTTTTTTCAATAAATAAACTTAGATTACCCTGGAATTATGTGAGTATATGAGCAACTTCTATTTCATACTTCCATAAATAGTTGAAAACTTTTTTGGACCAAATGCAAAACAACAATTTCCAGCCTAATGTTTATTTAAACGAGTTATTGCTCATATTTTTAATACTGACATATACTTAGTTTATATGACGTGCATAAATATCAAAAGTGCCTGAATTATTTTTCGTCTTTCGCAAAAGTCTTCTGGTGAAATCTTCAGGAAAGAAAATTTAAGATCAGTCTACTGTAAAAGGCTATAATACGTATTTCTCAGCAATGCCTCGTAGAACCACGCTAAGATTTTAGAAATGCCAAAAAACCAGTCGTCAAATAAACAGATCAAAAATGAATAAGGATATTTGTAATTTATTCTTATTCTATTAATTTTAATTAAATTAACCGATATATTCTTGTTAGTTGAATAAAACAAAGTAGAAAATACAAAACCAAAAACAAACAAATGTTAATCCTCATTTTTAATAACGGATTTACTTAAGAAACACCTTTTCTCATCTTTTCTCCATTTTAATCTAGTTGTATTCTCTTTAACCAAGGAAAGACATCATCATGAACCAGAAGTTGTGAGAATTATTGTGAGAATGAGCCATCGAAGTCGCCGGCACGAGGAAGTTGGCGATTCTCACAGGTGATCAACCGGGATTTTTCCCGACTCCGAGAGACTGGAAGTGCCATAGGAGGCCTGGTATGCAAGGGTTGCAAGACGGAACCCTTTCCATAATCCCGCCAGATCCTGAATGAAGTACAAGATGTTTTGGCAAGGACTTTATCGATACAAACCAATCGTAATCATTTGTGGGAAGTTGGCCTCACATCGTATGCCTTTTTGAGACGACCTGCAGCAACAGCCCGACACCAGCAACTATGGAGCATGTGTTGCAGCGACCGCCTAGAAGAGAACACCAATTGGAATACTATTACGTTTACTGATGAGTCGCGTTTATGTCTGTATAGTGATAGCAGGCGCCGAAGAGTCTACCGAGAGCAGGGGATGCCTACAATGTGCCCAGTTCGTGCTCCCTTCAGTGCAGTTTCGAGGAGGTGGTGTAATGGTCTGGGCTGGGATTTACACTGGAGGACGAACTGGACTCCATATTGTTGACGGGGCAATCTCACCGCAGTCCGTTATGTTCAAGAAATTATCGAGGAATAAATCCCTTGAACCAGGGATTTCCGATTTTTGGATGACAATGCCAGACCTCATGGAGCCAGACCATTGTCTCCAGACCTCAATCCTATCAAGCACATGTGGGATGCGTGGCAGAGAAGACTTTTCGATTACCCTCCGCATCCAGTTGACCTGCAACTACTGAGTGCAGCATTGCAACATTTATGGGCTGAAATTCCTTATGAAATTAGTAACAACCGTATTAACAGTATGCCTAACATGTGCCCAGAGGTTTTAGCTAACAAAGGACATACACGGTATTAATTGTTTAAAAAAATATTGTGTTCAATAAACAAAATTATGGAATTAAAACCTTTCATTCTGTTATTTTTCAAAAAAATGCTAGGGAAAGTAAATACCACAATACCAATTGACAATATGCCTTCATTTCATTTTTGTTCATTTTTGAGAAGTTTAGGTAAAAAATGAATAATTTCATGTAGCTTTTTATTCCTAGGCTACAATTGCCAATTAAAAAAGAACGGTAGTCAAACAGTTAGAACCAACAGGCTAAAATTTCTTCAAAAATCATGAATCAAGAAGAAATTCAATCTCATACAATCCCTTGTCTTATTTCGTAATCACTTTCGAAATAGTCTTTAATATAAGCCTACTAATTACACTCAAATTGGTAAAATTCTGCGTACAATTTTTAACAGCCTTTAAAACATTAATTAAAAACTGCCTTAGGAGCTAAGCTAAAATTTTGATTATACAAAAACAAATAGTCTGGAAAAGAAATCTAAAATTCCTCTTGTCAATTTGTAAATAACAGCAATTTCTTGTACAATCTTCTCTGAAAGTCAAGAGAACAAGTGTAATATTCTAATTATCTATACTGAAAACCTAGAAGACAAATTAATAATAAATAAGAATAAATGTCACATAACATAATTTTATCTTGGTTTATTTCGTAATCTTAGAGCTTAGCTTAAAAATCAGACACAAAATCAGCCGAACTGGATACAACGTTGATTATCTTGCTTTTTCGTGCACTTTAAAGATCAGTTTTATCTACCTGGGCCAAAATTCTGCTTTTAAATACAGTCTTATCAAATAATTAATTATATTATTAATGTATTTAACCCTTAGGCCTGTATAAATTCTGCCGGATCCTGCCATCTTTGGGGACTTCGACTGTTTTTGCCAAAGCCCAAAACGAAGACGCATCGGAATTTTCTTCTTATTTCCTGTCCGATGGAGTTCGGTCGGTGAAACCGATGAAGTATTTTATACGACCATTTTACAATAAATTATTGGAAATTTGTGCATCCCGGCAACACTAGATCGATCGCTACAATTATCTTCATTTTTTCATCGCAAAACGACTCGCTTCACCTCCTAAGGCCAAGGCCGATCCTTTCCTTTTCACGTAACAATAATATTTAATGTTATTAAAAAAAAATCAATGTCATTTAAATTGTTCCCGTTTCGGTCCTAGCTAAAAAGTCATCTTGTACAATTGGTACAAATTGGAAAAATTTCAAACAACTTGTGTACTTAACGAACTTGGAAAGTTCTAACCAAATAGTTAAAATTTTGTTAGTACACAAAATTGTTAAAAACTGACAAATTTTAAACAATGTCTCGTGGCTAACGAATCTCGACCCAGGTTAAAATGGTGGTTGTGCACAAAAAAAATCAATAAAACGTTATACGTTTTCTTGCTGTCTCATGTGTAACACCCGGGATAAAAATTTCCGCAAAAATCTTTAGCCAAACATCAAACATTTCTCTCTTAATTTAGTAATTATTTTGGAACTTCATTTATAAAGATTATCCTTAGCTACCTGCGACGAAAATCTGTCTTTAAATACATTCCTTTCTTATAATATACATTATTGAAAGTGCCTGGCTCATAAGGGCTGTCAAAAGTGAAGGGCTTTACCCCAAAATAGAGACTGGGAAGAAGGCCAGTTGTTAAACATGCCAGGAAGACGGTTCATCGCGATTTTCTCCATCTGCCTTGCAGCCCTTTCGACTTACGCCCAGTTCACGGACTTGGGCTCTTTAGGCGGCTCCCCCTTTTTTCAGGAGCAGTTCCGATGTCCATTTTGTTGTAAGTTGCTCGAATCATGAAAATTTGAACATCACTTGGCTTAGGCCTTAGATTATAGATTCGTTGTACTTTCCCAGAAATAAATACCTTCTAAGGGCTAAGTCGGTCCTTACACACATTTTTATTTCCAACTTTTGAAATTATTTGTGTAACAAACACTTATTTTTTAATTTCATAACTGTTTACTGCTGCTCTTTAAGTTATAATTCGGCGATTTTATTGTAAATCGAATTATTCAAACAAAAAGGATTCAAGGGAATCCTGATCTTAAAAGAAAGCTTGGTGCGTTCTCAACCGAAAAATTGTAGTTATTTTAACAATTAAAATCTCATTAGCCGACAGACAGAAATTTAAAAAAAAAGTTATTAAAATTACGATAAATTTTAGCAAAAGTAGACAAAAATGTAATTTTCAATTTCATAAGTCACAACTCAAGATTCGCTTAGATGTCTAAATATGGATAAATAAAAACTTTATTATTGATTTAACTATTTGGTAAATTGTAATGACTCTTAATATAATTGTTTCAGTTTTTTGTACAAATTTTTCTTTTTTGTCTGAAATTTTTAAAACTACTTTCTTTTACAGTTTTGATATTCTTGTTTTTATTAAATCTTTTATCAATATAAATCAGTGGATAGCCTTTTTTTAATATTTAAGAAAGAAACAGTAATTGTGAGAGTATGTGATTCAAAATATGAAAATTTGAGGCAACTAGAAACCATTGGTCAAAAATTAGCATTCATAAAGGATCCTGCAATTTTAAAAAATAATAAGTTTAAGATCAATTTTATTTCTTAAATCTTATATTAAATTATTTGCAAAAGAACAACTCTAATTGGCATGAAAGATTAGAACATTTTATTATATTCTAGTCAAAAGTCAAAAGAAAATAAACTTATTAGAAAGACTATTAAGGTCTTTTTATTGGTGCAATATTACTTATTTTTATTAAATTTAATAGTTAATAAACCTCTTGATTATATTAAATTTCTCAAAAATAAATTTTGATGTGAATATTTATTTAGATTGTGGTCGTACGATGAGGGTTGAAGATGGATGGGGTAGAATTGTCGGTGGGTGGCCGACAAAGCCTCGTGAATACCCCTGGATGGTGGCACTAGTCACAAAAGAGAAAAACCGATTGTTTTGCGGCGCTTCAATTATCTCGGATATTTATGTTCTCACGGCTGCACATTGTGTAAGGTAAGTTATAATATGTTCTGTGTATAATATATAATAGATGGCTGAATTTTTACAACATAGCTTCTTTTTTTTCGGTCGTTCTTCTTCCTCAGAGGGAAAAGACGTACAGAAATACAAGTTGTTTTGTCAGATGGGGATCACGTCGACATGGAACCAGGAATGGCAGAAAGGAGAGACATTGCAAGGATTATAGTACACAAAGAATTTCACCAGCCGAGAAGGTACAACAATGACATTGCCCTGCTAAAACTTACCTCCGCAATAAAAATTGGTTTCGAAAGGCCTCCAGTTTGTTTACCCATTCCAGGTAGGAGCATCTTTTACTGTCAAACTCAATAAAACAAAATTAATTAAAACTTGTTGAGAAGTTGTTGGGAAAAAAATGCATTTGGTTAAATTTAATAATGTACAGCAGATATTATATATTTACTATAATATTCTCCATTCTAATTTTTAAAAATTATATTAATTCTTTTTTTATTACAAAATAGTGAATGTTGGGCATACATCACTGTAAATAATCCATAATATATGTACTGCAATTTACTCCAATAGAGTGAAGGAAGTTTCAATATTTCGTCTGACTTCTCCATACATTCATGCAATAAAAACATGAAAACGTTAAGTATAACAACTACATACAAAAGAAAATAATTATCTTCGAAAAATTAGAACAGAGGACAGAAACTCTCTGCCTTGATCAAGAACAGTTCTCATATCAAATTGCATGCCTACATGCTCCCTATTGAATCCGAGACACAAAAGATTACAAAAGTGTGGACACGACCTTTTTGTCACATACATACGTTTTGGTCCTGGCTTTTTTCTCCCTTATTATTTTTTTTAATTAATTAAAAACAAATATCAAATTAATGTGTTTTAATATTTTAATTTATAAATTGTTTCAATTTTCTCCTTATTCATTTTTTTTTCTTCAATGTTATTGAAAAGAATATGGCATAATTTAAAATTGTTTATTGCCCATTTAATTCAAATATCTGTTCTTTTTATTAATGCGTATCAGCAGTTTATTAATTTTATTTACTTTTTTTTAATAGAATACTTTCTCGTTTGTTAAGGCCACAGTTTTGCCGGTGACATGGGACGGGTGCTCGGTTGGGGATTGACTGCCGAGAACGGTACGAAATCATCTTGGCTACAAGAGGCTTCTGTGCCCATCCTCAGCAGCAAGAGTTGTTCATCACTTTCTGGGTTCATGTCGATCACTCCTGGGATGATGTGCGCCGCCCCACTCAGCGGAGGCGTCGACGCGTGCCAGGTGTAACGCGCATCGAATATACAGCGAAGTGTTTTTATTAAAGAGAAATTTAATTCCAGGGCGACAGCGGTGGGCCACTTTTAGTTCAAGAAGATGACGGAAGAATTGTTATAGCGGGTATGTTAAATTAAATTATATTTTCTTTTTTTAAATTTATTAATGGTTTTATTTCAGGAATCGTCTCTTGGGGAATAGGATGCGCGAGACCGAACAAACCTGGGATTTACACACGCGTTAATCATTACATCCAGTGGATTGTGGACCATACAAAAGATGGTTGTTATTGTTTTTAAAAGAAAAATACTTTTTATTTATTTTATTTATTTATTTATTTTAATTAAAAAAATTTACACCAATTGTTGAATCCTCCAAATTTAATCCCATACATTCATTTTATAGGCAATCAAAGTTGGACAAATTAAAACTGTATAAATGTATTTACAAACGGTCAAATACTTCTAATACATCAGTACTGTCATATTCAAAGTTATAAAAGTATATTACCATGGGGGCTGAGTCTTGTAGTATTAGCCAACTGGCAGTTTCGGGTACTTGAAATTTTATAAGAAAGTTAATAAAAAGTGTTATGAGGCGGTGTGACTCATAATGGAGGTAAGCCCTCACCTTTTGCCTTACTTACAAATTGTAAAATACTTCTAACATTGCCGTAAAAAATAAGCCAAGTTGAGAATAAGAGCTTGACATATTTTGAGATTATTCATATTTTGTTGAAATCATGAGGAGCGGTCAAGAATGAAGTATTTTACAGGGAAAAAACACATTATTTATATTGTTATGGTCATTAAATATATTCCTAAGTGTTCCTATTTGTAAAGAATTTATCTTATGTAAATGGCAATTGGCCGCTACTAAAAAATTGTTCTGACCCCCTAAGGACGCACAATCTACCTTACTTTACTTACAAATTGTAAAACACTATAATTCATTCAACATTGTCAAACACAACATTATATAAGTATGCTATTCTAAATACAACACACAAATAATAATTTGCATTATTATACGTAAATTTGCACATAGATTTGCACTATTAAAATAATAGGTGGAAAAGATTAATTTGCTCCATGTTAAAGAATTATCGAAGTGAAACTTAGTAAATGTTTAAAACCTGAAACATCACAATTTGGAAGAAATTTAGATTTAAAACAATTTCATTTTGACTCAATTTATAATGAATTTCATATTTGTTACAAGTGTACTTTTTATTATTGTGGTATCGGTTACATCAATTATGCAAAACCGAACTGACAAATTTGTTTCTCTGGTTAGTCAAAAATAACACTAAACTTTTGTGTATTATATGTATCATTTATTTTTTTACAATAACAACAAAAACTACAAATGCTAGTCCATATAACTTACTATTTTACTGTGTGGTGATTAGTGGCTGTTAGTCAACGATTATTCAGAAATCGTGAGATGCGGTCTAGTGTAATGTAGGTTTCACAAAAATATTTTCTTTATCGTGTCAACATTTCGATCCTTATTGAGATCATCTTCAGGGCCTGGGATTTACAAACATTGTTTAAATTCAACAAAAACATGTAGGATGTGGAAAAAAGTGAATTTATACCATGCAAAAAAATATTTTTTTATATTCAATCAAAGTATTTCTGCTCACTCAAAGTGTTTGTTTTCTGCGTAATTGTGCCATTCTTGCGTGTCATATTGAGTGAGAGTGCCAGTGAGATATTGCTGTTTTTTGTATATATACGTTGGATTTTAAAAGGATGGGGAAGGAAGTCAGTATAGAAAGACATTTTTGTATGAGTCGGCTTCTTTGTTAAAGCATACATAAAATCCAGCATACATAAAGCATACATTCACATCCTACATGTTTTTGTTAAATTTAAACAATGTTTATAAATCCCAAGCTCTGAAGATGATCTCAATAAAGATTGAAACGTTGGCACGATAAAGAAAATGTTTTTCTGAAACCTACATCACACCAGACCGCATCTCACGATTTTTGAATAATCATTACTATTTTACATTAAATATAATATGAGAACTATAAAAGTAAATTTGAAAAATTAAGTTTGCAGTTCAGTTGTTTCTGATCATCCTATCCTTGCTGGTTGGATCTGTCAAACTCAAAATTTAAGTGTTTGGTCTGTGTGTTATTTTCTATGCTACACCGATCCAACAAATGAGGTTAGCCAGGACCATAATGACTGAAAACCCAAATTACACATTATACTCACAATTTAAAAAGTTTCCTAAACAAACTGCACTAAAGAAAGGGGAAAGAGAGCAAGAAACTGACAGAGAGGAAGAGAAAGAAACAAACACACAGACATAAAGTAAAAAAAAAATTAGACAGTAAATGGTATAAAAGATCAAAAGGAAAGATAAAAATAAAATAGTAAGGGATAGTGGTAGTGAGAATGAAGTGATAAGTGAGAGAGTGGTTGAGTGAAAGATATATACAAAGACACATGACACAGATAGACAGATATCAAGAAATTAAATGATGTATACGAACAGAGATGAGAGAGAGAGAGAGAGAGAGAGAGAGAGAGAGAGAGAGAACAAAAGAGAGATTGCAAAAAATTTTCCTTTAGTTGATTTTTCTTACAAAAAAGTTACTTTTTAGTGTGTACAATTGTTACAGAGGAAACCTAAGATGAAATTTAATTTCGGTGATCCCACTGAACACAGTTGGCTTATTGTACTTATGAGAAATATATCTTTCCTTTGCTCTGGGGCTTTAATAAGTTCAACGCATGCTATTAGTGCAGCACACTGTTGGTAAGATTTATTTCTCAAATTTTAATAAATTTCTGAACATTGTAATAAACAAGGTATTTTTAGTGCAACAGATAAAAATCGTAAAACCAAAGCCGTTGTGGCCAATCTTAAAGTTTGGGTCGGAGTCCATAACAGGTTGAATTTTCATTCAAAGTATACAGTTGGATATAATGTTGAATCCTGCAGCTTTCACTATATCAATCAGGGCTTTTCGATAAACCATCTGTATGGATTAGCATTGATAAAAACTAAAAAAAGAATTGAATTTAACTTCATTGTAGCACCAATATGTCTTCCGACAAAAAGTTATTATTATTATTATTTTTTTTAATTTCCCTATCTTTTTTTTTAAGATAATGGCGTTAATTTATTTCAGACTGCCAGACTGACATCAGTTCATGTATTGACTTGAAAAAGTACGATGTCAATTCGTACGGTTGGGGTGCAGATCGAAACATAAGGTTGGAAACGCCAGGCCTTTTCCCTAAGTCTGAACCGGTTTGGTATTTGGACAAGGATAAATGCAAGCATAAACATTTTACAAAGCATTCATTGATCTACTACGAATGTGTCGTGGGGCTTAACAGCAAGAAGACATGTTTGGTAATTAAATGTTAACAATTTGCTTAATAAATTAAGGTTTTTAGTCGAGATAAAAAAGTCAATGGCACGAGCGGGATTCGAATCCACAATCTTCGGCTAGATACGCCGCTGCTCTACCACTTGAGTTATCGTGACCTCGATCCACTCGGACACTAACTTCCCATCTCAACTACACCTTTTGAATTTTACCTCCTTTTTGCATTTTTCATTTGCATTTCATTTTGAAAAATGGCAAAAAGGAAGGAAAATTCAAAAGGTGGGGTTGAGATGGGAAGTTTGTGTCCGAGTGGATCGAAGTCACGATAGCTCAAGTGGTAGAGCAGCAATTAGTGAATTTGCCTAATTATAAAACACAATAATTTTAAAGTTAAAAATTACATCGTAAGATCATAAATCATATTCACTTGAGTCACAAACTAAGGATTGCACAGAGAAAACGCAAAATGTAAGAGTATTTATTAGCATGAATATAGTTTGAAATACATATAGACTGAAACATATCTAAGCTTATGTGCTTTTAGATTATTTCTATATTTGTATTTTTATTACTAAATAAATTGTTTTATTAATAATTTTAATTTAATATTTATAGCTTGTTCTAATAGCTAAACTAAATTATTAGGGGCTCAGCGGGACTCCTGTCATTGCTGTTGACAAGGCAACTAAAAAAACTGTTCTCTTAGGTAATTATTTCTCAACTGTTTTTATTTATACAGCATTAAGCTGTAAATATTGAGACTATTTTTAATTTAATTTCAGGAATCATTGCAGCTGGACCGGTTTGCTTCCATCATGTCAATATATATAAAGCTTATGTCATTAGCGTAGGAGCACTGGATCATCATCTATTGCCTGAAGAAACAAATGATATAAAAGCGAAACATGATACACAATCAGAGATTTGTACACGGTCCATTTCAAAGAATATAACAAAACAATGAATGATTTATTTCAAACTATAAAATTGTATAATTATTTATAAGTTTTATTTTACACAAATTTCGAGCTGTACTTGAGGGAATGTGAAACTATTTAGCACAATTTCCAAGATGTGTCTTGTGATTTTTTTAAATTATCATCATTATTATCATCTGCAATTTAAAATTATAATTCTAATTACATGATACATTTGTTTACATTTATTTACATAGTTGATTTGAATTGAAGGGAGCAAATAATCAATGTTATTCTCCCAATTTCACTTCACAAGTCCGATTAAGTCGTGTGAGGTTTGCACACGAACACTTTTGGGCCAAAGCGTCCATGGGTCCAGTATGAGGAGAAATGCTGCTCAACATTCATCTAATTCAAGGTGCAATTCCTTGGCTTGAGCCTGGCAGCTAGTATATGGGTCCTCTGTTTGATTTCTTGGAGGAAACAGGGTTGTTTTATTGTATATAGAAATGATAGTGTCCATAGAGGGTGTTTGGAGTGAAAGTATTTATTAGCGTGAATGTGTAGTGTGAGAGATGATGGAATGTTGAGTATCCAAGACCTCAATTAGGTTAGTTATAATAGGTTATAAAAGGTGATGGAGGGATATTGAGTATTCCACCCTTAGTGAATGGTAAGTAAATAAGAAAGAATGTATTTAAGAATGAGTGAGAATGTGAATGGGTGACTGATTACGTTGTGGGTTGAAATGACTAGCAGTTGATAGCTCTTGGAGCCCAACTGGATTGAGGTCTGACCATGGACTGCCAATACCATGTAATGTGTGTACAATTTTGAGCTTATATCAATCAGTAATTGATCACTTCATTTTACTAATTTAAAAGTGAGTGAAAGTGAGAATGGGTTTGGATTTAGGAACTGAATATGTTGGGACTACATTGGCCTAGACGATGATAGCCCCTGAAACCCAACCTCAGCAGCTGGACAGATCGAGGTCTGACCCTCAACTGCCAACACCCAGGGTGGGTGACTTGAGGCCCACCAATGTTCATTGTAAATTACAAAAGCTGGAATTGCCGGTGGACTGCAAAAAGTGATAGAACTATTCCTGACAAAGAAAGGTCTCATAGGAGAGGATTGTAAAATTGGGATCTATTGGGGAAGGGTGGGCAATACTGGGGTGATTGCCCAGTTACTAAGGAACTTGGGGTTCAAAATTCCCAGTTTGGAAACGTTCATCACCGGCCTGACAGGAGGATTCATAATTGATTATCCATGTCATGGCATGGTGTGAATAGGCTAAAGGGGCTCTGATGACCTACCCTTTGAGTGAGGTACCCAATTTGCCAAACCACTCGTCACTAAACAAAGTTCTATTGAACCTCTCCCCCCTGTTCAGTCCCATCACTCATAGTCTTGGGCTAGACAGCATCAATCGCCCCAATCAAAGGTGTTATGTAAACCGTGCCGAGACTGATTGACAGCCAAGGATAAGTAGCTGTCTTGAACAGTGCCTCTCTGATACTGGGCGACCTCAGAGAGTAATCGGCCTTAGTACATCAAGCAGTACTTGGAATGGAGTGGACCATTTAGTTCCCTACCTACTTGGAATCTTATGAGTAAAGTAAATGAAATTCACATAAACCTGAAGCAGGACATCACTTCTTCAAAAACTCACAGTAATTTGGAGACAAGCCTTCAGATGGACGTTCAGTCCACAGGAGAAAAGGAGAAGCTACCTCTCCCTACAAAAGAAAGCCAGCAGGTGCTGCTTGGGAAACCAATCGCACACAAACGAAAGGCCCAGTACCTTCAAAAGTCCACCATAAGCAACACAGCTGTAGTTGAAGAGGGGGAAGATGAGGAAGTATGAACTTTAACTTGAATATGAAGTATGAACTTTAATTTGAAAGGATTGGAGACATTGGATATTCGAAGGGCCTGCTTTAATTTGTACACGAGACATCACAAATAATTTGAAAGGATTGAAGATGCTGGATGTTGGAAGATTTAACGGTTCCCACAGTTTTGAACCCTAGTCCAATAGGTTATAGTTTGTACATTTGTTTTCCATTGTTAGCTTGGATTGTCATCTTTATAAGTTTTTTAAAATAAACCAGTGTCTGTTTAAGTTTTGTTGTTTCAGCAACACATGATGATTCCAAGTTAATCCTGAGTCTGGGTTGAACCCAAGATAATTACACAGACAGAATCAAGGATAGAAACATTATTCTAGTATACTGTGAGAGATTTACTTCGGAGTGTAAATGTTACATGGACACACTTGCATTCATTTATCTTCATTTTCTATTGTCTAACAAATCTGCTATACATGAGATGTATATATTGAAATCTTCTGAAGTAACTGTAGTTTCCTGGTCAGAGTATAGTACTGCTGTCAGCAAAGGTGTCTGTGGAATGAAGGATATAGCAGTACTCCCATTACCAGAGAGCAATATTTGAAGTAATTTAATCTTTGTTGAATCCAAAAGAATCACTCTGGTAGATTAAGTATAGGATATTTAATTTGTACAGGAGACCTTTGTGCCACAGTAAAGCCAGAAACACACTTACTCGATGCTACGCCATGCGTCGCATGCAATCCAAACTCCGATTTTCCATAAGATTGCATTACCCCCGTGCACATCTACCTGGTGCTATGCCACGCTAACCTACCCGACGCTCTGCGATCCCCACTGTCCAGATTTTCATCGGGTCGCATCGACTACAGTCGAAGACAAAAGAACCAGACTCTCATATTTTTATTCAAACTACATGTATTATTGTCGTTATATTAATTACAACATACTTATTTTAATAGAAACCAAATTAACTGTGATTAAAAATTAATTAGTTTTTATTTAAAAAATTAATTTTAATGGTTTGGTAAAAAATGAAAACACCGGAATACGATTTTTTGATATAATGAATTTAACTAACAATTTATTGTACTCGCTTCGGTGGTACATATACTAAAATTGGAACAATTTATTACACCGTTTTGCTTATAAAATTTAATTAACAATTTATTTAATAATTTTGCTCGTAAAATTACACCATTTTCTAATGTCGGGTAGCATCAGAACAGGGTATCAAAAAAACAGAATATTTTTTGTAGTTTATTTCAAACTAAGTACTTGTAATTTTGTCATTATATTAATTACACGTTATTTTAATGTAAACCAAATTAAACGAGATCAAAAATGCATACGTTTTTATAAACATTGTTTAATTAGATGGTTAGGAGTAACTTTATTTAAAACAATTAAGTTTAACAAACAATTTATTACATGGCTGTACAAGGTTTTGCTCAAAATAGTGCATTAAGAACAAAAGATGCGTTGCGATTGTGATAGTGATTATTGTGATAAACGCTGTGGACTGTACGCGACGTGTACTTGCGTCGGATAGATGTGCACACCCCACCAAAACGTGGTAAGGCGTCGGGCAGCGTCGCATGGCGTAGCATCGGGTAAGCGTGTTCCTGGCTTAAGAAAGGCTCCTAAACAATATTCTTTGCACTCGAGGGAGTAGGATTCAACAATGTGAAAAAATTCCAGGACTGTGGAATGGTGCGAGTAAAAGCCAAACTGATATTCTGGGAGAAGATTAGGAGAGTTTAATTTTTTAAGAAGCCAAGTAAACGTAGGTCAACAATTTTATTTCCCAGAAACAATATCACAAGAAGATAAATGCATATTTCTACATTAACAAAGGACTTAAGTAACACAATAAATAGAGCATCTTAATAATACTTCAAAAAATTCAAAAATACAAACCAAAATAGAGTGATTTAAAGTCGTACATCATACCCTTAATTAAGTAGAAAATGTGTATACAGTATCTACATATTTACAGTTGGAGGGTTCATTTTTAATGGATAGAATGCAGAAATTTTTTTCGCCACTTCATTGTTAAAAAAATATTTTATTGAATTTGAAAATATTTTCAATAGAGGACATGGGTCGACGACGGTGCTGTGGTGTTCGATGCGATAGCTTCTTCGAGGTTCGAGTGGAGTTTAGAATAGCTTGTAGAGCTGTGCCTTCCTTTGCCACGTGTCGATCTCACTTTCCTGCCTTCCAGGGCCAACGCAAGCAACTATGAACAGAGTTAAATTTTAAATTTTCATTCTTTAAAGGAGGAAAATATTAACAATCTAGTTAGCTCACCTTGTTTTTATTGTGAAAGAAAACATATGCTATTATGCAAGCACTTGTCATCACAATAAAGTAGGTGAAGAAGTTGGAATCCTCTGTTTCAGCAAAATGCCCATTAATACCAGTTGGTAAATCTATATCTTAATTTGAAATATTAATCAAAATATTGACATGTTTAAAAATTGAATTATTAAGCTTTGATTTACCACTATTTTTAGTTTGAATACTGGCACGGGAGTCACCCTTAATAAAGTTGGCTAAATTGAACAAAAAACCTTATATAAGATACATTTTAAATGTAAAGATTTATTAAAAAATTTGCATCCAACTATGCTTCAAAGATTGCATCAACTTCTACACAAATTTTAACATGCGTTCATTAAGAAATATAATCCACCATTTTAAATGTGATAGTAGAGTTTAAACAAAGAAACTGAAATCATACCAAAAAAAAAACTCTAATTCGAAAATTTGGAAGGAAAGTTACAAAAATGGAAGAAACCAAATACTGAGTTAATAGTCAATAATGAATAAAATAGTATAGGATACATGAGCAAACGACAGGTTTAAGATAAGGCTTTTGGTGAAAAAAGGAAGATGTCCCTTCATTCTGAAATCATCGCATTGATTTTCAATGCAGCTAAAATATTTTTTTTGTTTTAACTAAAAGAAAAAGAAGAATTTTTGTTTACATTTTAAAAGCTACGATCATTTCATTTTCAATTTTTGCTTTAATAAAGCTTTATTTTATTTATTTTCTTGTATTGCTTTTGACCCTATACTAATTCCTTTTGCCACGAGCTAAAGAACTACTCGCCACACCTTTGAGAATCCTAAATTCCTCAAACTCATCAACTTATTTAATCGAGAGTCATAAATAGCATATGATTGTGATCCAAGAGCCTCTGAGTTACGGGCCCAGCTTGCATCCACAACTGGATCAAACAGAAATGTCTGGTTTTCAGCGTTTAATTTTGAGACTTTGAGACAATTTCATCAAACATGGCAGACATTTTATGGTCTGGGAAATGTTAAACATGTAGATTAGGGGGATATCGGCGGCCTTTTGGCACTCATCACTGTAAAGGTATATGTAAAGTAAAGGTCTTGGGTTCAAATACAGGGCCGATGAATTACCTTATAAAAGGAATTTTTTTAACACCGGCATCCCAAGGGTTTAACTAAGAGGTGAACCCTCAGGGAAAAAACCTGTAAGCTGATCGTCGGCATTTCTCCTAGTCTACCCAATCTCAACAGTTGGTCTTATGATTTTTTTATCATCAACATAGCTGAGAAAACTAAATGACATGTTTCTTCCACGCATTATAACAATCCATAGTATTCGGAAAATAAAACCAACTATCGTTCCAAAGAGAACTAAAACTTTGCCACAATCACCCGATAAGAACTTGTGAATTTGTGGTGTAAAGGTATCAAGTCGTAAAATATGACCTTAGCATTTTATGGAAGTAAATTCAATGAAAATGTCAGATACTTGTAAACAATATGAATCATGTTGTTCCACTCTTTGTCAACTTCTATGTAATTTTGTAATTCAGTCGCCCCAGAAATTCTCAGGTTTTTGAGCAATAAACTCCTGGGTTTGTTTTCTGCAGTCTTCAATTAATTAATTAATTTCAGCACCTGGAATTGGTTAAAATCTGAAGGCAGACACGGTAGGATGGCATATCTCAGGCCGAGCTCCAACAATACAGGTAGAAATCTAATTCCCTTGCGATTCATTTTTGATCAATTGGTCTTTATATAATAATCTTTATAATTGTTGCAAGTGCACACTAAGTGTTAAGAATTAGTTGGATGGAAAAAACTCATAATAAAATAGCCCTTAACAATCCTATGATTTCCACAACATCCCTTTATTGGTATGTAATCCGGTCCCTGTATTTTCCCAGGATTTCCCTCTTCTGGAATAAAGGAACCACTTTTTAATCCCAGTTATCAATTTTTTTTTAAATGGATCATTTATATGGCATTTTAAGAAGGAATCAAAGATGGAGAGGCGGTCCAATAAATTCTTTTCAGACAACGCAAGGAATGCATATATTGTTTTAACAAACTTATACATTGGTTCTCAGATACTTTGAAATGCTTGTACAAGATATTAACTGTCTCTACCATGCCTCATGCTGTTGAGAGTTGGTTATTAGAGACAAAAGCTTGAACTTGAAGGACAAAAAGAGCACTTTGCATCTTCCAATTCAAAATTTCTGCTTCTGAACAGAGCAAACCACTTATGGACGGTGCTTTCTCTTAAAGTGATAAACATCACAAGTTTGCCTGCTCACCCCTATCTACATTATTTTATCCTATTTATGCCTATTTATCTCGCTTTCTTTTTCTTACAATCTTTTTAGTAAAAATATTTAACTCAGTCTGTTCGGTGCATTCAAACAGAATGATGTCTAAGAGCGATTTTCAGCAAATTTATTTCTATGAATAGATAGCATTCTAGACAGTGACTCGATAAGAGTGAAAAACCAGGTCACTTCCAAAAAGCCAAGCTTACATTTACAAAAATTACGGTCACTGCCTGGTGGCCATCTGCAGGACTCATTCATTATAGCTCCTGCGATTTTCAGCAAATTTATTTCTATGAATAGACAGCATTCTAGACAGTGATTCGATAAGAGTGAAAAACCAGGTCACTTCCAAAAGCCAAGCTTACATTTACAAAAATTACAGTCACTGTCTGGTGGCCATCTGCAGGACTCATTCATTATAGCTCGTCAATCCAGGTGAAACCATCATTGCTTAAAAGTACGTTAATGAAATTAATGAGATGGACCGAAAACTGCGACATTTATGACCAGAATCAATAGAAGGGGATTCCTTCACGACAACACACGCCACAACACATGAGTTGGGTTACGAGGCTTTACCACATCCAACATACTCACCTTATCTTTCTACTACAGATTATCACTTTTTTAAACATCTCAACAACTTTTTGTGCAAGAAATGGTTCAGAATGTCTTTGAAAATGCATTTCGAGAGTTCATCAATTCCAGAGACCCTAGTTTCTACTCTTCTGTGATTAATGCAATGGTCGTACATTGACAAAAATGTATAGATAGTAATGGAAGTTATTTCGATTAAATATATTTTGTTGAAGAAAAATAGTCACTTGTTTTCACTGAACATCAAAAACCTACATTATTTTGCAAAAACCAATAGTACAGAAATATTTTTCAATAGAAAAGCCCAATAAAAAGGAGATGGGGCTCTTTGATAATTGAGTGAATTTTAATTTTAGAAAAAAAAAAGCAATTTTTGGCCTAGAGAAATGAGGGATATGTGTTTCCAGCAGCTACACTATATCAACCCCTATTATTTTTTTATTAATATTAAAAATAAACATGATTAAATTCAAAATCAATCTTACCCTCATTTTCTTCAGGTGTGTCAATCGGTTGCATATTGAGATCATCTACACCATCAGCATTTTTGACATGCTCTTCCATTTCTTCGTTTCCTTCCATTTCTCCGTTAATAGGCGGTTTCTTTTCTTCTGGCTCGACAAAAAAAGTCGGATCTTTTTCATCTTGCAGAGGTGAAATGTTATCGGAATTTTTCGGCTGCGTGTCGACCTGGTTTGATGGCAAATTTGACAAGCTTACCGTTGTTGAGGATTTGGGTACATTTTGATTCGAATTCATTTCCTGCTTGGGTTGAACCTCTTTGACAAGGCTTTCAACTTTCCCCTTAGATGCATCTACGACTGATGGAAATTGGATATTATTTGACAGTCCCTCTTCTGGTGGAACTCTTCCAGATTCTGTCAAAGCAGGCTTAGAGGTAGTTTTGTGGGTCGATTCTACACGTGTCTGTGAAGCAGCCTCTTTCACCTCACTAGCTATAAACAAATCCAAATTAAACTGTAAAATAAAATATATAAAATAATCTCAAAAGTGATTTTTTTATTATTATTAGTGTGTGGTGATTAGTGACCGTGGGCACTCTCAACACGACACGCAAGAATGGCACAATTACACAGAAGACAAACACTTTGAGCCCTCAAGATGATCTCAATAAAGATCGAAACGTTGGCACGATAAAGAAAATATTTTTCTGAAACCTACATCACACCCGACCGCATCTCACGATTTCTGAATAATTATTATTAGTGTTTACATTCTGTGCTTTAGTATTGATCTGCCCATTTTCAATCATTTTCTCTCCAATTGGTTATGGCATTTTGATTTAAAGTATCCGATGAACACTTTTTGATCAGTAAGTTATATAATATAATATTTATATGATTTAATGTTCTAGCTTTATTATATCTGATTGTCAAAACCCCCAAGAACAGACAGAAAATTTATAAAGTAGTGTGCTAGCACTGTGGTAAAATAATAAATTTAAAAAAGTCATAATCAGATGACCAAACTACAAGTTTATATAATCGTATATAACACTGACTGCACAGCACTCACACATGTGAGTATGCTGGGAATAACTTCCCATAGCAGGCAGACGTCCTTCGCATAACAAAATAAAAATAAATTCTGAACTTAAAAACTGATCACTTGATTTTTTTTAATAATATTTATTTTTATGCACTTTATAATTTGTTGTAATGGTACAAAATCCTACGCAAATCACTAATAACATGGCCAGTACTGCACCCAGAGGACGCGTGTTATGAGAAGTAAGCCAATTCTGGTACTCAGTTTATTATCCAGTTCAGGTGAGAAGTCACGGAGTGATCGACTTTCAAGCCTATGTAAAGCTTCTTCCTTGGGATGGGAAGAAGAAGAAGAGAGGGCATGAGACGTAGGATGGGATGAAACATTATTTTGAATGAAATTTGAAAAATTAAAATTCTAATTTTATCATGGCAACAATCCTTTATGGTTGCCGAGTCGTTGAGGAGTACAATTCTTGTCTTTGCCAAACTATTGGTTCTAGGTTCAAATCCCATCATTGTACTTGGAATTTTACATAAATAAAATATTTAGCATTAGATTCCTTCTAGGTTTTGTGAGGTGATAGACCTGCTGTAGTTAGGTCATTTTCAATCATTTCAGATTTTAGCTTCACACCATTGGCATTTTTCCTGTTGAATGCGCTGTGTACATATATTTCAAGTTTTCAAATATGTACGTTCATTAATAAATAGTGTTTAGTGACCGTTAGCCAATGATTATATGGAGATTGTGAGATGCGGTCTGGTGTGACGTAGGACAAAGAAAAACATTTTCTTTGTCATGCCAACGTTTTGATCTTTATTGAGATCATCTTCAGGGCCTGGGATTTATACACATTGTTTAAATTTTACGAATACGTGTAGGATGCAAAAAAAATGAATTTATACAATGCTAGAAAATTTTACATAAAAAAATGAATTTATACAATGCTAGAGAATTTTAGATTTAAAAAAGAATGAACTTATACAATGCTAGAAATTTTAGATTTAAAAAAAATGAATTTATACCATGTTAGAAAATTTTACATAAAAAAATGAATTTATACAATGCTAGAGAATTTTAGATTTAAAAAACAATGAAGTTATACAATGCTAGAAAATTTTAGATTAAANTTTTATATAAAATTTTCTAGCATTGTATAAATTCATTTTTTTATCTAAAATTTTCTAGCATTGTATAAATTCATTTTTTTTAATATAAAATTTTCTAGCATTGTATAAATTCATTTTTTTAATCTAAAATTTGCTAGCATTGTGTAAGTTCATTTTTTTAATCTAAAATTTTCTAGCATTGTATAAATTCATAATTTTTTCCCACATCCTACATGTATTTGTAAAATTCAAACAATGTTTATAAAACCCAGGCCCTGAAGATCTCAATAAAGATCAAAACGGCACGATAAAGAAAATGTTTTTCTAAAACCTACATGACACCAGACCACACCTCACGAACTCCAAATAATTAAAAAATAAGGCTTTCTTGTAAGTCATGCATTAATTTCTCTATTTTTGATTAAAACGATCAGAAACGACAAAACTAAGATATTCATATTGGGTGAAAAAGTATAGTAAAATTGTCCATAATGCCTAAAAACAATAAACTAGAAGAGTGCACTAGGAGGACTTCACCCTCTCTTGCTAAACGGAATTGTAATTCCATTCTCAAAGGAGAGAAATATCTAGGAGTCAGCTATATCCAAATACTTTCATGGAATCAGCCACTAATTAAAATTATAGATGGTCCCTACAGTTATACAGGACATACAGGGCAGTTCGGATTCTCAGTACTGCTCAGAGACTAGCATGCTTGAGCATTATTGGAGCAATGAGAATGACCACTCTGCCCTGGAAGTCCTTCTAAGTCTACTACCATTCGCATCTTCATCCAAGGAGAGAGCCACAATTCACAGGCCGATGCAGATACAGGCTCCAACGGCTCACATAAGGAGCAAATAAATTTTCAGGAGAAGCTTCTAGCAGCAAGGTGGAGTTAATGCCATAACCTTAAAATTCAATTTGGATCAACAACAAAAAATCAAAATACCTGAGAGAGCAGACTGGGAAAAAAGGATGTCGGTTAATGCCGACTGTATCTGGTACACTGATGTCTCTAAGACCGTGTGGGTCAGGAGCTGGTATGTATAGAAATAAACCAGGGACTAGAATTCATACAAGGCTTGGGCAACATGCCACTGTCTTTCAAGCAGAGACTGTGATATTAAACACTGTGCCAAGGAGACAAACAAAAAAATAGCCATCAGATAGTAAGACAGCATTAAAGGCAACTACCTCGTCAGTAGTAAAGTCCAGTCATTTTGGGATTGCATTATTGCCCTTCAGAGAAAACAGGAGGAAAACTACAAAATCTACCAGAGAGCACAGAGCGGAGGGGTAGACCAAGAGTCCAATAAACTGGCCAAGGAAAGTTCAATGACTACAAAAAACACGATTCATCAGACAATGGATTGAAAATAAGTCCTCAGATCGATGGGATTGTATTCCAGAGCAAAGAAGAAAAAGTTCATCCAAGGAGCATAGCTATCCCACTAAACTAGGATGTGTTATGACTAGAATGTTAGTTGGACTGGTGGCTAGACACTGCAGACTCCTGAGACAAATGTAAAGACTCGACCCAAAGCTGCAGAAAAAAGCGAATATATTTCCAGGAAGACTAAGAAACTGTGGAACATGTCCTCTTTGATGCGAAGGCCTAATCAAGCTTTGATTCCTACTCCTGGGAGGAAAAGGATAAGCACGGGAGCTTTTGGATCTGGTAAAAAGCCTTGAGCTTAATGAAGAGTCTACAGATTAATGGAGATTGCACAATAGATCAATACTAGTCACAGTGCATGACGCAATCAGTTGACGAGTTGCAAACTTAATTTTAACAAATCAATTCTACAAATTCATAAAATTACTGCTAAAATATACTTACTAAGCTTAATCGGTGTTTCTGTGGACAAAGTTCTATTCAGCAATCTTCGACAGTTTATAGCTATCTCACAACGTGGGTTCACAACGGAATTTACGAAGCAGAGCGCTTCGCACTGGTTCTTATCCGACATTATACTATGAAAAGCTTCAGACAGCTTGGCGAGTCTTGTGTCCTTGTACTTAATTTCCACGTGTTGAAGTGCAGACCAGTCAGTCGAGCACAGGTCATCGGTCTTGTTCAACTTTTCGACGTCCCCCTCCAATTTGTCGTTAACTTCACACAGGCGATAAATGGCATCGTACATACCAAAGCATAAGGCCTCATGCCTAATGCTAAAGTAATCTGTGCTGAATACTGAAAAAGTGTTATTGCAATCCTGGTATTTATTAGTCAACTCCACGAAATCCGTTTTTTTGCTAAGGTCGCATCCTGGCCTTTCTTTCAATACAAGAGACGACATAGATTCCAATACGGGGGCAGCATTAGAAAAATAAACAATGAAGAAACAAATGCCCAAAACTTCGATAAAAATCGACTTCATCATCATTTTATTTTTATCCTCTGAGAAAATGACTCTCCCATCAGCATATCCCCATTTAATCAATCGTTTAACTCAGGCCGATACTCACCGAGCATTCATATCGAAATTTTTATTTTAAAAAAATAATAAAAAAATGATAATATTCACGAGTGGAGCTCTTCAAACAAAAAATAATAACCTTCTGAGGTAATCTTTTAAATTGCACAAAGTAGTCAGACCCTTCACTTATAGTTGCCCTGCACTCTGCTTTAACAAAAGTTAACTAATAATTTTCTGGAACTTCTGGAAAATTTATGCCTCAGCATTAAACAGTATTGAGCAAGTGTCTTTTTATTACGAAATTACAAAATAAATAACATATTTTGCCAATTGAGTTTAAATATTTCGCCTATTCCTCCAAGTTTTTACCCAGTAAAAGTTGCAAAAAAAAAATATTCAACAATACTTTTTCATTTATAAAAAGTGAACTTTAATCAGGAAAAATGTAAAATTACAGTTAAATTGAATAGAAGACAATAAAATTTGTACTGTAATAACATTGACAATTTATATAGTACAAAAAGTTTCTGTCCTTGACTCTTGTCGTTGACTTATTTACTTATTTATTTACAGATTATTAATCCTTTAACATACAATTTATATAAACCAACATAAAACGTAAGTCAAGAACAAAAAAATATATATATAAACTTTTTGAAAAACAACGTAACTGTGCAAAGTACAAAACAAACTACAAGCTTATAAGCAAAATATAAAACAAAAATATACTTCTCAGAAAGATTAACAGGTAAAATGAAATGTTTCTTTTTTTAGGAACATAATGGTAATAACAGTTTTATTTTAAAAGCTAACCTAGATAAACTAAAAATATCAATATTTAACATATTAAGGTTTACGGCAGACGGTTGATAACCATTGCCGAAATGTGCTTTTTGATTATGTACAATTTTTTTACTCTCTTTTGTTTATCTAATAAAGTACTTTTTCATTCATTCATTCATTCATTCATTCATTCATTCATATTAAGGTATCTTAGAGATCAAGGAATAGATGGAAAATAAGTATAATTCCTTTTATAAAATTTAACATGAAATATATTAGATGGACAAGTCTATGTTGAACACTTTCATTTGTTTTAATATATTTTAAATAAAAAGGGGAACAAAATTCAAGATGCGGTCTAACTAAGGATATATATAAATGTACAGGGGATGGTATGTTAGAAAAAGACTGTGAAATTCTGATCATAAATCCCAGCATTTTCATGGCTCTACCTCTGATCTGAATAATGCATTTTTTGAAAACTTCATTTGGAATTGAAGATAAAACCAAGGTCATGCACATTTTCAACTCTTATTATTCGGCAACCCTGAATTTCATAAGGAAAATTAACAGTGTTGGGCAACTTGCTGAATGTGATACTAGAACATTTCTTATAATTTAAAAATAGAAGATTTTTCTCGTACAATGAGTTGATGAGTGCGAGACATCTGTGAAGATTCAGCATCAAGAGAATTGTTAACAGCACGAAACAACTTTAGATCATATGCCAATAGCAAAACTCTAACATCGTCTGAAAATACTTCAAGAACGTCATTTTTTTTTTTTTTTTTTTTAATTATTGGACAGATGATTCATTGTCATCCGTTATTCACTAAACATAATAATTTTGTATAGATTTTATCTTTATTAATTACTATTACGTACATAAACAAAATCTATTCACACAAAGAAAATAATTTATTCATTTATTGCATTTCTTTTGGCCTTTAATGGCGTACAGAGGAAGCTGGATTCTTACAACAACATAGATATAATATTAGTAATTTGCAATATTTGATCTTACAAAAATTTAATTGAAATAAACACTTCTATACTGTGAAGATAGTAGTTGTATTAATAATTGCAATAATAATAATGGCTGTATTAATAATGATAATGATAATGATGACCAAAATGCTAGTAATGATGAGAGAAGTAGAAATAAAAAATTGGAAAGTAATAGTGTTAATGACTAGATTGACAGAAAACTCTCATGCATCATAAGCACTGATGATAGGTGACTCTTGGAGGACTTGTAGAAGAACTGTAATTTTCATTCGTTTAAGGATAGCGATGCAAGGTTGACACTTTCGTGCCAAAACCATATATGTGATTGTTTATAGAGAAATATTGCTTTAACAATACTTTTCCATTTGTAAAAAGTAAACTTTAATTAGGAATTGAAGGGTGCGATATTCCTTGGCTCCATGTAGAGTACATAGGAATGCCACCCTATATGAGAATTGTGCATAAGCACAGAAGCAAGAATCTGGGTCTGTTGTTCCATGAATGTATTTATTAGCGTGAATGTGTAATGTGAGAGGGCCAATGGCATAATATTGGGTATACCTCCTAATCCTCAATTAGTTTGTAATACAGTTATATATGTGGGTGATGGAATAATAAACAAAATAGAAGGCCCAAAACAAAACCATTGAGAAAAAAAGCATGGAACATTCAACAAATAAATTGCAAAAAGAGGGAAAATTCGAACAGTTGTAGGTTGAGACAGTTGGTGTCCGAGTGGATCGAAGTCACGATAGCTCAAGTGGAAGAGCAGCTCATTTAGCCGAAGGTCGTGGGTTTGAATCCCACTCGTGACACTGAATTTTTTATATCCTTACATAAAAGGTCAATTTTGTGCTGTAACAATACCACTTTTTCTATGTATTTTATGCTGAGTGAGTTAAGAGAAATTGCTTTGGGTTGTCATACACTTATGCCTGATTAGGTTGTTTGTCTCCTGGATGGTCCTGACTGAAATCAGATGACAGTAATACAAATTTTTATAAAAAGATAGTTCCTATTAATAGTTAGAGTAGGAACTATAGTTATATAACTTGAGGTTTATATAGTTACTAATTGTGAGTAGGAACTTTCATTTTATAAAGATTGAACAATTTACTCAACCATTTATCATTTTTATATATATAATATGAATTGGCTATTTGTTATAGAATTCATGTTAATGTTGCTGTATAACATCTGACTGCTGCGTATGTAATACTGAAAGATTAAAAGTAAATCTAATCACATTAATTCAAGACTTGTACTTCCAGAAGATGGTTCAAAACAATGCTGTATGGGTTTATTCATTTTCTTTCACTCCACTATCACTCAAGTATAATTATTTGTATAATATTTTAGGAAAAACTTTTTTGTTTTTATTTTCTTCATTTTTGATCATCCTGTGCCTTGATCATCAATTTTGATTTGTCAGGCGAGTTTTGGCATTTCACCAAGTTCAATAGTGCATTATTTGTCCTGACATGTTTGCGCTCTTGTATACATTTGTAAAAGCTAGCTTTGAATTATTGTTGTATTTGGGTTTTTCTTTTTATAATTTATTTTTATGCTATGTAGTCTTAAGTAAAACATTTTTTTTTCACTTTTTGTAAAGGTAGGTTCTATTCTCAGATTTATTTTTATTATTTCTAACTAATTTTTCTAGCCGAAGGTCGTGGGTTTGAATCCTGCTCATGACATTAACTTTTTTATCTCAACCAAGACCTTACATAAAAAGAGCAATTAATTGAAAGAAGTAACTTGGTCAATTGACCACTAAAACATAAATGGATTAATAAATTGACACAGGAAGCACTTATGTATGCTACCCAATATGAAAAATGCGATTAGGCAGCTTGCACCTGGTCCTTCGTTCCGATTTTTGGAGAAAGAGGGTTGATTTATTGTACATATTACTGATAGTTTGTGTCCCTAGTATGTGTTGTGTGAATGTATTTATTGGCATGAATGTGTAGTGTGAGAGGGCCGATGGTAGAATATTTACTATCCCCTCAACCCTCAATTATACAGCCAGGTGGCACTTAAGGTAAATGCTTGTAAAGTCCAGTCATTTAGGAGTGCGACCTGCATTAGAGCTCCTCAGCTACCTAACACCTTTGCAGGACCTATTTTCATTTGAGATTTATCAGTCAGATATATTTTGGGAGAAAGGAGAACTTATCACCACTATGGTGAAACAACTCACTGATGGCGCCTCCATTCAATGTGTCCTACTTAATATAAATCGGCTCACCAGGCGATGTATTGTTAGTGCCATAAATGTGTTAAAAATTATCTAATTATGAATATCTTTAATAAAACTCAATTTATTTTGTCAAAAAAATATTACTAATTTGCTATGTCCTAGGCTAGATTGTTAGTCTCTCAACCAAAGTGAAATGAATATTTTAAATTTTGTGTGAATATTTGAAAAAAAAAATACATAAAAGGACCCAGGAGGAAGTAGATATTAAAAAATATAGCACCTATATTTAATTTAATTACAAGTCTTTCATTTAGAAAAAACAACCCAAAGATTTTAACTGATTTTGTTTTATAGTTTTATTTTATCAAAATATCATCGGTATGTATTAGATTTGATTTGGTTAGAAAATAATACTACACAAAAGACAAACATTTAAAAATGAAACAAATAAGTACATAATTTTCCATTTAATATTGTGTTACAAAGTGGAAACCATTAATAGCCTCGCTTGCAGAAATTTGATACATAAAGCTTTGTGGCACTAGCATCGAGTACCACCCAAGGTTATAAAAAGAAATAAAAATATTTGCTTTTCCTTTAATAAAAATAATTAATCTAAATTCATTTCATCATCGTCTTCTTTCTTTGGCTCTTTTTTTTCCTTTTTGTCCTTGTCCGAGCTTTCTTGGCAAGAGATGGTGGCTGCTTGCAAGGCCCTTACGAATTCCTCCATATTACCCTGGTTTGCGGCACTAACGGCGTCGGAACCCACACCGAACTGGGAGACAACGGGGCCGAGCTGTCCAGACTGAAGTGCAGTGCTGAACATTGACAACGCCTAAAACAGAAGCGATTGCTAGTATTGCTTAATACTATAATTGACCGACGTTCCAATACCTGTTGAAACTGAGGTGACGCCAGTGTATTGCGCAGCTGATCTTGGCTGTTTTCATCGGTTGCGACGGACGGGAGGTGCCTTTGCAGCTCCCGAACCAATTCGGGATTATTCAAAACAGCCTGGAGGCTCTCTTGATTTAAGCTGGTGGACAAGTCGACTAAAAATTGATGCTTGTCAAACACAAGACACATCGAATAGTTTTAATTACCTTTATAAAAATTATATACCTCCTTGCTGCTGCCCAACCAAGCCAGATAAATAGTTCTGAAGCTGACTAAGCTGAATTGGATTTGAAGATTCACCAGCAGTGGATTTAGGCGGAGGTTCTGAAATTTTAAACATCGATGATGGTTTAAATTTTTTTTAAATTGAGGGTTCACAACAGTGGAGGTTGTTCTATCAACCTCAGGGTGTCAGTGTTTTTTGAAGGGGAAAAAACCCATTTGTAAGTATGACAGGTTCGAACCCGGGCCTTTACCTTAAGGTGGCCATTCACTATCGCTCTAAATGGAAGCGCGCCAAGCTGTAGGCTGCTCGTCTATTGGAACCGAACTACGACGGCCATTCAACAGCCGAAGTATTTGACCAAACGGACGACCGGCAATATAGCCGAACGCCGTCGTCCACTGTAGCCGATTTTCATCAGTTTACAACACAGCCCAAATGGATGTAGAAGATTTGTTGCTGCTCGAAAATTCTTAGTTTACATACTGTTGGATAAATGGAATGAAAGAAATAAACAAAAATATTGGAAGTTCCATTTCTAAAGCTATCCTTGACCACAGCTTACGCTGGACATCTCTCTGATGATTGAGTGGATCACGCATGTCCCAAGAGCCTGCTCCTCAACCGCACTTATCAATTTTTTGCAATCCATCGAAATGAAAACGAAACGAAAAGGTACGCAAAAGGTAAAGACCGTTGTTAAACAATGGTGAGCGTTTGATGTCACGTGGTTGACAGTTGAAGTCGAAGTAACCATTCGGCCGAATAGGACTGGAAAATCCAACTTTATTTGGATCGGAAAGTGCTTCGGCCGTACACGGCCCAACACGACCGAACGAATTGGTTCTAATGGACACGTGCTCATTCGTTTCTTCCCAAGCAAGTTCGGCCGAAAACGGCTCCAGTGGACGGCCTACGGTATAGTTCCATTTGGAGTGCCTGGAATTTAAGGGGGCATTCATGACCGTTCCACAGCCAGTCGCTCCGATCGTCATCTAGTGAATTACTTCCTCAAAAGGGATGACGATCTCTTGTGCTAAGCTGCTGTTTGTTTATATATAAAAAGCAAAAACCAAAGAGGAAATGCTATAAGAAGTGGCTCCTGAACAGAAGCCGTAATACCCACATCGATTTGATGTAAGATCTTTCCCTTGAACCCACTGACTGGAGGAACTATTTAAGGGTGGATGAAAAGTCTTATATTAAAATTCACTAGTACCGTGGTCCGCTTGACCAATTAATATCATACAATTAATTAAGGTTTTTAGTTGAGATAGAAAAGTCAATGGCACGAGCGGGATTCGAACCCACGATCTTCAGCTAGATACACCGCTGCTCTACCACTTGAGCTATCGTGACCTCGATCCACTCGGACACCAACTTCCTTTCTCATCCCCACCTTTTGAGTTTTCCCTCCTTTTTGCCATTTTTCCATTAGCAGTGGCATATCAAGCCGAAGATCGTGGGTTCGAATCCTGCTCGCGCCATTGACTTTTTTATCTCAACTAAAAACCTTAATTAATTGTATGAGACTTATTTATATTTACTCCAGCTTGTTACCCCCTTGATTAGAAAACAAAAGAGTCATGAGAGAAATCACTCCACATAAAAGGTTGGCAGCCACATTACGATTTCTCGCCACAGGGATGACCTACGAGGAACTTAAGTTCTCGACTACGATTTCTGCTCAGCGCTTAGGGGTTATCAATACAGCATCACTTGTTGTATTTGTATCCTTTGTTTTGAAAAGGTCGACCAACTGGTCGAGGGCCGAATTTCTTTTATTTCTATCGTGGTAATCATTGTCCACCACTTTCCATAAACATGGTAAACTTTCATACAATTCAATCACCTCAACAATAAAATCTCAGTTGGATATAATCGCCAATAAAGAATAAACGTTTTTAACTTTTTGAGAATGTATGATGGAGACGTTTGCTCAGTGACAGAAAGACCGAGGAAAAAAAAAATTCACGAACGCGCCATGCCGTAATCGTGCCATAGATGTTTGGAGTGGCCTTTGAGTTTTACCATTGACGTGGTTTTCAGAACAGCTTCGCTCCGTTTGGACTGCTGGGAGCGATCGTGAATGGCACCTTAACAGTGATGTGGGCCATGTCACCACCTTAACTATTGCAACTACCAAAACCCTCTTTGCTTGCAAAACTGCTGTTTTCTCAAATTAAGAAAAAAATCTCAAAATATAATCATAACGTATCTCAATGATAAGTTGTTTTCAAATAACAAATCAAAATATAGTTGTCATATCTAGACTGAATATATGTTGATTCAATGAAAGACTCACTTGATGGTGCTTGAGGTGTTGCTGGTTTAGTGTTGTTAACTGGTGTTGTCGGGGTTTTTGGTGTCGATACTGAAGACACTGCAGGAGCTGCCGTACCAGTAGACGGCGGGCTGACAGCCGCACTCGTGTTAGTGGTAGTCGTTGTGCCACCTGTGCGCGCACTTTGACTAAAATATTAATCATATTAGTTGATAACCTCAGGGAAATTTTCATTTGACGTACATCGTCCCCAAAAGGCTTGAAAGGCCTCCAATCTGGCCGACACCGCCGAAAAACTGCATCAGCTGTTGTTGCGACATGTTACTCAACAAATTCTGTAAGTCGCTATCTGCAAAACAAGGCCAGTTTCAGTTATGCTGACTTTTACTATTCAAATATGTTTTCGAACTTCACCTGGTGTACCTCCACCACTCCTCTGAGAAGCCAAAGAAGGAGGGTTGTTGAGAACCTCATTCACCTTGTGGCAATTTTCATCATCTTTGTCAGTCTTGGGTTCCTAAATTCGGTTTATATTTAATAAATTGTTATATAAACAAGAAATCTAAGGTAATTTTTAAAAATGCGCAATAATTTACCTGAACCCAGAAAAAAAGCTTTCTTGATTTAAATTTAAGAATGTAAACTCTTCCAGTAGTGCACTGAGGAACCTTTTTGAACTCAACGTCTTCAGGAAAGATAATCAAGTCCTAAAAAAGGACAAGAATTAATAAACAATAATCAAAATTATTTATTGCTTTAATACTAGGTAGATATAAAATTGTTTTCCATATTTTACAAACAAATGTGTTAACAATAAAACAATGTTCAAAGCTGCGTATTAAGTTGGGGTTGTTAGCTACCAAAGTGGATGTTCCATTAACGTTTAACTAATAAATCCAACATTCCTGATGGCCAGACCTCAGGGTTTATTGGGATTGAAGGATTATTACAAGACCAAAATTATTGAGAAACAGCAAACTACTGGGTAATCCACCTGCAGACCTAAAGAAGTCATGGAAATCAGAGTGGAATTGGTGTTGGCTGCCATATCCAAATAAGTCTACAAGTTTTTGTTTTTTTTGGTACCGGGAAAAGACACATCGAAAGACTAAAATGATCAAGCTGCAGGCACTCCAAATAAGACTGCATGGTTTTTTGGTATCATGAAGCGACATTACAAGACCAAAATTATTGGGAAACAGCAAACTACAGGGTAATCCACCCACAGACCTAAAGAAGTCATGGAAATCAGAGTGGTGTTGGCTGCCATATCCAAATAAGTCTGCAGGGTTTTTGTCCCATAAAGAGACATTGAAAGACTAAAATGATAAAGATACAGGCTCATCCTCCTGCAAGCCTCAAGAAGTCATGGAATGCAGAGTAGAATTGATGCTGGCTGCTGTCTCCAAACAAGACTTCAGGGTTCTTTTGTATCATGAAGTCATTACTGATAAAAATTATTTGAAATTATCAAGCTACAGGTTCAACCGTCTGCAGACTTCAAGAAGTCATGGAAAACAGGGTAAAAATGATGCCAGCTGTCGACTCCAAATAAGTCTGCGAGTTTTTTTGGTCACATGAAGTTATTATAGCAAAAATTATTACAAGAACCAAATTACAGGTTTATCCACTGCAGACTTCAAGAAGTCATGGAAATCAGAGTTGAACTGAGGTTGGCTGCCATCTCCAAATAAAACTGCAGTGTTTTTTGGTCTCATTAAGTCATTATAGACAATAATTATTTGAAACTATCAAGCTACAGGTTCATCCGTCTGCACACCTAAAGAAGTCAAAGAAAACAGGGTAAAAATGATGTCAGCTGATGTTTCTAAATAACACTCCAGTGTTTTTGGTATCATGTAGATGTAATTTTCAGGGTATAGTATACTGTGCCCTTTAAGAGTTATTGTATCCCCTGTATTCTGCCTAAAGCACATCGGTGAGTCCTATTTCATCAAGAAACTTGATAATAGGCCCAGTTTCAGTGCTTGAAGCTCTTCTATGGTCACATTATACATCCCAAAACATTTCCTCTTGCGGGCTAGTGTAGCTCCGCAGTTTGTTAGTAGGTGTGTTGGTGTCTCTTCTGCCTCTTTGCAGAATCTGCATGTGCCATCTTGGATTATTCCAATCTTCTTTAAGTGGCCATTTAATTTGCAGTGTCCTGTTAGGAATCCTATTAGGATTCGCAGTTTATTCCTGCTCCCCTTGACACATTCTGAAATTTCTTTTCTTCCAAAATTGGTTAGAAGATTCTTGGATTGTCTGAGTCCAATGAGTGAATCCTATAGTTCCTTTTCTTTTTGTCCTTCTGTCTGAGATACTTGTTAATAGTGTGGGTTCCTATGTCACTGAACTATCATAGTCATTACAGACCAAAATGAAAGAAATGACCCACCTACAGGTTCATCCACTGCAAACCTCAAGAAGTCATGGAAATCAGAGTAGAACTGATGTTAGCTGCTGTCTCCAAATAAGATTATGGGGTTTTTTTTGGTCGCATGACGTCATTACTGACTAAAATTATTTCAAACTATCAAGCTTCAGGTTGGTCCACTACAAACGTCAAGAAGTCACGGAAATCAGAGCAGAACTGATGTAGGCAGCTCCAGGTCTTTTTTTCGCCCCATGAACAGTACATAAAATCAATGTAGAGTTCAAACCTTCTTTAAGGTCTTTACTAGGTGAAAGAAAGACAAAAGTGTTGGGATCACCAAGCTTTCGGCAACATTATGTTGCCATCATCAGGGCCTATTTACTAAGAATAGGATTATGATGGCAACATAATGTTGCCGAAAGCTTGGTGATCCCAACACTTTTGTCTTTCTTTCACCTAGTAAAGAACTTAAAAAAGATTTGAACTCTACATTGATTATCTGCAGGTCGATCTACAAACATCATTTCTTCAGTACATGAAATGATTATTTGGAGACCATGAGATGCGATCTAGTGTGACGGAGGCCTTAGAAAAACTTTTTTTAAATTGTGTCAATGTTTTGATCTTTATTGAGATCATCTTCAGGAATCAAAGCGTGTTTTCTGTGTAGATGCGTCATTGTTGGGTGTCGTGGTGAGAGTGCCACACGATCTCCAAATAATCATTAACTAACGGTCACTAAACACCACACAGTACATACAATACTGTTAGCTGTCAAAACATATAATTTACACTATTAGTGCGTAATGCATAAAACCACCATTATGATTACATCGAAGTTGTACATTCAACCCCCTGCCGACCTCAGGAAGTCATATATTGCAGGCTCTACGAGGACTGTCAGGCAGAACTGTTTTAAGATATCATGAGCATCATAACTATAGTTATACTATTACCAGGTATCAAAATGTCTAGATCTAAAAATTGCAAAACAAAATTACGTCTTCAACGACACCGGTAGTCCTGTCTTTCCAGCAAAAGTGCATGAGGGAGTCATCGGACTGATAGACGTAGACGAGTCCCTTCCTCTTGTCCGGGTGGACCGTCTTGCCCTGCATCGTCATCTTGCCGGCTTTGAACTCGACCAGGTTCTTGTTCTGCCCCCTCGCGGCGGAACTGCCGAAAAGCGCCGTACCACCCGGCATCGTTCACTGAGGACCTGCTGATGAAATGAAAACGTTAACAGTCGAGAATGACCCGAGAGAACGCTGAACAGTTCCGACGAAGGTTCTGCGAACGTTGCGGCTCGCAGGAGAATGAACACTGCCTCCTTGTGCAGAATGACGAGACAGAAACGGCGTGGTGAATGATTCGGGAAATTTCTCTAGTTACAATTAAAGAACGACCATTATGAAATTTCTGCCGTTTACAGGAGGAAGTGATCACAAACGAAACCTGGCGAAGGAGAAAAGTGAGTAAGGCCAATTGACTAAAGAATGGGGTTTTTTGTTTGTTTTTTTAAAGATCCTTTAAAATTTCTCTTTCATAAAGTGGGAAAACGTGAAAAATAAAAGTTTTCGTTTCATCTACCTGGACTTCAGGTATTTATCGAATAAGGAAAATGTGATTCATGCATTCATGACGTTCTTTTGTTTCTGTTGAAGCCATCGGTTTTTTTAGAAATAGAAAGTTGCGTTTTGGGCTCTAGCGGCCCGACTCCTCACTAGAAAGTAGAAAATAAAATATTGGAAACCAAAATTAACACGAGAATCTCCTAAAAGTCACCAAAAATTATTCTTTAAATGAAACTGCCAACCTAGTACAAGAAACCCAAATGAAGAAAAATGTTTAAAAAATGTTCCTTTTCTTTAATTAATATCCTTTTGTAAACAACAGAACTTTCCAACTTGTTTTTATTTTAGTATATTAATTGCAACAAATCAAAAACTTGCCTTATTTATTTATTTGACGGTAATCCGTTCGTTGCAGTTTAAAAAAAGCCAATAAATAATTTTTGGTCAGTGATTTATTTACACAAAATACAACCAACAGGTCCCTAGAAATAGAACATTGGCTGACCCGTAATTATAGCAAAAATATGTTGGATGTACTAATTTTTAAATTAGCTTGCATACTTGGTACAAAAAGCCTATATAGCAATATTTGCAAAAAAAAATGTTTAAAACTAATTAGTTTTCTTTAATTAGCATATTGTTGTTCTTTCCTTTTTTGATTTATTTGGCAGTTGTCCATTAAAATTGTAGTTAGAAATACTGGTTGGAAATAAATCATTCTTGGTGAGTGATTTATTTACAAAACTTATAAACATGTCATTAGAAATAGAATATTGGATAGCCAAGACAATAGCAACTCTCCTAGGAACTACCAAAAATTAATTTTTAAATTATTTTAAAATTTAAACAGTTGCAAAAAATTGTTTAAAAAGTATTATTTTTCTTTATCTTGTTTACTCCAGAACTTTCGTCTATTTTTCTCTTAGCATAATAATTTTCGAAATTTGTCAGTTTTTATATTGGTGCTACTTCAAATAGAATTTCTCATAACTTTAACATAGATTATAGCATTTTTAATAATTAAGGATAGACAATTTCATAGATTTCCTTGATTTTTTTCGAAATTTGAGAAAAAATTCCATTTAAAATATTTCGTTTTTTTGTTTTTTCAGGGAAGACGAATAGTGAATAAGAAAGTCTAAAATATTCTTCAAAATGTAAGAATTAAACCTCAATTTAATCGATTTCTTTAGTTATTTTTCAATGAAACATTTATTTGTATAGTAAATGTGAGTGCAAAGTACTCTTCTAACTATGAAAATTGATTGAAAAATTGGTATCCATTTAAACAATTTTGTCGACTTTTTTCGAACCTTAATTTTATTTTTATCTAGTTATCTCATTGATTTTTTGATATTTCAATTTAATAGATTAATAGACTTTTCCAATCAAAACTATTTTTCAAATAGTGGGTAGGAAAAACTACTTGACAGGTCATGATTCATGAGCATGACACTAGGGTCTGCACGTAACATCGACACTAGAATCGTGGGGGTTCGAGTTTCGACTTTCGAGACATCGTGGTCAGTTCTCAGTTTACTGATTTTGTGTGTGCTGGTTGTACCAATGGTTGTCTTTTCTAATAATTTATAACAGTTAGAATTTCGTTTATTGGGAAAGGACCACTGTTTGCAATAGGTAAATATACAATAACATTATGTCTTCCGGTAAAAGACCAGAGCATCAAGCACCGCCCGAGATATATTACAATGAGACCGAGGCTAGAAAGTACACTCAGAATTCGAGGATGATCGAAATCCAGGTGCAGATGAGCGAGAGGGCGATCGAATTGCTATGCTTGCCCGAAGACGAGCCGTGTTTGATCTTGGACCTAGGCTGCGGCTCGGGGCTCAGCGGGTCCGTCCTGGAAGATCAGGGCCATGTCTGGATAGGCATGGACATCTCGCAGGCGATGCTGGACGTGGCCAAGGAGAGGGAAGTCGAAGGGGATTTGGTCCTCAGCGATATGGGCCAGGGGATACCTTTCAAAGCGGGCACGTTCGACGGCGCTATAAGTATCAGCGCTCTTCAGTGGCTCTGCAATGCCGATTACAAGTCGCACCATCCGGTCAAAAGGCTGTCCAAATTCTTTTCGTTCCTCTACACCGCGCTGAGCCGTTCGAGCCGAGCCGTTTTCCAGTTTTACCCGGAAAACCCGGAACAGATCGAACTGGTCACGACTCAGGCGACGAAAGCGGGCTTCTTTGGTGGTCTTGTCGTCGATTACCCCAACTCGACCAAAGCGAAAAAATACTTCCTCGTCCTTATGACAGGGATAAATGCAACCCTTCCAAAAGCGCTCGGCACCAATGAGGTAGACTCGACTGTCGCCTACACAAACAAACGACAGAAATATGACAGTTTGAAAGGCAAGTCGGTGAAAAAGAGTCGTAATTGGATCTTAGATAAGAAGGAAAGGAGGAGGAGGCAAGGTCTCGACACGAGAGCGGATTCCAAATTCACAGGGCGAAGACGATGTGGGAAGTTTTAATTTCTGTATGTAACATATTTTAAATTGTAAAATATAAGTTTATTTGGTATATCTTTTTTTCAGTTGTACACTTTCTTCCTCAATACCACTTAGATTATATTTATTATAGTAGGAGACTTATTACTTAGTTTAGACTGTACAACAGGGTCGTGATAATCTGAATACAGGCTAATCCGAAGGAAACGGTAATCCGGACAGGCTGATAGTAAAATTTTTGCTATATTTTTACCACTCAACACAACCGCTATGATTTAACCCATGGATCAGAATGTAATCCAAAACACAAAATTGCACTATCGAGAAACTTTACACTCAACCATTCTTGCAGACGAACAAAGTGGAGTTGATCCGGTGGCAGCTTTGAAGAAAATTAATCTGAAAGATGTCATTTTTAATTCAGCATATCTTATCATCCGTCTCAAATGTCTTGGAAAAATCTTAATATGAACTTGATAGCTGTAGATGACACCCCTATATAGAAAATGGCATTATCCTTAGCCCACTTGTTCAGTTGGCCCAAGATAACACAAACAAATAACATCAAGAAATTTTAACTGATAAAGAAATTGTGCATGCTGCTGCTAATGAAGAAGGCAGAAGAAGAATTTGATGATGGATTTCCACCTTCAACAACATATGCTGCTGAAGCCATTGAGTGGAAATCATGTTGCTGAGATGCATAAGAGTCAAAGCTTGGAAACCAGCGTTTAGAATTGCATTTTTAAACTCCATAAATAATTAAAAATTAAAGTCACAATAAGTTACATGTATGTACGTAATAATTATAATTTTCTATGTATCAACAAAATGTGCAATACATAATTGTTTTATTAAAAAGCTATAGGTAATGCAAACGATTCGAAATTCAAACAAACAACCCCTTGCACAATTCCTTTCAGATTATCGCGACCCTGCGACCTGAATAATTAAGGTGAATAAGCAGAGTTGAGTGAATTTAAGAGAGCGATTTTGGTCGATTTGAAAATAATTTTTTTAAGTTGGATGTGAAATATTGGCACATACCTTCCTGTTGATCTTATAAGTTAGGTACATAAACCAAGCTGTCGCCAACAGTGCTGATCTCAGCATACTTACTAAATGTTACTCTAAATTGACTTATGCGCTTATTCTCAATATACTGATTTCAAATATTTATTTAAAGTAAACAAAATATAGAGAAGAATAAAGTTTTTCTTCATTCCTTGCAAGTGCATGATTGAAATATTAATAACAAAAAAATTGAAACATTTATTGCTACCTGCAATGGCATAAAGTTCATATCTACTTATCAAGCTCAAATAATAATAAATTAAGATGGATATTTATTCTATTCTTATGTGAGGTCGGTTGAGATGAAAAAGTCAGTGTCACAAGCGGGACACTACTTTTTCACCTCAACCAAGACCTTACATAAAAAGAATAATTAATATGGTCAATTAGGCTACTAAACATAGTGGATTAATTAATATATAAGTTTGTAACATGAAAATAATTTTGCTGTAAAGTGACTCAAATTAATTAGGACGATGCTTTGGAAGGTACGAGAAATTAGTTGTAATATTATTTAATCTGATTTGACCCCACGAATAAATTCTATTAGTTGAAAAACAGACTTGTCTGTGTATGTGTCTTCGAACAAGGTTCATTTTAGTTTTAATGTTATTTATTTTCATTTTCAGAAAAGAGGTAGGATAAAAAAAAATGGCAAGCTATTTTGAGGAAATGGGCTGGACGCCGCTTGCAGACGGCGAGACCCCGAATCATTACTGGCACCTCATTCGACTTTTGTGGGACGAGGCGGGAGAATCGCAGAGGCTGCCGCCGCCGACCTCCCAAGAAGTTATTGATAATTTGCCCGAAGCGACTATTTTAAAAAATGGTATTATTTTTATATTTATGGCATTGAAATTATAAAGGAACTTTTTTTCTTCTTCTTCGGAAATAGATATCCAGTGTACGATTTGCCTCAAGAAGTTTGAAGTTGGTGAGAAAGTCAAAGTGTTGCCTTGCACGCATGAATTCCATGCTCCTTGTATTCTCCCATGGCTTGGAAAGGTAATCACAATATTTTCTCATAAAATTTTAAAATAACATTTAACTTTCCCCTAGACGAGCACCTGCCCTCTCTGCCGAGACTATTTAAAGACTGATGATGAACAGTATGAAGAATACAAGAAGGCTAAAATCAGGGAAAAACAGAGGCAAGAAGAAATCGATGCACTGCACAATTCAATGTTTTCCTAAGGTGCAAGATCAAATTGTGATTATATAAATTCAGTTCTTTTAGGGTGGTTGTATGAAATTTACCAATTTGATTAAAAAAATAATATAAAAAAAAGTGGGTTTAGGATTTATATCTTTTTCACTAATAATACAAAATTAAAAAAAAAAAAAATCATAAATAAAAGACATTGCTCATTATTACGATTTGTTTAAAAAAAAATTATTTTCCTATTTAAGTTACTAATTCTATGCCTATATAAAATTGAAGTAATAGAAATTTATTACTATTAATTAAATATTTTATTAAGCATTGTGTTGTATTAATAAGTTATGTTTATTGTATTTATAATCAAATTTGCCTGTTAAAATTATTACTACTGAGTTGTTTTATTATTTATTCTTTTATGACATAAAAATATAATGCCAGTCATAAAAATCTGTCTTCTCTAGTTATTTTTCCTTTATGCAATTAAAATTGGCAGTTGATTTATTATAAATTTTCAAATTTAAAATAATGGGAAAGGTAGCAAGAAATCTTTTGAATAGATAATAATACTCAGTTATTCAAACAATACAGGTACCATCTGCAAAATAACCGACATATTACTAGGTATAGATCCTCTCATTATTTCACAGTTGTCTGTATACTTCTGTCATGATACTGGAGTATGCTGGTTCTGCTTGGTCACCCCGTACCAACACTAACATACAAATGGTAGAAAAGATGCAAACAGAATTAATTTTAGTTCTTTCCATAACAAAGCAAATTCAGTAATTTTAGATTCCCTCCTTGAAGGAAGAAATAGGACTGATTTACTAATTGTCTGCGGCATTCTCAACAATAATATCGAATCTTCCGAACTGCTCTCATATCTTAATTTCCGTATCCTATATTCCCATCTACCTACACCTGTCAAAAAACATTGTTCTTTAAATAGAATGATGGATCCTAGTCCAATAGGCTGCTTGTCTGTATAGACTTTAATATTATCTCTAAATTTTTGGAGGTGTTGAGAGTGCCTATGACAGAGAAGAATGACACATCTACATGGAAAACAAACACTTTGTGCCTTGAAGATGATCTCAATACAGATTGAAACGTTGGCACAATAAAGAAAATTTTTCTAAACCCTATGTCATGCCAGACCGAATCTCACGACCTCCAAATAATCATCAAGTGACGATCACTAAACACCACACATTATCTCTAAAGACAATTTGAAAAAATTCCTCATCATTCAGTTGTATTCATTTAAAGTCTTTTTCTATAGTTATTGTTTTACCATAGTTTACATTTTTATAATAATAACATTGTACTAAGTTTTCATCAAGGTTAACTAGTAGGTCTGAAGGTCAGATGAGACCACTGTGACATCCCAATTTCTAGACTTAATCAACAATCCGGCCCTCAGATGTTACAAATGTGAAAGGAAATGGCAATGTCAGTGGGCTGGATTGGCAGAGAAGTGCTTGTATATCAAGGGCATGGTCAACGGGTGGCCCTCAGATAATCTGAAATATAGAAGAGGGATCATACCCGATTAAGAATAGGCCATGCGAAGTTGACACAAAGCAATACTTTTGGGCAAAAGCCCACATATGTGACTAGCTTGTAGAGAACGGTTTCTCAATTTGTCCCACTGAATTGTAAGGTATCATTCCTTGGTTGTATATAGGGCGCTTGTAGGAATACCACCCGATATAAGAATTGTATGTGAACACGACGCCGAGTATTTTGGCCCCCGTTCCTATTTTTGAACGAAACAAGTTGTTTATTGTGTACTGTTGATGATAGATATGTTGTTTTGTGTCCCATTTTTGTCTGATGAATGTTTATTAGTGTGAATGTATAATGTGAGAGGACCAAAGGCCGAATATTTACCCCATCGAAAAATAATTCCCTACTCTTTTTAGGGCAAGGCTGAAGGAGGCCAAGACCCTTAAATTTGCAAACCAGAAACTAATTTAGTGACCCTGGTCCGGTATGGGGTTTCCCTTAGGTATGACGGGGAGGTGGATAGGTAAAAAAAATACACCATCGACTTGCAATTAGATTAGTTATAGGTTAGGAATATCGAATCATTATCCTCCATCCTTGAGAGAATGGTATGTAAATAGTTAAGATTGTTTTGAGTGAGTGAGAGTGTGAGTGGGTTGAGATTTAAAAACTTCATGCATTGGGGGCTGAAATGACCTAGCTGACAGCCCTTGAAGACTAACTTTTACGACAGGTCAGATAAGACCGAGGTCTGAGTGATTAAACCTGAGGAAAGTGATATAAGAATTGGTAATGACCTGAAGTTAATCTAAAGTAATCAAGGAAGTGAGCAAGAAATCCAATAATAACACTTAATAAATTGTAATGAAACTCATAACCTCTTAGTTTTGAACATCTAAATCTATTGTACATAATCGTTTGATCATTTCTGATAACTTTGGTCATCTTATCCACCTACAGACCCAGCACTAAAGATATCAAGAAACTGAACGGTGTCTAAAAAACCAAAACACTGAGAATGAGCAGACCAAAGTGAAACTCAGTGGTTCATCACCCCTTAGACCCCACGAGGAAATCTCAAAATTACAATTGCAGTTTTTTCATCTATAATTTTCTTGATCATTTATTAATAATACTGATTATTCAATTATATAAGCTCAATCACCCCAGCACACATACACACATGTACAGAGTTGAACCTATTACTTCTAGCAATACACCAGCAATTCCACAGTTTTTGTAATTCACAATAAATTACCGGTGGACCTTGAACATCATCCATGCCAGGTGTTGACAGTCCGGGGTCAGACCTTGATCATATCCATCCAGCACTGAGGTTGGGCTTCAGGGACTATGTCATTTCAGCACCCAACATAATAAGTCTCCCATTCACACTCTCACTCTCTCAAATATGTACCCTCTCATCCGTACACTTACTTAATCGGTGGAGGAGTGTCTGACATTCCTCCATCACCTTTACACCTACTACGTAACCTAATTGAAGGTGAATGGGGTACTCAATATTCCACCATCAGCCCTCTCAACTACACATTCACATTAATAAATACATTCACTCTCAATACACGCTAGGAGCATAAACCTATAAGTACCACATACAATTAAACAATCCGGCTTCCTCCAAGAACAGAACAGGGGACCAAGATACTCGCTACAATTATCAAGCACACTCATATTGTGACATTCCTACATGCGCCCTATATGGACCCTATTTATTAACATTGCTGAATGTTCCATGGGTTTTTATTTTTCTAATTTAGATGATTAGCCGAGAAAAGAAACCCAAATGCTCTTTTGCATTAGTTTTATTTTTGTGTTTTTAACTAACATAGAGGTTGAATTTGTTTTTGTTTTAAGAAAAAATAATACTTATTCTCTGGGTTATATTTCTTGTCTTTTCTACAAAATAGAAAAGTCTATTGATCTGATGTTATGTATGTTGTTATGGTTACATTTTAAAATAAATAATCTGGAACAACGGCTGCTATTTTTGTTACATGTGCCTATCACCTGTCAACCTTGCATTTTTTCCATTTTCCTTTTGAACATGAGTTAAGACTAGGTTTTAGAAATATATACATATACAATTACATTTGTATGTATGCGTATATAGGTAATCCGGTACAGTTTTCCCGCTGAGGATGGTGGGCACATCCGTTGTCGAAGATGAATCGGAAAGGAATTTCTCCAGTGCGCGTTATAAAAATAAAGTAAGTCATGGAAATTTCAATAGATTACTGGAGAAGATTTTTTTAAATTCTGTTTTGATCATATGTAGGCCATATGATTTTTATTTAATTTTCACCCTTTACAATGACAGTCTTTAGAAAAGTAAAAACATTTTTCTGAAAACTGAAAATTTATGAAAATAAACAAAAAACGACTGTTATGAATTATTGAGCTTAGACAATGTAGAAATTTGTTTAAAAGTAATAAACTATATGAAACAAAACTTATAATTATTTGCATTAATATTTTTCAGACTTTTTAATCTTTTATCTATCAATTTAATGGCTAGTGTGCAATTAGAAAATGAATCTATTAAGTCTTTTATGAGGAACAATAAAAATAAAATTTGTCTTGTTATTTCATGCCTGACAAAAATTTAAGACAACCTTGATTGTGCACATCTAGGTTGTGTTTGGGATTAAAATTTTTTTTTTTTTAATTATTATTTGCTTGGTTTTATAAGGAAACAAGAAATGTCATGAACCACGATTTCAAACCTATGTTTCCTGACTCGCTAAATCAAAAGCTTAAAGCTGAAGTCGATGTAAGTTCATCAACAGATGAGTTGATATATAAAAAAAGTGTTTAAAATATTGAATAATTTCATTTTTGCAAAGGGGTTACAATGTGAAAATTTGCGCTTGCGCAAGTGCCTTCAAGAGGCAGAAAAAAAGCTTTGTGATTCAAGAGGTACCGTAGACATACCGTCCCCTTTACGGGGTTTGGGTCGTTCCTCAGACCTAGCAGCTAGCAAAATCGTCGAACTCAGTAAAAAGGTCCGGGAGCTAAATGCCAAATTGGGGACAGCACAATCGAAAGCGCAAAGCGCTGAGGCTCAGTTGGCCGTTTACATAGGTACATAAATTAAAAATCTGCCGTGATAACATTGACCCCAATTGAAAATTAATTTTAGCGAGCAAAGCATCTGTGATAGAAGAGCCTACGCAAGACGAGCCAACTCTCCTCGAGCAGAAAGACAATCAGCTAAAAGAATTACAAGAAAAATTAACCACAGCGAATAATAAGCTTTGCGATGCTAGAAATCAGGTTCAACAATTGAAACACGAACTTAAACTATCCCAAAAGGTATATTTTGATTATAAATTATAAATATTACGGGGATAATATTAAATAAAATATTATTTAAAAGGTCTTAGCCAGCGAAGTAGGAGATGAAGCTACTCTTCAGAATGCTTTGTCAGGTACGGGGAATTGGAGAGGGAGAGCACAGCAGATTATTGCACTCCAACAGAAAGTAAGCGAACTCACAAATAAGCTGTCAACAACCGATATACCTCATTTAGAAAAATCCGCAAGTGAGAAAATTAGTTCAAAATTAAGTTTTAAACTTTTGTTATTAACTGACTTAAATTTTACTTTTAAGTATCTGTTGCCACGATGGAAAGGCATGCTGATAAGGAGAAAATGAATGCTCTCACGAGGGAAGTTGAAGCTTTGAAAATGGAGCTGTCTGACACAAGAAATAAAATGGACGCTTCGAGAGCAAGGGTGAAAGTGCTTACAAATGAACTGGGTGGTTGCAAAGCGCAAATACACAACCTAACCACTAAAGGATTGCAAGATGAACAAATGATTTCAAAATTAACTGTACATTTTATTTTTATTTGAGATTTTGAAATGAAAATAACAATAATTTTTTTTTAGGAACAAATAGGTGGTATGATGGAAAGGTCGAAAGAGCGTGAAGAGTCTCTTTTAAAAAGTCTTAAAGACAGAATTAACGACATGTCGATTGAATTGAACCAAGTAAAAAATATCTCGATTTTAATGGTACATTTTGTTTAAAACATGTCAATTTCAGGAGAAAGCAAAGGTAGAACAATTGAGAGCAGTTATAGCAGAGCAAGAAGATAAAATAGAAAGACTTGAGAGTAAAAATCAAGATCATAAAATGGACACTCAAAGCCCTGTGTAAGAAAACAAATCGAAATGTTAAACCATTAATTTTTTAAAATACATATTTGATTTTCAGGCAAATAATGGAATTTAATGACTGTCGCCCAATGTCTACTGCAAGTAGTTTTGACAGACATTCTTCAGGCTCTGTAAGTAGCCAAAAAACTTCAAATCATAGAGTGTAAAATTTGACATACAACATTGTATTTGCACTGAGGCTAAACACTTCATCAAAAACACTTGATTTTATTAACACATAAATTGATTTATGAGGTATCTTAAACAATTTACCAATATATCAAAATTTTTGAATGATATCTACTGTAATGAAATTATTGGTAAAATTCAATGTATTTGTGTAATTAGGGATGTATTCTTCAAACGTCAGAGGCAGAACGTTTAAGATTGATGGAACTTGTATCTGTATTGAACAAGAGGCTAGACAATGAAAGGAAAACTTTAGAAAAGGCGATGGTATGTTTGTCTTTTATATTTTCATTATTAATTTCATTGAGTTTTTTTTCCGTCCTAGGATGATTTAAGAAGGGAAAGGCACAAAGGTGCTAAAATGGAGACAAAGTTAGCTAAATTGGAAATGGAAAAGATTGGCTGCAGTAGGGGAAACAGTTGCAGCAGCGTCTATCAGAAGTCTGTGCCTAAAACCGCACAATCTTCATATTCAACTGCGGTCAACGCTGAGTTGGAGATGGCGAGAGACAGGTGTGAACTTCTTCAAGAGAAAGTCCTCGCGCTCGAGACGAGGCTCGAAACTCTCAAACAAGAAAGGGAGGAGGATTCGCGAATTTACATGAACATATTGGAAGAAACGAGAAACACTGTAAAAGAGCATCTTCGAAGTTCAGCCAAAAGTTCGAGCATTCCTTCGACTGTGATTGTACCTTGATGAAATGATCGGTATGTCTTGTTTGAAAGTCAAACGAGGCCTGTTTAGAAGCAAAATTAAATTGAATTTTTTAGAAATTCCATCGCTCTATATGAATAACACTTAGGTATATATACTGATGGAATGGAAACAGTACAAATTGTAAAGAATTGTAATTTAGTAAAAATTGTAGCTATTTGTTATGGAAAGGGATATCACAAAATCATAATAAAAGCAAATAAAATAATTAACTGTTTTCTTTGTTGTAAAAATTTACAATTTTGACTAAGTATCAAATTTTAAAATTCCTGTCATTAATTTATATAGCCTAATTATAAAAATGTATAACTTTTTAAATTTGAAATATTTGATTTTTAATAAGGCATAATAAAGTTATTTATACCGATATATTGGATACTTTGTTTGTCTTTGTTACTTATTCATATATATTTAAAAAATTTTAAAGAATTTATTTATTTAAGAAGCATACAAAAAGGCACGTGCTCAATTTAGAGTATTAACAAAAAAATCCAATTAACATAAAAATCAGAACATATATATTTTTAACAAAAATAGTGAATCAACAAATGTACAAACATTATAATATAATAGCGTATAATAACAGACAGCAAAGAATAAGACCTTAAGGAACAGCAACAGGCACATAGATGTTCCAATATCTCAGAAATAAATATTTTTAATTGTATTCACTAATTTCATGGTCCGCTTGACCAATTAATACATTACAATTAATTAAGGTTTTTAGTTGAGATGAAAAAAGTTAATGGCACGAGCGGGATTCGAACCCACTATCTTCGGCTAGATACGCCGCTGCTCTACCACTTGAGCTATCGTGACCTCGATCCACTCGGACATCAACTTCCTATCTCAACCCCGCCTTAAGAGTTTTCCCTCCTTTTTGCCATTTTTAATTTTATATAGAATCTTTGTGTCTTATGAATATGTATGTGATATATATTATTTATTGGAACAAATGTATTTATTGGTGTGAATGGAGGGGCTTATCCCCAAAAAACCCCCTGAGGAATATTGAGTACTCTGGGGTAGTATGAATGTAATTTATTAGCGTGAATGGAAGGGCATATCCCTAATTACACTGAGGAATATCGAGTACTCTTGAGTAGTACAAAATGGCATATTACCCATGAAGTTTTCTATTTTCATTTTACTGTTGAGCGGGATCGGCCGACCAGGACCAGGTCCCCGCCGTGCGCCCACACCCACTCATTCAGCTCCATCATCTTCTCAGCTTCTAAATTTTCATGGTTGAAGATAATCAAAAAGAAATGTTTATCGACTTTAGAAATCCATAGATTATGTTGAAAGCTGATGGATTGTTGCTTATTAGGACAGATTCTAAGTTTATTGGTTTGGAAATTAGGACTTTGCTCAGATTTTTTAGCAGTTTGTCTCTTTCATTTTCATATTCTGGACATTCAAAAATTATGTGGGAAGGATTTGAAGGGCAATCGCAAGTGGGACAGTTCGGAGACGATGCCAAACCGATTCTCTTCTTGTAGCTACCCCATAGGCCATGATTTGTCTTCAGTCTAAAAATAGTAGAATAGAACTCCTTTGACATTCCTTCTGGGCTATCGCCTTCCAAAAACCATGGTTTTTTTTCTTGAGCTCAGGGAACAGTGACCTGTAATAATTGCCAACATTTGATGCGTTGTATTTTTCTTGCCACAGATTTCTACAAAACTTTTTCAAAAAGTTTTTCCCATCATCTTTAGGAATTTTAACGTCAAGGGTTGGGCAGCCTCCTTTGCAAGTACGTCCATCATTTCATTTTGCCATAAGCCTGCGTGCCCTTTCACCCAATACAATGCCACCCTTTTTCCCATGATTTTTGTCTCAACCATTTTCCTACAGATTTGGGCAAAAATATAGTTTCTGCATTTATATTCTGGGGTAATGTTATTTATCCTTTGTACAATGCTTCGACAGTCTCTGATAACCAAAATGATGATATGATAATACAAAATGATAACCAGACTACCATGTTTTTATCTTGTTTCTGTGAATTTGTGTTTATTGTTAGTGTTATTTTATCCAAAGTTGACGAGGCTCTGAGGTACAGAGAGGCTAGAAAAGAACAAAGAAAACAGAGAGTTGATTAAAATACTGTAACTCAGCTAAAGAAACAGAAAAAGAAATTTGTAGGATCAAAATGCGAAAAAAAAATGTAAATCTAAGGAAGAGAAGGCTGGCAATGACTAATGTAGTTTGCCGGCCCTATATATGTGTAAAATAAAAAAGAGAGAAAAAAGTGTCTATGTATTGAATGCAAAGTGATTTTTTGCAGCACCCATGAACCCATACGTTTTCTCATATCTGATGGAAGAAAATTTGAAAATTATCAAAATAATCTTCATTTTGTAATAATTTTTTAGAGTGATCCCAACTAGCGAATTCTCAAGATGTGACACATGATCAAAACATTTAACGCGCATAACAAATAACTGAGTAAAAAGAGACGTTAAGCGACAAATCGCCACTGCATCAAGTGTCTAATTAAAAAGGGAGTCACAATAGAGGAAGTGTGGAAAAATGAGAGAAAGTGCTAGCCCTTAGCGTACTTCATCAGGTGTAAAATAACTTAGTTGTTTAAGGGAGTGAAGACCAAAGTAAACGTCACAAATTGCAGAAAGCTGAGGTTGCCAGGAAAGTTTTTCGGTCAAAATAACCTCCAAATGTGAACATTTGTAGAGTATGGAATAGCAACAATACAGACTACAATGCTATTGGGCACAACGTGTAAGGATGAAGCATAGAAATTAATTGCTTGGGTCTTAGATTGGTTTAAAGGGAAACCTATTAACCATGGCATTAATGTCATCATTTGTACATCATTAATATTAGAGGAACACACCTGTTAAAAAATTTGCAAGTCATCTTTAAAAAGGTGGTACTTGGAGTACTGGACTATTTGAGGCAGATCATTAATGAATAATGCAAACAAGAGAGGGACAAGTACAGAGCCTTGAGGGATTCCAAAAATTAATGGTTAATAGGAAGAGTTTATCCCACGTGTTTCTATACACAGCGATTACCTAGTAAGAAAGGATGATAAAAGCTTACAAGCAGCAGTGAGGATCCAGTGCAGGATGCTGATTGCAGTGCCTTTCTCCTTTCTTAGATATGGCTTTAATTGTATCACTTTCAGCTTAAGACTCCTTACATTTTTCAAAGATTACCAGTGTTGAAAAAGTATAACTTATCTGTATATTTTTTTAATATAATTTTGATTTGATTATAGTGCAAAAATGCAAATTAAAGCATATATGCCAATTCATTTATATGACCTTAATTGTATCACTTTCACCTTAATAAGATATAATCTTAAGAAAATTAAGACCTTACATTTTTCGAAGATTTCCAGTGTGGAAAAAGTATGAGTTATATATATATTATATATATATTTTAATACAATTTTGATTTGATTATGGTGCAAAATGCAAAATAATGTATTTGTCCTAATGCTAGATAGATTTTGTGAGGGATGCTGATTGCAGTTCTTTCTCCTTTCATCAATATGATCTTAATTGCATCACTTTCACCTTAATAAGATATAATTTTAAGAAAATTAAGGCTCCTTATATTCACTAATTTCGAGGTCTGCTTGACCAATTAATATATTACAATTAATTAAGATTTTTAGTTGAGATAAAAAAGGTGCGGTTGAGATGGGAAGTTGGTGTCCGAGTGGATCGAGGTCACGATAGCTCGAGTGGTAGAGCAGCCGTGTATCAAGCCGAAGATCGTGGGTTCGAATCCCGCTCTTGCCATTGTCTTTTTTTATCTAAACTAAGAAGCTCCTTATATTTTTCAAAGATTTCCAATGTGGAAAAAGTATGAGTTATTTTTATATTATTTGCATATAATTTTGATTTGATTGTGGTGGAAAATGCAAATTAATGCATATGTCCTAATGCTCTATAGAATTTTGTGAGGGATGCTGATTGCAGTGCTTTCTACTTTCATTGATATGACCTTAATTGTATCACTTTCACCTTAATAAGATATAATGTTAAGAAAATTAACTCTTTACATTTTTTGAAGATTTCCAGTGTGAAAAAAGTATGAGTTATTTTTATATTATTTGAATACAATTTTGATTTGATTATGGTGCAAAATGCAAGTTAATGCTTTTTTTGCTAATGCTCTTACCTCTACAGAATTTTGTGAAGGATGCTGATTGCAGTGGTTTCTCCTATCTAAATATGGCTTTAATTGTATCACTTTCAGCTTAAGACTCCTTACAATTTTCAAAGATTACCAGTGTTGAAAAAGTATGAGTTATTTTTATATTATTTGAATATAATTTTAATTGGATTATGTATCAATGTATTAATTATAATTGTAAATTAAGCTCTTTTTTTATCCCTATAGTATTTTGTGAGGGATGCTGATTGCAGTGCTTTCTCCTATCTTAAATATGGCTTTAATTATATCACTTTCAGCTTAAGACTCCTTACAATTTTCAAAGATTACCAGTGTTGAAAAAGTATGAGTTATTTTTATATTATTTGAATATAATTTTAATTAGATTATGTATTAATTATAATTGTAAATTAATGCATGTGTTAATGCTATTTTTTACCCCTATAGTATTTTGTGAGGGATGCTGATTGCAGTGCTTTCTCCTTCCATCGATATGACCTTGAATTTTATTACTATCGTTTTCACCCCTCTGGTGGGCAAGTATAATTTACTTATTGTTATTATTATTTAATTAATGTAATATTTAATAGCATTTTTACTTTATTTTGTGAAGTTTGTTGTCCAGTTGGAAATAGAGTGGCTGTCAAATGGTGTTTATGTGTCCGACGTCAGAGACCACGTGCCGGAGGGTGGCCCCGCCTCCAAAACAAACCGAGCCCAATAGGAGAAGCGCAGCCCCGAGCAGAAACACCATTGGCCCTCCCCGTCCCAAAAGAAAACAAACCCGAGTGCAATTTTGTTGTCCAAGTCCTGCAACTGCAGGTGATTCTAGAGCTCCAATACTTCCGACGCTTCGCGACCGCGTCCCTACTGCAAAGCACCCCAAGCAGCCCGAGGCCCTCGACTCGGATTTCCGACGTAGAACCCCTCGATTTTTCCCATCCGTCTCAGAAATCCCGTCGAAAGGATAAAAGTCGAGTTTCGATAAGGATATCGCCCCGAGAACGGCCCTTGTTTACAATATGTGACTCTTCCACCGGACGGGGGTGTGTCGTTATATCGATTTTCTCCAGCTTCGCACTCACCCCTAACCTCCAGTTGTGCTTTCAGTTTGCCCCCTTGTGCTTTTTTCCCACCCCTAGTCGAGCCGTCGCGTTCGGAATTATGCGTGAAAGGGCGGCCAAGGCCGTGACTGGAGGACTCGTACAATAAATTGGTAAGGGACGAAACAGTCAATTAACGTTTTCTCAACACTTTTCAATGTTTTCTTTCCATTTTAATGCTTGGAATGGCGTGGCCCTTGACCTTGAATCTGTGACGTAGGTCACGGTTAGTGTTTTTGTCCCGAGAATTACCCTGCTACGCAATTCCCTAAATACAAAATAAAACCGACATTGGACATTTTCTCAATACGCGGCAAGCATTTAAAAAATTCAATATCCAAAAATAATAAAATAAAACTTGCCCAAATGCCATTAAATACGGCTCGTTCTTCCAATGACAACAAGCATTGTTTATTTACTAAACGAAATTGGTACATCATTCAAAATAAACAACCATTCGACCATTGAAAACAATGCGGTTTTATAAATTGTAAATTGTCAATAAAACAATGTTTTATTATGAATTTGAGTAAATCTTGATAGAAAGAAAGTCAACTGCTTTACATCTATTTCACTAGTTAGCTAATGATTTAGTGGTGGGATAGTTGGAAAGTAGTTTACTTTCTTTTCATCCATTCATTTACTTGAGACAAAAAGAATAAAGTGTTTTACATGAATATTAGTTAATTTAATGCAAGATTCTACTCAACAATTAAACACTAAAAAAAAAAAAAAATACTGCCCAAACATTAAATTATTTATGAACTGACAACAAGCTTTGTTTATTTTATGAATGAAATCATTACATCATTCAAAAGTAATAATTATCGATTCAACCATTGAAAACAATGTGGTTTTATAGGTTATATTGACAATAAAATTAACTTTATCGTGAATCAGGATGTCTAGATGTAAAGAAAGTCAACTACTTTACCACTATTTCAGCAATTAGCTGATGATTTAGTGATGAAATAGTTGGAAAGTAGTTTACTTTCTTTTCAACAATATAAACATTTACTTGAGGCAAAAGTAATAAAGTGTTTACATAAATATTAGTTTATTTTTTAAAGCATGGTTCTATTCAACAATTATATGTTTAAAAAAATAAAAACATGCTAGCAAGTCATTAAATTTGACTACGTTTGAACCGACAAGCTTTGTTTATTGCCATCATAAATTTGTGTCTTGGTGTAAAGAATGAAAACTGCTTTCCAACTATTTCACCAGTTAGCTAAATGATTTTGTGAAATGTTTGAATACATTGGAAAGTTTACTTTCTTATCCACCCGTGCGGACATTTACTTGAGACAAAAGTAATAAAGTGTTTTACATAAATGTTAGTTGATTTTAATACTTGATTCTGTTCAATAATTAAACATTAAAAAAAATAAAAACATGCTGTGGAATCATTAAATTTGACTACTTTTGAGCTGACAAGTTTTGTTTATTTCATGAATGAAATCATTATATCACTCAAAACAAATAAATATCCATTCAATGATTGAAAACAATGTGGTTTTATAGGTAAATATAAATTAACAATAAAGCATTTTTTCATAAATTTGATGTCTGGATATAAAAAATGACAATTGCTTTCCAACTTTCATCTATTAACAAATGATTTAAGCAATAAGTTGGAAAGTACTGCATTTTCACCATTTCAATTTTTCACATGAGAAAGACTTGGAAAATGTTTTAATTAAATATTATTGTTTAAGCAAATTCAAAAATGATATATAATCTATAAGATATGATTCTTTGAGTGGTGTGACGTGGGCTTAGAAAAACATTTTCTTTTACATGCCAACTTTTCGATCTTTATTGAGATCATCTTCAGGGCCTGGGATTTACAAACATTGTTTAAATTATATACGTACATGTAAGATGTAAAAAAATGGATTTATACAATGATAGAAATTTTATACTTAATCACGATACACAGTAATGACACATCTTCACAGAAAACAAATACTTTGATTGAGTCTAAAATTTCTATCATTGTATAAATTCATTTTTTCATATCTTACATTTTTTTGTATAATTTAAACATTGTTTATAAATCACAGGCCCTGAAGATGATCTCAATAAAGATTGAAACGTTGGCACGATAAAGAAAATATTTTTCTAAAACCTACATCACAAAACATCTCACGATCTCCAAATAATCATTAATTAACAGTCACTAAACACCACCCATTGCATATTATAGTATAATTATATATAATATATAATGAGGTTCCATCGCAAAGAGGTACAAACCTTAAAATGTTACATTTTTAGTTCTTTCTTTGTTTGCCATGCTAATATTTATAAAAAAGAAATTAAATAACAATAAAAACGTATGATAATATAGATATAGTAAGTCTGTATGTAATAAAATCCAATTGCTTTCCAATTATTTCACCAGCACCAGTTAGCTAATGAGTATATATAATTCACAGAAAATAAAATAAAAACTTGCTCATGAGTCACTTTTGACGTGGTGAAACACACTGTTTATTTTTTGTATCAAATTGGTAAAACATTCAAAATAAACAACTAAACAGTTAGCTAATGATTTATTAGATGGTCAAATAAGTTTAAAATATCCTAAAATTCTTTTTACTTAAATTTATTTTAGATTTATTAAGAAAATCCTTAAATATTTTAATCATGCTTTCTTTTCTTATCTTAATATATTCTTTTCTTTTATTTCAAGATTTTTTGTTTGTTTTCACACACATCAGGTTGAAATAATAAATAAATGACAAAATAATAATTGTTACCATTGGAATTTCACAGATTTAAAATAACAAACGTCAATTGTTGTAACAGTTGGTAAGTAATCCATTTTCATATCATATTTCATATTTTACTTACAAAAGAAAATAATAATAAGTTTTAATTAATTAAAAAAAGTTACTTAAAATGTAATTGATTAATATCAACTTTTTCAACAAATGAACATGAGAAAAATGTTCATTAAACGATATAAATGAAATGACAACATGCTAGTTTTATTTTATAAATGAAATAATATGCAAAATAAACAAAATTTGACTTTTAATGTCAATAGTAATTTCTAACTAGTTGAAAAATAAAAAAAAGATTTCCTACGAGAGCAAGTTAAAGTTAAAAAAACAAAAAATAATAATAATTTAAAAAAGTAAATAGCATATGCTTATATTTTTTGGCATCAAGATATTTTGTTTACTTTCTTAATGAATATTTGAAATAGACAATTAAATATTGTGGCATTTTTGTATGTTTAAAATACATTACAATAGATTTTAATTTTTTTGAAAATTCTACCAAAGACTAAAAAACGATTTAACCAGTTCACAACAAGTAAGTTGGAAAGTATTTCATCCATAGATTAAATTTATTGCATTAAAAAAAGTACATAAATGAATTTGATTTATGAATTTCATTGTTAAAGTTTATAATTGGATTTTTTCTAACATGACTGAAACATTCAAAAGAAAGAAAAGTAATCAAGCAGCGGCATGTTTCGTTTTATGAACAACGAAACATTTATTTAATAATTCTTGAGAGATTTCTCTGAGCGAAACCAGTAAGCTGCTCGTTACAGAATGAATGCAAAATGCTGAAACATGTCTGGCAGGACTAAAAGAGGACTGCCAGACCAAAACGCTCTTAAATTACCAAATTACAAATTGTTTCGAGGTAATGAAAAATTTTGCAAACTCATCAGCTTTTAGGCCATTTAAAATGATTTTCAGAATTATCAGATGCAAATAAAAGAATTTGACATGAGAAAGTATTCGTTTATGTATAATTAATAAAAAAGATTAAAGTATATGAGCAATAAAACGTCATCAACTGGTACGATATGACGATACTATTTTTATATTATTTTTGTTCAATAAATGTAAGTTCGAACACAAAGATAACTGATTTCAACTAATTATTATTTGATGAAATTGTCTTAAATATATTAATTGTTTTTACAGGGTCTCTCACTTGGAATTTGATCTCTTTTAACTACCAAAGGCAGTGTACTCTATAAAAGTAAGTGTTAATTAATTAATTATTATAAATAAACCTTATTGTTTCTGAAATAATCCACCTCTTTACTGTGAAACATGACCAAACAAACAATTTGTATTGTTGAACTAAATTGTATAACAAAAAAAATTTCTACTTATTTAGTTTAAAAAGGGTTAAAGAAATACCTGAATCCATTCTTCATAGGGTGTACTTCTTAGAGCCTATCTGTTTTAGAGATGGCCATCTGAACCAAACTTTGTACAAGTGATTTAATCCTAATCCAGTACCACATTGACCCTTAAGAGAGACTAATAATAATATTTATTTTCAGTTTTGGTACAATCAAAATATACTGTATAAAGTGAGCTGGTAAAAAAAATCATCATATAAGTTATTTAAGAAATGGCAAATAGCTTATTTAGATGAAATAATATACTGGCTCTAAGAAAAAGAAAAAAAAAGGAAAAAACTTTAACAAATTTAAAAACATTTACATTAAAAAATAAATAAAATATTCTTGAGATAATTATTTCAAAACAAATAGACCAACTTTACAATTTAAATTTCAACACTTTAATTATATGTTCACCATAAAAATACAGATTTATCATAGTTTTTTAGAGATTTTTTTGACAGTTTTTAGTATATTCGATTGATGAAGGCAATACTTTTTGGCATGTTTGGTTGTGTACACATTACATTTGGTTTATTCACATTTATAATTTTACACTTCTTCTTATTCTTCTATTAATATTCCTTGTATTATTATTTATTCAATTTGATGTGTCTTCTAAAATCGAGTGTTCCATGGTGTAATTTCTTTGTGTTATAATGGACTTCCTCAGCAGCCTAAATGGGTTCTTCACCAATTATCATCTCCGTACCGGAATATTTGAGATAATCGGCAGTAGACCATTTGGATTGCTGAGGATAGGCCTGGGATTTATTTTTTTTTTGGTTCCTTTTTATTTATTTTATTCTCTATTATAAACAAATAGAACAACTGACGCTTAACTTTTTTTAAATTTATTTATGTTCACCAGATATTTAGCATTTTTGTTTGTTTTTCCTCTCACCAACCTCTGAATTCACTGAGTGAAGGGCATACTGGGGCCAGTCAATTTTGTGCCATAACAATATCACTATTTCTATGTATTTTATACTGAGTGAGTTATACAGGGTGAATTGCTACTCGTGCTACAAACTTCTCCAGTAGATTCTTCACCCTAAAATGAACAAAAAAGTTCATATTGTCCATGGTCCGATTCTCAACCATTTCAGAGTAATTTCGCTTTTTATCGATTTTGAAAGATATCACGTCCTGGCGTCGGAAAATCGTGATATCTTTTAATCTAAACATTTCTCTTAAAATCTATAAGCACCGTTGAAATCCCCGTTAATTTTTAGAGAGAATCAAAATCATAATTCCATTGAAATTTTTTAATTTAATTTAATGCCCATTTAGTATGTAATGCTTAAGAAGTTTACAAACAGCTAGAAGGTCAAGGAAGAAAGACCCAAACGTTTTGCCACCTTCATCTTCTTATTGAAAAATTAACGGGGATTTCAACGGTGCTTATAGATTTTAAGAGAAATGTTTAGATTAAAAGATATCACGATTTTCCGACGCCAGGACGTGATATCTTTCAAAATCGATAAAAAGCGAAATTACTCTGAAATGGTTGAGAATCGGACCATGGTCAATATGAACTTTTTTGTTCATTTTAGGGTCAAGAATCTACTGGTGAAGTTTGTAGCACGAGTAGCAAGTCACTCTCAAACATTAGCAATCCTTGAACCACCATTTTTTCTCTTTTTGTCATCAACATCTTGGTCTCACAACCACTAAATAAGAAAATGACGAGTGCGTTGGAAGCGTTATTAAATCAGGTAGTTTTCCTCAAATTTGCTGCCTTCTGAGACTAAAATTAGAAACTCTGGATTACTTTATACACTTTCCGATTTACACAATTTTCCACTCTTTTTGTAGTTCTGGCTGAAATAAAACACAAAAAATTAGCCCAAACATTTTGCCACCGTCATCTTCTTATTGAAAAATTAACGGGAATTTCAACGGTGCTATTAGATTTTCAGAGAAATGTTTAGATTAAAAGATATCACGATTTTCCGACGCCAGGACGTGATATCTTTCAAAATCGATAAAAAGCGAAATTACTCTGAAATGGTTGAGAATCGGACCATGGACAATATGAACTTTTTTGTTCATTTTAGGGTGAAGAATCTACTGGAGAAGTTTGTAGCACGAGTAGCAATTCACCCTGTATTTAACTATTAACTATAGTTATATATAACTTTAGGTTTATATAGTTACTAATTGTGAGTAGGAACTATTTTTTTATAAAGATTGAACAACTTACTCCACGATTTATCATTTCTATAATATAATTGGCTACTTGTTATAGAATTCATGTTAATGTTGCTATATAAGTTCTGGCTACCGTGTATGTAATGCTGAAAAATAAAAAGTAAATCAAATCAAATTAATTCAAGACCTGTACTTCCAGAAACAATGCTGTATGGGTTTATTTATTTTCTTTCCCTCCACTATCACTCAAGTATAATTATTTGTATAATTGTATAATATTTTAGGAAAAACTTTTTTTGTTTTTATTTTCTTCAATTTTGATCATCCTGTGCCTTGATCATCAGTTTTGGTTTGTCAGACAAGTTTTGGCATTTCACCACGTTCAATGGTGCATTATTTCTTTTTATCATTTATTTTTATGCTATGTAGTCTTAAGTAAATCATTTTTTTTCACTTTTTGTAAAGGCAGGTTCTATTCTCAGATTTATTTTTATTATTTCTAAGTTTTCTAGCCGAAGGTCGTGGGTTTGAATCCTGCTCATGACATTAACTTTTTTATATCAAGCAAAACCGTACATAAAAATGTAAATTATGATGTGTGCTGTCATTCGTCTTTTTTTTTAACTGTTTGTCATGTAGACACAATCACAAACCACTGAAAATAGCAAAATGAGCCTGACAACAAATCAGCAAGAGGAGTGCATACTTTGGTCATCTCTGATCATCTTGGAGTTTCATTTTTCTTGTCGAAACGACTTACAGAAGGCTTAATGCTGAATATAGTCTGACGACCAAAACAGCACCAGGCAGATCAGGGTGACCAAATTGGTTATTTACACAAAAATCCCAATAATTTGGTCAAAATTTATTCCGCAATTTATTGTGCAATTTTGATTAATCATAAAATTTTAACCACGTTTAAAACTGTGAGATTGCCGCCCATTGTCTGTGGGGTGATGAACGTGTAATTGATAGTTTCGATTTTTCAAATTTGTTTAAAGACATTTCCAATTATGGTAACAGTATTGAATCTGAATCTGGCTACATTGCTGGCAGCTTGGTCTGTCGGACCTGCTTCACCACTATTTTGCCATCTTCAGTGAGTCTGTGTGATTGTGTTAAAACAAGTTTGTTTTAATGGTTGCTTATGTTGGCATTATCTTTCTTTGGTAGATTAAATCTTTTTTTCTATTGTGTAAATATACTTGACATAAATAAATGTAACGAATCTTAATTTTTTTTTGTACGTTTTGATAAATTATATTTACTTTTGTCAGCTTTTTCTCATGCCAAAACTAAAAAAAGTAAATAAACAAAAGGAACTAACAATCCAGAAATATTTACTTTACTTTAAAGAACTTAAATTATTAAATTAATTATAAATTATTATAAGTACTTGGACACTAATTTTTTCCTATTTATTTTAAAAAGATAAATAGGATGTTATATAAAGAAAAAGAATTACTATTTTTTAAACATTTTATTTAAATTGAACACATTGACATTTCGACTAGGTTGCACACTACAGTGTTTTAAAATTTGAAATATTTATTTTTACCAATCAATTGGTTTTAAAGTGACAAATCTTGATATAATAAAGACGAGGACAATCGTCCCCGTAACGAAGCATATGACAAAAGTGTAAAAAGAGTCTTCATCAAAGACGTCCGTAAAAGCCGGAATCTGGTTGTACAGGGTGTCGATCAACTTGACGTTGTAGCCCTCTTTGACCTGGTTCTTAGGCATCGTCGGTGTGTTTGGTTTCGAGTCAGTTTAACGCCTTTTATTCAACGTCTTCTTCGCCGATTTAGTCGTGACTATAACTGCTGGTTCTTCTTTCGGTGCTAGTACTGTGATGTGCTGGTTGTAGAGTTTTAGCATCTCAAGCGCAGAGAGATTGGCACTGTTGAACACCACCTCCTCTCCGTTGGCTAAAAATGTGTCAAAACGGTTTATATATATGCTGTTTAAATTTTACTTCGCTAGATTTTTGTTTGATTGTTTAAACCTACCTAGGCCAAACGTAATAGAAGGATCAGTTCTATCGCAGAGCACTTGGGTTTTAATAGAACAATTCAGATTAGTCTGTTGTACTTTTTTCGTTGACAAATAGTACAGAAAGTACCTAAAATTAAAAACCAATTTTTATTAATTAATGTATTTTGTTTTTTGTGTTTTTCTAGGGTCAAAATGGATCTGCCTTTCCAAGACCTGCCCATCATACATAGAGACACGTCCACTATGGTCGGAAAATCATTTGGATCAGGTAAAAACATAATTGCCAGAATTGAGCGATCATAGCGTACCTCGTTTGCTCGACCTTAGGATGAAAAGGATCGAATTTGATCTGCACCTTTTTGACTGGTTTGAGTGTAACGGACCTGAGCTGTTTGCTTATCGCAGACGTCAATCCACCACTTTTTGATATTGTACCGGAAAACGGGATTGACATTATTTGTTAGGTCTAGTTAGTAGTAAAGGTTATTTGCCCATTTTCGACCTATTGGGCGACCCGACCTGATGACGCGTTCCGATTCCCGTCTGAAACGGTGTCCGCGCTCAGATCGCGATTAAATTCCCGCTCTTTCATCATCATTTTCATTCTTCCCTAACTCCTAACTCTTCTACCTAAATCCAACTTGAACAACTGAACTAAAAGTTTTCCCCAAAAATCTACCTTGCATAAATAAAAAATAAAAAAATAGCCCAGAGGTTAATTGAACAAAGAAAAGCGGGGATGAGAAAAATCAATAATCTCTCATACCTGAGATAGGAAAATATAACTACTATTAATAAACCCAAACCAATTTTATCCTTTTATTGAAAACGATAATAATCAGCAAGTTTTATGCTTAATGTACATTCTAATATGTGAAGCAAATTGGAAAGAGTTTAAAAGAAAGTCAAGTCTCTTTTGTTATCATTGTTGTGTATTTTCCTTCATTTGCATGCTCCAATAAATTACTACATGCTGGATAAAAAACATTATTAAATGTACGTACAGATAAAGACAATTATTGGGTTCAAACCCACTCATGAAATTAGCTTTTTCATCTCAGCCAAGACCTTACATAAAAAGAATAATTAATTGAAATAATTAATATGGTCAATTAGACCACTAAACATAAATGGATTAATATCTAATAAAAATAAAAATGATAATAAAAAGTAAAATATTCATATAGCCTACTCAAAGACAAAACATCTGCATACTCCTATTTTGTTGTTTACTTCAAACAATATGTATTTTTATTCATATTTATTTTGATGTTAACCAAATTGAACAAAGCAATTTATGAGTTAAAAAAAAAAATTACGGTAGTTTGAAAGAAAATTCACTGAAACCGGAAAATCATTTAGTGATAGATCAAAGTGACCTATTAAAATTGAAATTTAATCGTTTCTCACCATTGGAAGAATAATGTCTCATACGCTAATGTAAATTGAAGACCTATATAATTTTCTTGCTATCTGCCCTAAATATGCCAAAGGACAGAATAAATGGTGTGATGCGAAACACATTAGAAGGACATTTATTTGAATAAATGGAAAAAAATGACTTTCTTAAGTAAATTGTCATTTTAAGTAAGAAGCCAAATTGTACCGCGATAATTTTTTTTTTTAAATCCTTATATTGTATGAAATATCAAAAACTATTTTTTAAATTTTATTATTATTTTTTGTAATATTTTCTTGTGGAACTATCCACTAATCTGTTTATTACTTGTTATTTCTCTATTCTAGTTCTCTTCTGCATTTAGTTAGGTTTCTCTTAATTTGTATACATATTTGCAAACTTAATTAACAAATTTAAAAGTTTTTCCCCCAAGATTTTTATTTTTTTTAAAATAACTTAATATTTATTATAGTATATTTATATTGTTAGTCTAACATTCATTTTATGTTTTCCCCGCAGTGTCACTGGTCACAAACTCTCCTTTCTTTCTATTACAACCTACAAGAATTTTTTTTTCAAGCCTCGAAAAGTGCACAACCCTTTATGGTATTTTAGCACTTTCTACGGTTCCTCTTCACATATTTATTTAGGCATCAAATTCCGAAGAGGCTGTAACGTTTCTGGGCTAAAGCTTTCCAGTCGCAAAGAACACGCTCCAATGTTCTCTCTGTTTCTTCATGACAAAGTTGGAAAGTTTCTGCCTTTTTTTTAACATGGTAATTAAATGGTCAGTACAAAGACATATTTTTCTTAGTTCCTGCCTTCTGAGAGAGAGATTTTTGTTTTCTTGGTTGATGTTGATGAAACTTCTTTGATTGTTTGTGATGTTTAGTGACAGTTAATGATTATTTGGAGGTTGTGAGATGCGGTCTGGTGTGATATAGGTTTAGAAAAATATTTTCTTTATCGTGCCTATGTTTTGATCTTTATTGAGATCATTTTCAGGGCTCAAAGTGTTTGTTTTCTGCATAGATGTGTCATTATTGGGATTGATTTATTGAGCAATATCTCACTGGCACTCTCAACACAATACAATAATGAGTATAAAATGATCTCAATAATGATCGAAACGTTGGCACGATAAAGAAATTTTTTTTTAAACCTACATCGCACCAGACCGCATCTCATGATCTCCAAATATTCTTTGATTGTTTTGCACCTGGTGAATTTCTTTCTTTCTACATACATTGTTTGTATGATATGTCTTGATTTATTCATGCAAGGTGGGGTTTGTATTGTTATTATTGGAATTGGTATGTTATGTATAATTAATTAGATCTTCTACGTCAATTTTTTAAAAATTGTCTACTGTTTCATTTCCCTTTTAGTGCTGGACGATCACCAATTTTTCAGTGAAATCAAAAGAATTTTTTTTGGTAATCCTAGTGTGTCCGATCCCCTCCCTCGGCTTGCACCGATGACCAGAAACGGCGCGCGCCCCGTCGTGCAAATTGGCCCGTGGAGTTTCGCGTTTTGGTAGGGGAGACGGACGCCCGATGGCTCATCTGTCGCCAGTCGCCCTCCGTGACGTCACGGTCACAAAGTAAGCAGCCATGTTGATAAACTCCGACATCAGTGTATTTTAAGAGGACCCGACCATTCCCTTTAGGTTTTCTCCCTGTTAGAAACAAATTATCCTAAAAAAGGATGTATCCCGTCGGCCAACGTAAGTAATATTTATATCTGTTTTAACCGACTAGATACCACCGACCGGAATTAGGTTAATATAATGTAGCCACGCGCTTTATTTAGGCCCTATCTGGGGAAGGTCAATTCCAATCTTTATCCATTTTCGTAAGGGGGATTTTAATATTTTCCCACCTTTATTCGCCATAGTGGGCGATTTTCTCTTTAAAACATTACCGTCGGCTTCTTTCAGTTTGTCGGATTTATTTCACCCCGGGGTACGACGATTTCTTCCACTTGGTGTATTGTCCCATGGCAGGGTGAATGACCTGATTTAAGTCAGCCAGTTTCTCGATTTTATTTGTCACAAAAGGGCCGTGGATCCTTCTTTTCAACCGTCTTTCCAACTATAATAGTTCATTTATAATAATCGAAAACAGATTCGTTGGAAAGTTTTAAATATAAGTAACCTCAACGACGGTTATTATTAATACAGTACTCGCTTTTTATCAATATTCCTATTGAAATCACCTGGCAGTCGTTTATACAATTATTAAATATAAAATATAATATTTCATCATTTGTATTTATTATTTGTTTCTTTGTGTTATAAAAATGTGATTTTAAGTTTATGAATAAACCCTGAACCACCTTATGTTGCATGATTTCATGGATGATTCATAGTTTCTTCTAAGTCTTCCCCCATTTTTCTTACACACATTTCACTATATTTTAGTAAAGAAATACAAACTAAAGAAAAAGAAGAGAACAATTTTAAAAATTAACCACCCTGTGATGTACTGTGCACATTTTTCCAATTATTTCTATTAATAAAATAATAATTTAATAAAATATTCTGTGTATTTCTTTAATTTATGAATCTTTTGAGGTCTTTCTTGACCAAGGAAGTGCTTCGCTTGTTTAAACATTTCTGGGCATGTCTGAATTAGTGATAATTGCAAGTAGTTGTTTTTTCCAAGATGGAATATGGATTCCATGTATAAATTTTTAGTCCAAATTGAAATTTCTTATTGTTTGACTTTTAAGCCACACAAAAGACAATTAGTAAAATCTTGAATAAATTGACTTTCCAACTGTGATAGTTCATATACAATATTTGAAAACAGATTCATTGGAAAGTTTTAAACCTAACTAACCTCGATGATAGTTTCTATCAATAATCTTATTGAATTCATCTTAGTTTGTTTATATAGTTATTAAAATTAAATATATTTATTCAACATGATTTTTTATTATTTTTGTGTTAATACAAGGTTTAAAAAGTTTCAGAATAAACTCAGAACCATTGTTTTGTTTCTGTAACTATTCCTCTATCTGTTAAGGTATATTTTAGTCAAGAATACCAAATAAAGAAAGATTAGAGAAATAAAAAAATTGACCACCTTGTGATATTCTGTTTACATTTTTCCAATGATTTGTACTAATAAAATAATAATTGAACAAAATATTCTGTGTATTTCTTTTAATTTAAGAATCTTTTGTGGTCATTCTTGGCCAAGAAAGTGCCTCGCTTGTTTAAACATTTCTGGGCGTGTCTGAATTAATGATAATGGCAAGTAGTTTTTTTCCGAGATGTTGGAACATGGATTCCATGAATAAATTTTTAGTCCAAATTATATTTTCTTATCGTTTGACTTTTAAGCTACACAAAAGATTATTAATTAGTGGAATATCTTTAATCAATTGACTTTCAAAATGTGATAGTTCATTTACAATATTTGAAAATTGATTCATTGGAAAGTTTTAAACCTAAACACGATGACAGTTTTATCAAAAATCTTACAGAAATCGTCTTGTTTGTTCATATAGTTATTAAAATTAAATATATTCTATTAGACACAAATTTTATTATTTTTGTGTTAAAACAAGGATTAGAAAGTTTCGGAATAAATGCAGAACTATCATTTTGTTTCTATAACTATTCCTCTATTTGTTAAAGTATATTGCAGTCAAGAAATATCAAATAAAGATTAGAGAAATAAAAAAATTTACCACCCTGTGGTATGTTGTTTATATTTTTCCAATGATTTCTATTAATAAATAATTTACCAAAATATTCTGCGTATTTCTTTAAATTACGAGTCTTTTTTGTTGTTCTTTGTCAAGGAAGTTTCTCACTTATTTAAACATTTTTGAGCGTGTTTGAATTAGTGATAATTGCGTGCAGTTTTTTTTGCTGAGATGTTGGAACATGGATTCCATCGATAAATTTTTTAGTCCAAATTGTCATTTCATATCGTTTGACTTTTAAGCTCTTCAAAAGAATATTATTTAGTAGAATATATTGGATCAATCGACTTTCTAGCTGTGATAGTTCATTTATAATAATTGAAAACAGATTCGTTGGAAAGTTTTAAACATAAGTAACCTTCAAAGACAGTTTCTATCAATAATCTTATTGGAAAATAACAGTTGCAAAATTAAAAATATTCCATTTGACACAACTTTATTATTTTTGTGTTAAAACATGTTTAAATACTTTCAAATAAACTCAGAACCATTGCTTTGTTTAAAAAGAAGAGAAAAAATTTAAAAATTCACCACCATGTGATATTCTGGGCATGTTTTTTCTCAATGATTTCTACTAAAAAATATTAAATAAACAAAATATTCTGCACACTAATTTAATATAAGAGTCTTTTGTGTTCGTTCTTGGCCAAGGAAGTTCCTCACTTATTTAAACATTTCTGGGCTGTCTGAATTAGTGATAATTGCTTGTAGTTTTTTGCCGAGATGTTTGAACATGGATGTAAATGTAAATTTTTAGTTTCAATTATCACGCCTAACCATTTAACTTTTAAACCCCTCAAAAGAATATTGATTAGTTGAATATATTGGATCAATCAACTTTCCAACTGTAATAGTCCATTTACAATAATTGAAAACATTTGTAGGAAAGTTTTAAAATGTAAGTAACCTCAACGACAGTTTCAATTAATAATCTCATTGAAATCATCCGACAGTTTGTTTATACAATTATTAAATAAAAAATATTCTTTTCAATACAATATTTTTATTTTTGTGTTAAAAAGAGGTTCAAAAAGTTTCAGAAAAATGGCTAATTTGTGCCTAAAATAATAATTTAACCAAATGCTCTTCCTTTAATTACATTATTTTCTGGTCATTCTAGGCGCAGGAAGTTCCTCATGTGTTTAAACATCTCTGGGCATGTCTAAATTAGTAATAACTTGTAGTTTCTTGCCAAGATGTTGAAATGTGGCTGCAAATTATCATTTTTAGTTGTAATTATCATGCCAACTTTCAAATAAGATTATAGATTAGTGGAATATGATCAACTTTCCTCATATCGGTCGACGAAGAGTATCAATGGTCCATTTACAATAAATGAAAACAGATTCAGTGGAAAGTTTAAATATAAGTAACCTTGATGGCAGTTTCAACTGATATTCTTATTTAAGTTGAATGTTTGCTTAAAATGTTCTATTTGACACAATTTTATTATTTTTGTGTGTTTAAAGAGTTTCTCAATAACCTCAGAACCATTATTTAATATTTCATTATTTCTTGGAAGATTCATAGTTTTCTCCAAAGTTTCCCTCATTTTTATAAGTATATTTTATGTTTACCTTTACCAGACAGCATCTCACGATCCCTAAATAATAATTAGTATATTTTACTATATACATATAAACATTTTATAGCGTATTTTGTATGTTTCTTTAAGTTAGATTCTTCTGTTGCCATCACATGCTCATACATTTCCAGGCATCTCTGAATTTATGATAAACGCCTGCAGTTCAATATTACCATATTGTTTGAACAAGTCAATGTTAATTTTTAGTTAATTTATAATTTTTCTGCAAAGTGTGGGCGAGATGAAAAATTAGTGTGAAACTTGAACCCTTGATTGACCTCCCGGTCTATACCCCAGACCGAGTCAGTTACTTTACTTTACATAAAAATTAGTAAATCACTTTAGCTAATTCGGACCAACTAAAAACATAGGTTAATTTTTAGTTAAATTTTATGCCCCCACAAAATATTATTGATTAGTGGAAAATCTTTATCAGTCAATTTTTCAACCATGATATCAAGGCATGTGAAATGTGACTCTTTGGAGTTATAAGTAATGAACAACATTGCATTTTTCCTCAAAAAATTGGATGGTTTTGCTGTCTAGCCAATAAACTCCAACATGTCTAAAAACATTATCTGGGCGTGTCTGGTCCATCACATTGTTTTACAGTATATTTTGACTGAACAATGCGTTTGGTTACTTTAGATTTGAAAATTGTCAAGCCAATCATTATTGCAATATTTTGTTGTGAGTTCAGTGAAGTGATGAACCTTTAGGTCAATCTGTCTAGGTCATCCTTGTCTGCCTGTCTGCCTGTCCTTGCTGGTTTTCTCTCACAATATTCTGTGGGCCAATTTCTCAATTGTATACTTAAAAAAAATTGAAAGTTTAAACCAGCAAGAATACACAGATCAGGATAATCAGTGAATGATTAAGTTATCTATAATTCTCATGATTAATGTTATACATTTCAATATCCACAAAAAACCTTATTCAATTACAAATTTGAAGTGAAACAAGAAACCTGCTGTCCTTGAATAATATTAAAGATGTTATAATCTAATTTTTCTGCATACAGCTATTTTTAACTGTCATTTTTTTCTTACTAGAGCTGCACAGAATTTATTTATGTGTTGTTTATGATGTATGCTTATAAATGCATTTATTTAAATATGTGTTTCTTAGCGACCTATTGTTTAATAATTTTTTCAATAATTTATTTAAATACTTGATGTTATAGAAATTATATATTAAATGGGTATAAATATATATTTTGTATACACTCACTGGCGCAACCCGCAATGATGTTTGCCAAATAATTTAAATATTTAAGTATTATTCTTACATAACCTGTAAATAAATAATTTACTAATTGCATGAACGGCTTTAATATCTTTAGTCTTGCAAACATTCTTATTTCAAAAGAAGAATAGTATGAATAAATTAAAACTAATGTTGTAATTCATGACACTACTGTTTTTTTCTCTCTCTTTCTCTCTCTCTCTCTCTTTCTCTCTCACTCACTCACTCACTCACTCACTCACTCACTCACTCTCTCTCACTCTCACTCTCACTCTCTCTTTTAACTTGAGTAATTAAAGAAGAGTGAATTTTATGAAAAAAGTAACTAATAGTTTTACGCTCCTGCTCACCGACCTCATGAAAGATTTGAGCATGCCTTATGCTTATTATTTTCATTGGAAAATTTTTAAATTATGCTTGCCCTATGTTAATGTGTTCAAATAATATTCTAAGAGATGTGGCTACCAAAGATTGTGCATGCAAAAAGGGACTTGCCTTTTTACATTGTCTCTTTTAATAATAACAAATTAGCCTCTGATTGAATTGAACTTTTCGTTTATTTTGTTTTTGTTTCCCACATTTTGAATATCTCAGTGAGTGATAAGTTTTAGCAAGAATAAAAAGGAAAAAACTTTTTTTTTAATTTGAGACATATGATAATTAATTTGAAATTAATCTTCTTCTGCATGTGTTAATAGGGTTCCGGAGGTATACTACCAAAGGACCCTTTTAACAAGATAAAGAGTGGCGACCAAGAAAAGTTCTTGAAGGGATCTATCCTAATTTCATAAGAGGATGTTACCCGGCAACAACGGAAAAGGTTGTATGAATTTATTTTAGTTGTCAGAAGGGGGTCAGAATTTTCTGTTGCAATAAGACAATTGTCTCTACTAGTATTTTTTTAAACTGTAATTTTATATAGAACATTTTGTGTGTGCTCCTTTTTTTTATACCTAATTTCATTCAGTTTCAGAAATGGTGCAGGTGTACACGGGAAATTTTATTTTATGTGTTATTAACTGAAATTTATTAATTTCTTAGAGTGACTTAGTAAAATAGATGCCTTTTATCACCCATTTGCATTTTAATTAAATCATTTTAACAAAAAGAAGACAGATTGGATTATAAATGACTCCTTAATGATTAAATGACTATAACTATTTAGAAAAAAAAAATCCTTTTTGTGAATTTGCAATAAATATACAAGATCCTAGTCAAAGGTCAAATTATTTCCGTGCGGACAGATTGATGCAGACATCCCAGTTGAAACATCATTAATTATAATAGAAAAACACAAAGTATATTAATGATTCTTGCTAAAACTTACACAAATTTCTCTGTTAGGATTTAGAATTTTCATTAGGCTTTCTTTAATTAGCCTCCTAAGTATTTGCTTTTCTGTATCCTTATTTTTGTTTACACTAGTTTTTAATAAAATTAGCGAGATAAAACTAAACATGAAATTTTCAAAGATTGTTTTTTAAAGGCTGGGATGTTTCAAGAAGTATTGTCATAGAAAATAATTTCTTTTCTGATGAGGATTGATCAAAATGTGGATTCGGCTCTCCTTACATATAAATCTGACTAGACTGGAAAAAAATAATCTTCCTTCTGTGATATATATGCTTACCTTAATTTTATATACATGCTGATATATAAAATTCCGGACTACAGACTATATCGGATCAGAAAATATATATCTTAAAAAAAAAAAAAAAAATGGGCGCAGAATTTCAATGGATTAATAGGGCACAAATTATTTTTAAAAAATTCAGTAACTTGTTAATAATAAACGACAGATTGGAAAAACGTTTTTTATTTTATTTATTTATTTTTAATTAGGCCTTTTGATCTAATAATATATTACTGTGTTTGACAATATAGCAAAATTATTAAACAAAATAAACTTATAAGTCTCGTGGAAAGTACATTGAAGGAATATTGTCGTGTTCGTTAAAAGCTGTTTTTGTTGTGAGACTTAGATTTGATACAAATTTCTCTTTACCCATTTCTTTTTCTTATAGTGTCATCTCATTTGCAAAGGGTTTACAATTGGCATAAATATGTGCAAATGAAAAAACAAGGTGTCTTTATAAATATTTTAGCCGCAACTGAGGCACGAGATGATGCACTTGCTGTTTGTCGCTCTGTTTTTGTTTTTTTATTTTCTGATTTTTAAAACGCCTGTCCATGAACTTTTGTTATTGTTAATGTTGACCGCAGAGAGCGGCTGGTCCTCACCAGGTCAGGGCTCACTTCCTATCACGCAGGATCCGCAAGACCTGGGTATGTCCCTTGCACGCATTAACCTGCATTTGTTATAATCTTAAACATTTTTTTTTTCTTCAAAAAATTATATTTTAAAAACGTGCATGGCGTGTACATAGTGTTCTTATTATTTGTTGTAAATGCTTAATTTTTTCTCTCAAATTTTTATTTTTATTTTTGAAGAACTTCATCCGATCTGTTTGTTTTCTTAATATTTCTTGTTTTTCTTGTTTAGCAAATAGTTTAATAATAAGCGTATTATTCAATATTGTCATATTTTCTTCTTTTAGTTTTCATTATTATTTAGTGGTTTGTGTATAAAACTGGTTTATTCGATTAAAAAATAGATATATTAAAAAAATAAATCCGATTGACACTTTTCTCTACAGAGGTACTTTGTTTTCTGTTATAAATTTTAAAAATTGACACGTTATATGTTATGCATAATATTCCTCGCATGGTCGGAAAAGAAAGAAAAAAAAACAGCATGCTCACAAAAACATATTTAAAAGTGTAAAACATATTAATGTTTTATTAATTAATACAAATTTGTTTGTTTGTCAAATCAATCGCTTTCTTTTAGGTGATTAATTTCTCTTTGTTAATGAATAAAAGTATGCTCTTTTTTGTATATTTTACAATCTTTAGTTTTGACATCTGAAAGTAAAATACTGTTTATAAGGGAGATAACCAAAATGGTACAAATTGAAAGAGGAAAGATAAGCTTGTTTACTACTGGTCAGATAAGATTTTAGACAAGTTATTTTCAATAAATTATGCGCTATTATGATATACAAATTCTTTCAAACATTGATACGCCTCACAGACTTTCAAATGAGAAACTATAACTTGAAAAAATAGTTAAACTGGAAGTAAACATGGGCAACAAATAAATCTTAATCTGTCGTAATGTTATCTATAAGAAAAGTATACATTTTAGATCATTGTTATACAAGTTAAAATATTGCATTTCTTTTTATTGCTGTGGCAAAATTTTGTCAAGCCAATAAATAAGAAAAAATAATTAGTAATGAATGCTCCAGTTCCAGTATCTTGATTGCTGTTTATTTCAATTAATCTGTAGTATTTAATTATATTGTAATTATGTAGTAATAGCAGAAATCAAAGTAGTATGTTGTACAACTATATTAACCCTTCCGTATTTATAAAAAATATATTGATTACTTATTTAGTCATTGTACTGCTAATGTAGGTGTCTCTTAACAAAGTACATTGTGTTGTTATTATTATTTTTTAAATGTACTGAGTAAATTTTTTTAAATAGTTTGTTCCACTATGAACATTTACGACTTACCCTTTACGCAAGGAAGTAAGGCAAAAAATGTGTTTTCATTTTATGCTAGAGCCCTGACCAATTTTTCTCAAATCAACAATTTTGACAAAATTTCTCTAGTAAAGAAAGACCTTCTTTATATTTAAAAAATTATTATGTTTTGAATAAATAACACATAGATTTAAATTAATGGATGTCATAGTTTAAAATAAATATCTGAAGATTCTATTGATGATTGTACAGCGCCGCCAGTGGGACCGCCTGGAGGGCCTCCAGGAGGGGCAGCGCCTCCTGGGGCGGTTGGTGTGCCCCCGGGAGCCATCGCACTCATTCAGCCTCAACCACCACATCAACCTCCTGATTTACCAAGTGAGTATGGGTTATTGACAACGTGTGGTGTTTAGTGACCATTAGTTAATGATTATTTGAAGATCGTGAGATGCGGTCTGGTGTGATGAAGGTTTAGAAAAACATTTTATTTATTGTGTCAATGTTTCGATCTTTATTGAGATCATCTTCAGGACCTGGGATTTATAAACATTGTTAAAATTATTTTTTTCGTGTATTTGTAAAATTTAAACAATGTTTATAAATCCCAGGCCCTCAAGATTATCTCAATAAAGATCGAAACGGCACGATAAAGAAAATGTTTTTGTAAATCTACATCACACTAGACTGCATCTCACGATCACCAAATAATCGTTATTGACAATATAATATTTTAAGACCTATCTTTCATGTCATGCTAATGAGCTTAACATCGCATTAACTCATATTTTACAAACTGAACAATTCACAATGTGGAATATTCTTTTAAAATCATGATTTTTTTTCATTTAACCAATCATTGTTTTGTGGCTGTAGGCCGGCACAATTATTATTTGAATTCCAACATTCTAATAGGAGAAAGGTAGACACGTTATTTATAAGTTTGAAAAGTACATTATTTTTAAATTCTTGTTCTGTGGAATTTGTTTGATTAAATGTAATTTTATTTTCCCTTCTGATAAAAGAATTTATAATATTTGTAAAAAAAAAAATTCATCCACATTTGTTTCATAATAAATTATATCGATAGTATGTATGATTGATTTTTAAATATTTTCATTCAGTTTGTGGAATGTCTTAATTTTATTAGTGATAATAATAATAGCCACACAATCCTTAAAAACAATATTGATATTCGGTTTTTTTAGTGTTCACATGCCCGAGAAGGCCGAACCTCGGACGTGAAGGCCGGGCGATTGTCCTAAGGGCGAACCACTTCCAAATAACGATGCCGAGGGGGTTCGTCCATCACTATGAAATATCGATACAACCAGACAAATGCCCGAGGAAGGTCAACAGAGAAATTATTGAAACTATGGTTCACGCTTATTCGAAGATCTTCGGGAACTTGAAACCAGTTTTTGACGGGAGGAGCAACCTATACACAAGGGACCCAATATCTATAGGGAATGAAAGAATGGAATTGGAGGTAAAGCTGATGACATTTAAATATTAATTTTTTAAATTGTATAAAGCACAAATAGCATATGCACGTAGGCACATATATTTAGTAAATATTTATTCCTGGGTGTGTGCGTTATTACGAAGAACTATAACCTTACTTAAGCCAGGAACACACCTGATGCTACCTGACACCTTGCCACATTTTGATAGGGTGTGCACATCTATCCGACGTCAAGTGCACGCCACGTACAGTCCACAGCGTACATCACAAATCAGTATCACAATTGCAACGCCACTTTTGTTCTTAATGCATTATTTTGAGCAAAACCGCGTAATAAATTGTTAGTTAAATTTTACGAGCACAACCATGTAATAAATTGTTTGTTAAATTTCATTGTTTTAAAAAAAGTTATTCCGGTGTTTTGATAAATTTTCTGCCTAACCATCATAATTAATTTTTATAAAAACTCATAAATTTTTGATCTCGTTTAATTTGGTTTATATTTTGTAATTAATGTAATGACAAAATTACATATACATGGTTAGAAATAAACTACAAAAAATATGAGTGTCCTGTTCTGATGCTATTCTACGAAAATGGTGTAATGGTATGAGCAAAAGCATGAAATAAATTGTTAATTAAATTTTAAAAACAAAACCGTGTAATAAATTGTTAGTTAAATTTCATTGTTTTAAAAAAGTTATTCCGGTGTTTTGATAAATTTTCTGCCTAACCATCATAATTAATTAATTTTGATAAAAACTCATGAATTTTTGATCTCGTTTAATTTGATTTATATTTTGTAATTAATGTAATGACAAAATTACATATACATGGTTAGAAATAAATTACAAAAAATATGAGTGTCCTGTTCTGATGCTACTCTAAGAAAATGGTGTAATGGTATGAGCAAAAGCATGAAATAAATTGTTAATTAAATTTTAAAAACAAAACTGTAATAAATTGTTAGTTAAATTTATTATATAAAAAAATGATATTCCAGTGTTTTGATCAGTTTTCTACCAAACCATTAAAATTAATTTAAAAAAAAAACTAATGAATTTTTGATCTCGGTTAATTTGGTTTACATTGAAATAAGTATGTTGTAATTAATATAACGACAATAATACATGTAGTTTGAATAAAAATATGAGTGTCCGGTTCTTTTGTCTTCGACTGTACTCGATGCTACCTGNAGCTAATTTTTTTTTTTAATAGCTTTATGAACATGCGTATTAGCTGTATGTATTTGTTTTTTCATAAAAATGTAGTTGGGGGAAGGATAGGATGAAAAAAGGGGCCAAAGGCAACGGTGGGAATTGAACCCACGACCACTGGGTCATTCATGCTGACCACTCAGCTACCGGAGGTCTTCCTAATTTTTCATTAAGCATCCCTTTTCAATTTATATTTTTTTGCCTTCAAAAAATTAATATGTTAAGATACCCAGTGATATTCTGAGCAGTACTAAAGGCCAAATGAGCCCCAATAAATACACTGTAGGTTATCAACACTGATAATAATTTGGGTCATAAAATAAATTTCAAAAAATTAAACTAAATAAATAGTAACAATTTAATAGCAGACATGGTCAAAAAAATTTTTAAAAAAATTAACAGCAATGAATTTTTTAATGTTTAAAAGAATATTTCAAAATAAAAAATCGTTTTAATAAACTAATTTACTATCCTTATGCTGACAGTAGTGATTTTCTGGGGAATCGGTGAATTTTTTTGGTGGAACTCCATATTATCAAAGGTTGAATCAATAAAACTGAATTATAGTTCAAACTCTTTTCTTTTTATTTCATTTTTGGAAGCTTTTCACTTATATCGTACCATCTTCAGCATTCATTTCCTTTCATTCACATCCTATTTTGTATTATAATTTGCATGGATAATATTATTATAATAACAGAGTACATCCTCATGTTAGTGGTTTCTTTACTTTTCTTTCCATGTAAATTATAATACAAAATAGGATAAATGCTTAAATGTAAATGAAATCTTCTTGAAATAAAAATAAAATGAAAAAAGGAGTGTCCTATTTTAAAATACTAGATATGTCGGTTTTTCTTATGTAATCTTTATTAGGTATTTTTTCTTTAAATTTTTCGCAAAATGCATGTCCACTGGACTTAAACAAAAGTCAATAAAAGACTATTACTTTAAATGTAACTTGATATATGAATAAATATCATACAATTAATTAAGGTTTTTTAGTCGAGATAAAAAAGTCAATGGCACGAGTGGGATTCGAACCCATGATCTTCGGCTTGATACGCCGCTGCTCTACCACTTGAGGTATCGTGACCTCGATCCACTCAGACACCAACTTCCCATCTCAACCACACCTTTTGAATTTTCCCTCCTTTTTGCCATTTTTCAAAAGGTGTGGTTGAGATGGGAAGTTGGTGTCCGAGTGGATCGAGGTCATGATAGCTCAAGTGGTAGAGCAGTGGCGTACCAAGCCGAAGATCGTGGGTTCGAATCCTGCTTGTGCCATTGACTTTTTTATCTCGACTAAAAATCCTTAATTAATTGTATGATATTAATTGGTCAAGCGGACCATGAAACTAGTGAATTTATATGAATAAAAGTGTGTTTTGTATGTGGTTTTTTATTTTTATTTTTTTTAAATTAATTAATTAATTTTTTAAAGTTGTTCTTATGACATGATCCTAATAAAACATAAATTTTCGGATTATCCGGACTCTTGATCATCTGAACAAGTCCTGATAAATGGTTTTTACTGTAGTATGAAAATTTTTAAAGTTTAAAGCTCTCCGGATAGTTGGATGTTAAGCCCTCTTTTCATCCCAAATTATTAATATTTTTAAAAGTGAGTAGGAAACATTACGTTTTAGAATAGAACGCAGATGGAGATGCGGTCCAATAAATTATTCTCATCGCTTTGACAAACATATCCAGCTGCTCTCAGATATATGAAATGAGATATGTTAAGTGTCTCTGCGATATGTCTTGTGTCATTTGGTTATTTGTATTTATCATCAACAGTTGAAAGACGACCAAAGCATTTTGCGTTTTTCAAATCAAAATTTCCGCTTCTGAACCGAGCAAACCACTTAAGGCGGAAGGTTCCTAAACTGCCATTACCTACATTTCACAAATTTTCCTAGCAGTTTGAGCTGCAGTTTTCCCTTTGCTGTAATAAAAAACCATTAAGTGACAAAAACGCGCTAATTTTTCCTCCATTTTTAAATTAAACAAAACACCTTGTAAAAATATGAGATCACAAATGGTACTGACAAATAAAAACACATTAACTCAAATCCATTTTTAGAGTATATAAACAATAATGACAAAATCAACATTGCTTCAAAACTCAAAACTGGTAAAATTGAATAATTGCAAAATCATAGATTTACTTTACAAGCAATTGTTGAAGTGATTATTAATTAAATTTGAGCAAAAGAAAAATGAAAATATTAAAAACTTATGCTAGTTGTAGCATGCTATACATTAAATGTATGGTTTTTTAGGTAAATATGCCACTGGACCTGATCAAGTGGAACCTATGTTCCGCTACCTGAAATCAACTTTCCAAGCTTTACAACTTGTAGTTGTAGTACTTCCAGGAAAGACCCCAGTTTATGGTATTTTTTAATATTTTTAAGTCCCAAACAATATGCAATATAAATTATTATTGTTTTATTTTAGCTGAGGTTAAGAGAGTAGGTGATACAGTATTAGGAATGGCTACACAGTGTGTCCAAGCGAAAAATGTTAACAAGACATCGCCTCAGACTCTGTCGAACCTCTGCCTCAAGATCAACGTGAAACTTGGCGGCATCAACAGTATTCTCGTTCCGAGCATAAGACCCAAGGTTTTCAACGAACCCGTCATCTTCCTCGGCGCCGATGTCACCCACCCTCCGGCGGGTGACAACAAGAAGCCGTCGATTGCCGCTGTGGTTGGCTCAATGGACGCCCATCCGAGCAGGTATGCTGCTACTGTTCGCGTTCAACAACACAGACAAGAAATCATACAGGAATTGTCTTCGATGGTCAGGTACGGGATTTTAAGCCATGCCAATTTTTGAAAATTATAATCTGCTATATTTTATTGTTTCATTTTTTTTTTTTTTTTCCAGGGAGTTGCTGATTATGTTTTATAAGAGTACTGGAGGGTATAAACCTCATAGGATTATTTTATATAGAGATGGTGTTTCAGAAGGGCAATTTTTACATGTAAATATTATTTTGTTAAATTAAAGATGCAAGTTAAATTTAAAACCACAACTGGTATTAAATCATTAATTTGTTTTTAGGTACTTCAACATGAACTTACTGCCATTCGGGAAGCCTGTATTAAATTAGAAGGAGATTACAAGCCTGGAATAACTTTTATTGTCGTACAAAAACGACATCACACAAGGTTAATTTTTTTTAATAATAAATAAAATAATAAAAATAAACATAATAAATTTAAAAAAAAATTACTATAATTGTTTTCTTTAGATTGTTTTGTGCCGACAAGAAAGAACAAAGTGGGAAATCAGGAAACATTCCTGCAGGTACAACAGTCGACGTTGGCATTACACATCCGACTGAGTTTGACTTTTACCTCTGCAGCCATCAAGGAATTCAGGTATTAACGAGTCGAATCTTTTTTGTCTTACAGCGGTAACGAAACGTTTTTGTTACAGGGGACGAGTCGACCGTCACATTATCACGTCCTGTGGGATGACAACCACTTCGATTCGGATGAGCTGCAGTGTCTCACTTACCAGCTCTGCCATACTTACGTTAGGTGTACGCGGTCTGTCTCCATACCCGCTCCAGCGTACTATGCCCATCTTGTCGCTTTCAGAGCCAGATATCACCTCGTTGAGAAAGAACACGACAGGTAATATAAATTGTTTTATTTGTGTTTTACTGTCGGACAACAGGACAAAAATTATTGCCGGGGGAAATAAAATTGTCTGTGTATGAGGGGATGTTTGGTTATTAGAAATGTCTGTTTGAGAAAGTCTGACGATAGATTTTTTTTTTTCTAAATATCGTCAACATTTAACTACATGGTTGTTTCATTTTATTATTTCCAGTGGTGAAGGATCTCATCAGTCAGGCTGTAGTGAGGACAGGACTCCTGGAGCGATGGCCAGGGCCATCACAGTACATGCCGATACAAAGAAAGTCATGTATTTTGCATAAGAAAAAAAAAACACCAAAGACCACCTGCCACTATACATGGGAAATAACCAACTTTAATATTACTTCATAAGTATATATATATTAAGTATATATTCTACATAAAAATATATATAATATATAATATGATAATAATTATATTACATAATAATATTATATATATTATATATAATTTTATATACATATAAATCAGAGAGAAAAAGGGAAAAAAAATGAGAGAAGAAGAAATATGAAACTGCATTAGTTCTGCCAAGAGTTAAAATGGGGTGAAAAAAGTCCAATTTTATTATTTACAAAACATTGTTGTATATATAATAAGTAAATTTAACTTCCGTATATTTACATTTTTACTTATTTGACTACTTTTTTTAAGTTATTACTACAGTACTTTTTTTTTCTTTTCTTTTTTAACGCCCACTAAATAAATGTCTAAATCTATTTTGTATTTATTACACAGCTTTAAAATAAAATGTTGCTCATTTCAGTCGTACTTAAGTTGTTAAAATGAGCTCTTTAAAGGTTGTTATTATTTTAAAATATATTTTATTAGTTGTAAGGTTTGGTAAAAAGGCCGGTTTTTCTTTTTCTCTTAATTGCAGCTCTCAACGTCTGAAAATCTCGCTCAGTGTTTTTTTGAAGTACGTTTTTAGTTTTTATCGACCCCCCACTCAAACTTTAATAGTTCAGTATAATTTTTTTTATACTATATATATTGTAACTTTTTTTTTCTATAATATGCTATTTAGACATTTATTCAATTAGTTTTAGTCATTGCCAGCCTCTTAAGTGTGTGACATTTAGTGTAAGTTGAACTATGGGGTTTACAATTGTGCTCACTAAATTGGGGACACTTTCCAAACGTATGACAGACTAGGAAATCTGCTCATCACTTATTTGGCACATTAATTTGTACAATGTTACCTTAGATAAATTCAAAAATGTCTGTCAATTAAGGAAAAAAATCTTGCCCATAGGTTTGAGGTTCATAATAAATGTTTTTATCAATTCCCTTTAACCCTTAAAAGAATTATTTTGTAACCTTTTTGCTATCAATTAATCAATTGTTTTAATATTATATAAAAAAAACTTGTGTATAGGTTAAAAAAATGATTGAATTTGAATGTATCACAAACAGATTTTTAATGTACTGTAAATTTTTATAGGTGTGTTCAAAATATTGTGATGACAGTAGAAACAAATTAAATCATATTCACAGTAAAAATTATGTTTTATAAAAAAAATTATCTTTAAAAAAAATCAAGTTTTCTCCGTGCTATCAGCGTATTACATTAATTTATAATGAAAACTCAAATAAACTAGCACAAAATTGTATTTAATAGATAATGCACTCCAAATAGACTTATAAGTTGTGAAGAAAAGTTCAATTTTAGGGTTAAGTTTTTATCATTGGATGTGGGTGCGTTTTGTAGAGTTCGGCGTGGGAATTTCTCAACTGTGATGATAACATTCCCAATTTGACAGTGCAAAGGACCGGGACCATGTAGAATTTTCCGGAAAACGGCCTAAAGTACATATTGCAATAACATTTTCAAATATCCCTTACGCCATGGTGAACATTTCTCGAAATCCCGTGTTAATAAATTGTTACCAGTTTGAACAGTACCAATAACCTGTGATCAAATTGTTCTTAACTCAAGCCAGATCAAAATTCATCATTGAATGTGAAATCAGAAATGATCGTGTTTTGATTAATTTAGTCGACAATTTATTCAATTCGAAGGGGTTATGCTGAGGTAGATTTTGAATTTTTTACGCTTTGCCAATTGCAGCAGTACAAAACCAATTTTTATATTTTTGTAAAATCGCCTAACAGATGCTGAATAAGTGGGTTTCATATTATTTTATTTAAATTATATATTGTCAAGCTCTCTACAGTAATTTTAATATAATGTAATTGCTATCTGTTTTATCATTAGTCTCAACAAATTTCTCAAAATATAAATCCAACAAATTTTTTTTTTACATTATAGACTGAATTATTAGTTTTTTTCTTAGTTGTTAGAAAACAGTGCTTATTAAAGTTTTTCTAATGCTTTATTTAAATACGGATTTCATAGAATTTAATCTGTTTAGTTACTAGTCACGTTATTTAAAGGGAAATTTGTTATAATTTTGTGCATTGTGTGTTATAACAATAGTTTTTATTTTGTGCTGGTAGCATCTGCATCTTTAATTTATTTCTACTGTTATTCCAATGGAGATCGTTATATTAAGCTTTTGATGATTGAATTATTTTTATAACGATAAAAGTTGTAAAGAAATCGCTAAATTATTTTGGTGTCCGTTGTGTATGGATTTTTGACATAAATACACCATCCCCTGGTTTTCAAATCAAATAACAATCAAATTCATGCCTTGTCAAAATTGAAAGCGGCATTGCCCTTTTTATTATCCAATTTCCATCTTCACTGTGATCTATTATATAATATTGCAATGGGCTTTTATTAATCTAATAAAGAACATATTAAGAGTACTAAAAATTGAATAGTAATTGTAAGTATAATAAGTGTGCCAGGAATTACAAATGTCTAACATTCCTTGAAAATATAGTAGAAATGAGTAAGTTGTATTTTATTCAATGTGAGATCCAGTTTTACTTGTTGGAATACCATTAAAAAAATTATTTAAAAAAATACAAATTAAATTATGGACTGTCTTTTTGGGGATACACCAAATATACTGTAGTATCGCATTTAAAAAATGCATATAGTTTTAAGAATTAAATTAATATGTTGTACTTTTGAGAAAAAAATATATATCTTCTTTTATATAAAAAAAATTATCTTAAGAAGTGGATAAGTAGTATTAATGTGGTTCATGAGCTAATTAGTAAGAATATATTTAAAAAAAAAAATAGTTGACTTAATGTCACTAGTGTTCAGGAGAGCAATCTTAATTTATTGTATAGGGTATTACCTAATTTAATTTAACTTTTTTAAATTACTATCATCATTTCTAAATATCATAAAAAAAGAGAAAAAAACCAGTTCAATATAAGACAACTGGGGAAAGAAAGTACCTGGGAAATTAATCAATTAGTCTTCTAAGCTGTTTATAATATTCCATATTATTCCAAGAAATTTAAAGAAATATAAAAATAAAGTTTTAGTTTTTCCTTGTGCCTTCATATTATTATTATTATTGCGAGACAAGTGAAATTGCAGTTATTGTTGTGAGAATTGTTGTTTAGCATTACCGTTCGTTCAATTAAAAGCAATTGAAATGTTCTTATTCAGCAATGTTTAGTGTAAGTACTAGGTGTACATTAATATCATTAATAAAATACGTTATGTATGTTATTCTACTCTTGTTATTCATTTTTTACTTCCCATTATTTATTAACCGCAATGTACTTGTAGTACTATGTAGCCAAGATTTAACAGGTGACTATTAATTAATTAAGGTATTTATTAATATTAAGGTATTAATAGAAGAGAGATAAAGTGAATAAAATTTGGAAACAAAAGATGTTAAAATGAGTGTTATGCGGAGGGACCTTTTGCAAATGAAAGATTTCCAATGCTCTTTCAAATGGAATTAATTATCTTAGTATGACTGGGTTGGTAAAGAAAATCAAATACGATACATTTATACAGTTTTAATAAATACAGTAAGTTGAATTCAAAAATTTGCATATAATTAAAGATATACGATTACAATTAATAATTAACACTCATTCTGGAGGCCGATCGGCTGTAGACTACCTGCGTTCTGACCCATTTTGACTCGTCCTGACCTGGCTCCATGTGGTGTCCGCCGGTACGGCTGTCTTGGCAATGCTTCAATAATGTTAAGTAAATTTTTAAGTAAATCACAATAGCTCAAGTGGTAGAGCAGCGGCGTATTTAGCCGAAGGTCGTGGGTTCAAATCCCGCTCATGACACTGACTTTTTTTATCTCAACCGATACCTTACATAAAGATTAATTAATTGAAAGATGTTATTTGGTCAATCGGACCACAAAATCTAATGAATTTAAAATTAATGGACACATGCACAAACAGCACTACACACTTATGTGTGATTTAACAAACATGACAAAATTCGGAATTTTTTTTTCCCCATCCACCTCCCCACCATACCTAAGGGAGATCCCATACCGGCGGACCACGGCCACTAAACTAATTCAACTGGGATGCAAGTTTAGGGGATCTTATTGTGCTTAAAGTCTTCCTTCGACCTTGCCCTGAAAGGGAAGACCCAAGGAAGAAGGGAATTTTTTTTAAATTATTAATTTATCTACTCTAATAGGTCTCCCCCTTGCTGGTTAATCCTTTTGAACACACTTTCTAATAAATGCAATATTTTAATTAATAAATAACAATTATGGGTACAAGGAGTAACCAGCCCGGAATTAAAAGTTCAGGGAAATGCTAAGATTGTTTAACAAGTAACAACATAGGAAGAAAAATAAGAAAAAAGAAAGAAAGACAAAACTAATCAGGTACTTTGTCCACTGTAGCTCGGCTAACAGGCTTGGGGACCTCAAACGTCCTCTTTTCTTTAATTAGTTCGTTGAGGGTCAGTGGCCAAGTGTGGCAGAAGAGGAGCTTTAGTGGTTCCCTCACACTCTCAAGGAGGGGGCAGTTGAACAGTCTGTGTTGGACATTGTCATCAACTCCGCAGTCGGGACACAGTGGACTGTTAGCTCTACGGAATCGGTGCAAGTAAGCATTGAAATTTCCGTGACCTGTCATTATTTGTGTGATCCAGTAATCTGGTTGAAAACACTTTGCTTTTGCTCGGTCCTCAATACTGGGTAGAAACTCGTGGGTTAGTCTTCCCTTGGTGCTTCTGTCCCATCTTTCCTGCCACAAGTTGTCTATCCAAACTGTAAGGATCTCCCGGATCTGCTTTCTAGGTGCAGTTCGTAGCCTTTCCCTATCTGACGCATCCAAATTTACCATTGTTGGCTCCTTTCCATCTCTTAGCTGCCGGATTGCAATTTTACTGTGGAGGACAATGTCTATTGGTGCAGCGGAAGCAAGGACTTGGAGGGCGTGAGTAGGGGCTGTCCTATAAGCTTTAGACGTTCTCAGGAGCGCTATTCTTTGACTCTGCTCGAGGATGCTTCTACTCCTGCTTTGACAAAATTCGGAATGTCAAAAAAATATTACATATTTTTCAACATAAAAACTTATCTTGAAAAAAAAAATTATAAATTTTTGAAATTACTAACTGTTGAAATAGTTTTAGTATCTTGCTCTTCATGGTGATTTTCGTGTAACTCAGTAACAAGTGCAAAATCGTTAGGTTCTAACATAGGACAAATTCCTTGATTGGTCATATTTTTCAAATCTTATACGATTTAATTTTTTTTTTTTTGCTCCATGGTTTTTTCTTTCTCAAAAAACAAAGGACATCAAGATGAAACAAGAAACTGATTTCTGAGGTGGAAGGCGGTACATAAAATTGGATTTTTTTTTTTAGCTCAGGCTTTTTTTCCAGCATCAGCTCATAGGCCAGAGCCACCATCTTTATTTTATTATTTCTATTTCTTTTATTATACTATTATTTAAATTTTCACTCCAGTTCTATCAACGAAGTCGACAATAGCGGAGTAAATGCACCTTGACTCCGATTTTATTATTTCTTCGTAGCTTGCTACTGTATTTTTTGGAAGGTGACTTACCACCTCATTTAACATTTCTTCTCGAGCTCAATTATATTTTTTACATTCCATTATATGTTCCAGTGTTTCCACTGCTCCGCATGCACATAACTCGTCCATGGACAGGTTTATCTTTTTTAAATATTTTTTACATATGCAACACATCCACTATTTCGTTACCATGAATTCCGCAGTGTGCAGCTACCCAAATAATTTAATATTAATCTTATTTTCTTCGTACACACGAGATTGGAGTTAACCAACGATTTCTGGGGAATCTGTACAATTATTAATTAATTTGAAAATAAAAATAATCTCAAAATACTTTCTTCTGCAGCTGTAAGATTTAATGGGAGCATGAGAAGATTTATCATAGTGATAGTTTAATTTGAAATATAATGTATGAAGGAATTTATTTTGAACAATTTGAAGAAGTTTTATATCAGTGTAGAAGTGGAGATTTCAGATGATTGAGTTATATTTAAAAATTGATCAAACAAGTGACTTATGTAGATGGACATAGCAAGAAATATTGTTGAACTGATAGATACTTCGGATGATGAAGCCAAGCATTTTAAAGAAGCGATTTTTGATTTATTGTAAATTTAGCTAAAAGGTAAGATTACTATCAAAAATGACACTGATACAAGTTACTCTGGTTAACAAGCTGTGATTAATTAAGCCTAAGTAAATTCTACAATTTAAGAGTGGGAAAAAGGAGATGTTTTGTAAGACAAAGTCATAGTAAAAAATTTAGAATTATTTAAGAATAGTTTGTGACACCAGCCAGAAAGATTATTTAGAACGTTTTGTACATTAATGCAATCTAAGGTAGACAAAATTTTTGCATATATTTTTAGGTGGTCAGTGAATAGAAAAAACTTGGTACCAGAACAAGGTGAATATCATTAATGAAGAGGAGAAAGAGAAAAGGACCAAGGTAGGAGCCTTGTGGCACACCAGATAAAACAGAAAAGGGAAGAGATCTAAAAAAAACTTGATTTTAACTATTTGGGTGTGGCCAGATAAATAACAGTGTGGTCAAAGCTGAAGATTTCCAGATATTCCACTTCTAGCTTCTTAATAAGTTTGTTACGATCAATTTTGTCGAAGGCCTTGGAAAAATATACATATACATAATCCACCTGACAATCATCAGCTATACAATTTTGATATATGTATTAGCAAATGAATAACTGTTGATCTGATCAGAAGCCATGTTGTTGGGGAATAATAAACTTTTTGAGATTGTTTTTAACTTTTTTACAAACAAATATTGAATTTTAAATTAAATTTTATTTTATTTCTAAAATTTTTTAATCTCAACCAAGACCTTGCATAAAAGGAATAATTAATTGAAAGAAGTAACTTGGTAACCACTAAAATGTAAATGATTTAAATTAAATGAAAGACAATATTGATGAGTCGTGAGTTTTTATTTTATTTTTAGTTTTATTAACAACTGTAATTGCATATACTTAATATATAACTAAAAAAAGTAAACTTCCATCTGTCTCTCTTGTAAAATTTTCTTTTTTTGTGTTGTGTTTTCTTGTGGGTGTGCGATAATTAAATAAATTGTTAGGTCAAAATGCAGAACGTTACATTGAAAATTATTCTTAAAAAATTATTATTTATTTTTTACATAATAAACTAATACATTTTCTAATGGATTTCTCTTGAATGCCGAACATAGGTAAAATATTTCCAGTTGGAAAGTATAGATACTTTATAATTCTTTATATAGAACTCTTTTGTGTTGGAAATAGAGATAGATATGCAAAGTAAAGCTATATAGAAATAAAACAAAAGTTATTCAGAAATCGTGAGATGCGGTCTGGTGTATCTCACGATTTCTGAATAATTATCGATTAACGGTCACTAATCACCACACATAAAACAAAAGCTTTATTATTTAATATTTTTTAGAGTTATTTTTTCATTCGATAAAGTTAAAAATTTATGAATGACGTTGAAAGACGTGAAAGCGTGTTGGCCAAGTGTGTTTCCAGTTGGAAAGTATAGATACTTTATAATTCTTTATATAGAACTCTTTTGTGTTGGAAATAGAGGTAGATATGCTAAGTCGAGCGATATAGAAATAAAACAAAAGCTTTGTTATTTAATTTTTTTTAAAGTTATTTTTTCATTCGACAAAGATAAAAATTTATGAATGACGTTGAAGGAAGTGAATGCGTGTTGGCCAAGCGTGTTGTATGTTGAAGTTGTAAAGTATAGATACTTTATAATTCTTTATATAGAAATCTTTCATGTTGGAAATAGAGATAGATATTTAAAGTAGAGCAATATAGAAATAAAACAAGCTTCGTTATTTAATTTTTTTAAAGTTATTTTTTCATTCCACAGAGCTAAAAATTTATGAATGACGATTGAAGGTCGTGAAAGTGTGTTGGCCAAGCGTGTTTCCAGTTGGAAAGTATAGATACTTATATAAAGATAGATAGATAGATATGCAAAGTAGAGCTATATAGAAATAAAACAAAAGCTTCGTTATTTAATTTTTTAAAAGTTATTTTTTCATTCCACAAAGCTAAAAATTTATGAATGACGATTGAAGGGTGTGTGAGCATGTTGGCCAAACGTGAGGACTGAGGCTGCCCGTGAGTAGTTGTTTACTACCTGGCTACCAAAAACCTCGTTTTTATTAATAGAATCTGTGAATATCTTTGTTTCTTCTTTTCTTTTCAACACAATTTTTTCTATTTACAAGCCCTCTCGACGCTTTTAAATGGCAGGAGCCGAAAATGACGAGAAAAAACTGCTGGAACTGTTCGACGAAGGGTTCAAACTATTTCAGTTCGTCCACAACACGGACGAACCGACCAATAGTTTATGCGTTCAGGTATGTTTTTATGAGTTTATTTGTAATATTTTGTCTAATGCTGATTGACGCCGTAAATAGAAAGGAAGAGTTGCATAAAAGTACTCAGCCTGCTCTTCCAGTTATTTATGTTAACTTCAGCAGAATCTTATGTTTTAGTATTAATGAGCTCTTGAGCTGAAAACAGACACATTCTGCCAGCATAACAAAAAAGGCTTTAGCCGTGAATATTCTAAAACTTATCTGATTTGTGATTGTGATTTGGAAGCAAACGTGAAATTGCACAATAAATTGACATTTTGTTTACTGTATTTCATCTCATGTCATACTGGCCTGCCTATTCTCGATAGTTTTATCTATATAACAATAGGTATATTCTGTCAGATCTACTGGCCAACTAATATGAGTCACATTTGGGCAAGATGATCAGAAATGTGATACAGGCTCTCATTAAAGCCAAAATTGTTTAGTTAAATATTGTGTTTCAGCGAATCTGTAGCTGATCGTTCTCAATCATCCTGGTCTGCCTTTGCTCGCTGGCTTTTGTCATTGCCGGACGGGTTGTGGGTTATCCAGACAATAATGTACTTCTGTGGATTCCAATCCCTTCACGTTTCATATACATAACTTTAACATAAATAACCCACAGTCCCATAAACATGTCTAATCGATATTGCCAGCAAGAATAGGCAAAACAGGATGATCAGAGATGATTAAACTACATATTCTTAACTTACAAACAGCAGCCAGGATCTCACAATATTTGATTGTCAGAAAAGCAACTTGTTGGAGATTTTAAAATGATAAACTATAGTTGTATAAACTATAAAATTTCTGATCATCCTGGTCTACATTCGGCTCGTCAGAATGTGGCATTGCACAGTTGTCAGTGGACAATATATACTTATATAAATAGTGTTTTTTTTTTTACTTTCATCATATTTCACAACAAGACACAATGGACAAAATAAGACAATGCAAGCAGGAATAGACAGACTAGGATGATAAGAGATGACCAAACTAAACATTCTTAACCCTCAGACCTCAACTTAATATCAAAATATTATTTAATGTATGATTTTATTGTTAGAAAATGACTTGTGATATTTTGAAGAGATGAACAGCTTGAACAGTTCTGTTCATCCTGGTCTGCATTTACTCACTGCTTCGGCCTGTCAAAATGTGGTGTTTCGACATCGTCAGTGGACAGAGAATGGGTTATTTTGTCAATAGTGTACTCCTCTAACTTACAGCACATTTACAAACTTATAAAACGACACAATTGACAAAAAACACAGATCTATCAGTGAAAGTGATGAAATACCGAAACATGTCTGATATACAATGCCAGCGAGAATGGATAAACCAGGAATATCAGAGGCAACCAAACTTCATACTCTTAACCCTCAGAACTCAACTGATTATCATAAAATATTGGTTAATGTGTCATTTTATTGATAGAAAACAACTTTTGTGATATTTTGATGAGATGAATGTTGATTATCTTTGATAATTCTGGCCTAGAGTTTGTGTACTGTTTTGGCCTATCAAAATATGGCATTTTGCTGTCGTCAGTGGACAGTGTTTTTTTTCTTGTCATTAGTGTCATTTTGGTTGTCATCCTATTTTATAAATTAATTAAGGTTTTTAGTTGAGATAAAAACCTTAATTAATTGAAAGATATTAATTGGTCAAGCGGACCACGAAAACTAGTGAGTGAACTATATTTCATTAACTTGACACAAATGGACACAACTGACAAAAAACACAGACATATCAGTGAAGTTTATGAAGCAGTGAAATATGTCTGAAATACAATGCCAGTGAGAAATTGATAAACTAGGGTGATCAGAGATGACCAAACTTCACATTCTTAACCCTCATCTTAATATCATACAAATATTGTTTAATATGTGATTTTATTGATAGAAAACAACTTTTGTGATATTTTGATGAGATGAATGTTGATTATCTTTGATAATTCTGGCCTAGAGTTTGTGTACTGTTTTGGTCTATCAAAATATGGCATTTTGCTGTCGTCAGTGGACAGTGTTTTTTTTTGTCATTAGTGTCATTTTGGTTGTCATCCTATTTCATAAATTAATTAAGGTTTTTAGTTGAGATAAAAACCTTAATAATTGAAAGATATTAATTGGTCAAGTGGACCATGAAAACTAGTGAGTGAACTATTTCATAAACTTGACACAAATGGACACAACTGACAAAAAACAGACATATCAGTGAATTTTATGAAGCAGCGAAATATGTCTGAAATACAATGCCAGTGAGAAATTGATAAACCAGGATGAACAGAGATGACAAAACTTCACATTTTTAACCCTCATCTTAATATGATACAAATATTGTTTAATATGTGATTTCATTGATAGAAAACAACTTTTGTGATATTTTGATGAGATGAATGTTGATTATCTTTGATAATTCTGGCCTAGAGTTTGTGTACTGTTTTAGCCTATCAAAATATGGTATTTTGCTTTCGTCAGTGGACAGTGTTTTTTTTTCTTGTCATTAGTGTCATTTTGGTTGTCATCCTATTTCATAAATTAATTAAGGTTTTTAGTTGAGATAAAAACCTTAATAATTGAAAGATATTAATTGGTCAAATGGACCACGAAAACTAGTGAGTGAACTATTTCATAAACTTGACACAAATGGACACAACTGACAAAAAAAAAAAAACAGACTTATCAGTGAAGTTTATGAAGCAGTGAAATATGTTTGAAATACAATGCCAGTGAGAAATTGATAAACTAGGGTGATCAGAGATGACCAAACTTCACATTCTTAACCCTCATCTTAATATCATACAAATATTGTTTAATATGTGATTTTATTGATAGAAAACAACTTTTGTGATATTTTGATGAGACAAACAATTATCGTATTTGATTATACTGATCTGGAGTTGGGCACTGTTTTGGCCTATCAAAATGTGACATTTCATAAACTTAGAAAAGGACACAATTGACAAAATAACACACAGATGTATAAACTGTAAGACAGTGAGAGTAGGTAGATGAGATGATCAAACTACACATTCTTAACAGAAAAAAAAAAGATCAAAACTCAACTTAATATCATAAAATATATTTAATGCATGATTTTATTGATGGAAAACAACTTGTGTGATATGTGACAAACCTTGATTATCTCTGATAATACTTTTTGGACTGCTAAAAACGAGGCAATTTTGCTATCACCATTGGACAGACTGTGACTTTAACAGTAAACTAATTTTTGGAGCGCTAACTTAAAGCCTTTTACATATTACAAACTTATAAATAAGAATAATTGATAAAAAATGCAGATTTTTTCAAGGTGATGAAATACCAAAATATGTATGATAGTGCCAGTGTGAATAGGCAGGACTTGGAATGGGATGATCAAATTTGATGATCTTTACCAAGCAGATGTCAATCAGAATGCTAGTTTTGTTATAATGTATGCTCATTGTCACAATTTTTGCCTGTCAAGATAAAATATTTCACCATTGTCGGTAGTTGGTCTGATTGTTATTTTATCATATTTGTACTTTTTGGAGTTTATTGACATTATCACATCACATTTTATAAATTTTAAAAGTGAAACGGTTGATGAATTATGCACAAAATACAAAAGTTGGTGAATGGGTTCTTACAGTCAAATCCAATCAGGATTATCAGAAACGACAATGTAATTTTTGTTTAATATTTTCTTGTTTTCATCAATATGTCTAGTTTAAATTTGTTTCCTTTTTTTTAGAACAAAGTCAAACAGGCGATGAGGATTTTTGAAGAGGCGACTCGGCTTACATCCGCTGTTGGGATATTCAGCACGAATGAGAACGTGGACGAGATTGCCACTGAGAATCTGCGCCTTTTCCTCTTGCCAGCGCTGCTTGGCTCGTTAGCGCTTAAATTAACAGGCAACTCGAACAGAATAGAGATCGTCGAAACGGGAGACACGTATTTCAGGGACTTTTTGCAAAGGTGTAACGACTATGAGATATCCAACGTCGACATACCCGCCCCTGAAGCCATCATTCAGTCTGAACAGTCACCACCACAGAAACGATGCACCTTTGACATCTTGTCTGCTGCCAAAAACCGAGCGCACAAAATTCAGAGGTACAAAGAAGAAAAGGCGCTAGAGGAAGAATTGGCGCAGTTGTTAAAAGCAGTAGAAAGTCCTAATGTCGATGAAGAAATTAAAAGAGAATATTATCTTAAACTTATTAAATCTTATGTCGGTAAGGCCGAAGAAGAGTTGGATTGCTTGCAGTCGGAAAAGAAAATTCTAATACACATAAAGAACAACGCCAAAGTATTTTATTACAATATAAATTTTATTGAATTTTTGTTCAAATTTTTGTTTAATTTTCAGAATGACTCGTTGGCCAGTAGTGAAGACACAAAGAGGCGAGGGAAGATCCCTCCACCTAAGCCATTGATGCCGGTCATTATAACAAAAGATGAGGTCCAAAAGGCGGTTTACGGAGCCGGCTACCCGAGTCTGCCTACAATGACCGTCCAGGAGTTCTATGACAAAAGGGTCCGTGATGGGATTTTTCCCGACCCGTCAAAACAGAGCACCAGCTTAATGGCGATGGCATCTCAAGGTATCAGCCCGAGGGATGAGGAAGAACGTGAAAATAAGGAAAAGGAAGCGCGCGAAGACAGAGACGACCAAATGGAGCTCAATAGGCAAAGAGCGATGGACGAATTCAAGGATGATAACAAGCGTGGTTATGGAAACCGATACAATAGAAGCTAACTAAATCTTTATAAAAATTTATTTAAATCGTTTAAAATCATTGGGTTCTACAAATACATTTTGATTCAACATTTGATTTAAAATTAAATTACAATTCAAATAAGTAACCATATGCTGGAATTATTGTTTAATAAACATTTTTATTGGTATAATAAAATAACAAATTCCTAAAAATATCAAGGACAGTCCAAACACCTTAGGATTTTCAGTAGTAAACTAAAGTCCAGTTATGTCCCAACTAAAAATCTTTACAAAAAATATTCAATAAATATAAGTGTATAAATATTAGTATAATCATATAAGTGAAATAAAGTACAAGTTAGTTTGAAAATCGATTGCTATCAATCAAATATCGAGTCAAGTCACAAACAGCATTGTTTGTGTGCATCTTTTTGCAATTATTATTAATTGTTTTAAATGTTGTAATATATGTACATAAACATTAATTAAAATAATTAATAAAACTCTTCTTTATGAATATATCCACCTAATACATTATTTATATTATACATTCACCTTTATCTTTAAAAAAAAGAAAAAAAAAAGACTAATGATAGATTTATTGCACTTGAACACTTGTATTTTACTTTTAACCTGATTATCAAATGAATAAAAAAAAACTTTTTTGATTTAATGCTATTTAACAATAAATGAAAATAAATCTTTAAGATTATTCCAAGGTAATGACAAAGAAACAATTGATAAGCTAGTATAATAGCATTTTAATCATTTTATGACTCCTAATTTTCAAATTTGAGGTAAGTTTAATCATAGATAAAACTAATGGGAACGACACTTTTTTCCTGATTATTTTGACTAATAAAAGATAAACTAAAAATAGAGACAAGTATGCCAGTTGTTCAATACAACGCAAATTAAAAAATCAGTAAAAAGTAATGTAGATCCATGATATAAAACATCATCAAGTACAATTTATATTAAATTTTCAAAAGTTCAGTCCATATTTAAGTACTTCTTTTAATACTAAAACACATTACTACCAAGTACCTAATTATTTTACATTTGTTGGCAAGTAAAAGCGTATGCTACTACCTACTGCTATAACACTTTATCCTTTTAAATTTTTGAAATTTTATATTTATACAATTAAATTAAGCAAGTGTAAAAAAGCAATAAATAATAAATGCACTTGGTTCCAGTAATGGTTAATTTTAATTGCTCACTGAGGATGATAGGAAAGAAGTACCTTACAAAACTGTTACAGTTGTGCTTGTATATCTAAAATTTTGTCACTCGAATGATTGACAATTAACAAATTTCCATAATTTTCTACTCGTGCAAACATTTGGAATCTTCATCATTAATAAGTATTAAGTAACTCCCCCCCTCTCTCTCTCTCTCTCATTTTATTCATTTTTAAATTGTAAAATTATGTTTCAATTCCTAATCTAGTTTTCAAGAATCTACCTTGTATTACACTTATTTATTCATCTTTACAGTACTTAGACAAAGTTTATTTATTCTTGCGATGTTATTCAACAATAATATGCTCTGTATAAAACTATAACTTACAACTTTAACTTACTCTCACTTTAGTCTTTAGTTTCTTACTTCATTGCCGATTTTACAATAATTTGTTATTTTTATTTTATGTATGATGGGACTATAAACAAATATTACAATTGTAATTACACGTTAAATGTAAGACAGGTCCTAGCGTCCTTATATTCCCGTGTATTTTAATAAATAAATCATTAATCAATCAATCAATCTATCACTGTAGTTTTCGCGATCTCTCTGTTTCTTTTATGCAGTTTTTCATTTTCCGCTCTCTTTCAATATATCTGTCTCTCTCTACCTATCGCGGTCTCTGTGCCTTTTTTTGGAATTTTTCATTTTCCGCGCTCGCACTCTCTCTCTCTCTCTCTCTCTCTCTCTCTCTCTCTCTCTCTCTCTCTCTCTCTTAATCCATATATTCTATCTATCTATTTTTCGTGATTTCTTTGGGTTTTTCATTTTCCGCCCTCGCTCTTTCTCTCTCTCACTCTCTCTCTCTCTCTCTCTCTCTCTCTCTCTCTCTCTCTCTGCCTATCTGTTATCATCTCTCGCAATCTTTCTGTATCTTTTTTGCCATTTTTCATGTTTCGCCCTCGCACTTTCTCTCTCTCTCTCTCTCTCTCTCTCTCTCTCTCTCTCTCTCTCTGTCTATTTATCTATTCTATCTATCTCTCGCGATCTCTCTGGGTCTTTTTTTCCGTTTTTCATTTTCCGCCCTCGCTCTTTCTCTCTCACTCTCTCTCTCTCTCTCTCTCTCTCTCTCTCTCTCTCTCTCTCTCTCTCTCTCTCTCTCTCTCTCTCCCTCTCTCTGCCTATCTATATATCATTTCTCGTAATCTCTCTGTATCTTTTTTGCCATTTTTCATTTTTCGCCCTCCCACTTTCTCTCTCTCTCCCTCTCTGTCTATTTATCTATCTCTCGCGATCTCTCTGGGTCTTTTTTTCCGTTTTTCATTTTCCGCCTCCCCACTCACTCTCTCTCTCTCTCTCTTTTTGTTTTTACGTTTTCATTTTCCACCCTCTCATTCTTTTTCTCTCTATCTATCTGCCTATGTAATTAATTCTCTCTCCATATAGTTTTCAACTATATTTGTTTACCTTTCTGTCCTTTTCTTGTACTCTTGCCAACTCCCACTCTCTCTTTATTTATCTCACTTTATTTATGTATCTGTTTATAATTGAATCTATCTCATTCCCATTTTAAATATATCTATTCTTTTATTGAGACCTGGATGTAGATAAGCAGACAGATGGTAATTTGTAAAATCAGAAGTCATGTTAACCTCAGTTAATCCGGCGTTTAAAACAAAAAAAATTTTTTTTTTTTGGAAGTACTCTTTACTACTTTGTACTCCACTGCTTAAGTTACAGTTATAAGTCTGTCAACGCACTGTCGCGGCCACGAAGACCTTTTCCATTAATTCTAAGTTTGTATACTTCATTTTCTGATTTTGTGAGTGAGCTTGTTTCGATATTTTTTTTCGAAAAAAATGTAATGTGAAAATAAAGCAGTAAATTTTTTAAAATACCACGAAAAAGTTGAAAAAGTGCACAAATAATGACAAAAATAATAAAAAGTATGTATTTTACAGAAAATAAACATTTTTTTTAAATGTTATTGTTTGACTAATTTTTTCCATCCAAACGATCCGTCTAGATGTTTTTTTCTTACAGTTTCAACAATTTTCCGCGGCATAATAAAATTAGGTGAGTTGAGAGGGTATAATAAAATAATCTGATACAGAAGTAAATAAATATTACGTCCTCTAAAATATTAACGTATTATTATTTTCAGAAGAGATATGTAGATGGTTTTTTTTCAGTTATCTCGATGATAACTACATGTAATTTTTATTTGAACAGTATCGAAATTTTATTCCATGATGTATGGGTCTCTTACTCTTCATCCCAAGGATTTTTTTTGAAAATGTGGTCAATTTTCGCGCTAGTTAGGCATGAAAAATATCAAGTTAACAAGTTTTGTTTCAAAATCCTTCCGAATTTAAAAATAGTAATATTTATTATGTAACATGGCTTTTTTAAAAAAAGGCTTATTGTTTTTCGATCTTTATAATTTGCGAGTTAATTTTTTTTTTTAAATTTCCTGCTTTATTTGCCCATTAATTGTTTAATCAGCAAGCTGCATGACCAAGATGGAAGAAGGACTCAAGATTGTCGATGCAAAAATCTTAAAAAAAGCTATATACAATGAAAAATTTAAAATTATTATTATTTTTTAAATAAGACTCTGATGATGAGTGTAAATTCCTGAACGTCCAAAAAGTAGGCAACCGAATTTTTATTCCATGATCTGTCTTTTACTCTTCTTCCCAAGGATTTTTTTGAAGATGTAGGCAATTTTCCGTAGGATTTTTTTTAAATCGGGGGAGGCGAAAGAGAAACCAAAGGAGCCGGTAGTAAACCACAAATTTCCTGTAGGCCCTTGAAACATCGCCCACTCCATTTGATGTTTTCGAGTTCTTAAAACAAACATCATCCCGAGTTATAACAAACATAATGACTGGCGAGTCCATTGATACGAAGATGAATAATCAAGATAAATAGAAGAAAAGAAAAAAAAGCAAGACGGCGCACGGTGGAAGAAGAAAAAAAAATCAGGGATTCCTGATGATGATCATCCGGCGGAATGGAAGGAAGTGGAAGTCAACCCCCGGCGCGCTCCCACCACCCGGCCCGGCTCGTCTCGCTGTTGTAGCAGTCAGTCGCCAAGGCAACTCTGGTAAGACATGTCCTTCGGTGCCCACTCGATGTAATTTTGACACGCGGTTTTTTATTTTGGTGAATTTGTTTTTCTCTCTTCAAGCCGTGAATTTCTATTATGCCGGAGCTTTGTTGGATAAATTAAGGTGAGCCGATTTATTTCCAGAACTTTGTCTTTTTATAGAGACTTGGTTGAAAGTGACCGGCGTTTCTTTCCTTCATCAATTTAAAACAGACGTATGTAAAATTTAAAACAAAATCCCGAATAATAATCATTCATCAAAATCTCAAAGGATAAAATATTTCATCTTTTATTTTTTCAGTGTAGTTTGGTCGTTTTCGATCATCCTAGTTTGCCAATTCTCGTTAGTCTGGTCTGTCAGAATTGTTTCAGTATTTCACTCCAGACAGATAAAAGGGGCAGGACTGACAAACACACAGAACAACAAATAAAGATGCCCAGTCTCGTCTGACAGGCCAGATAATCAGAAACGACCAGACTACAATTATCAGTTTCATCGAATAAACTACACGTACAAAACAAGACCGACACAACATAAAAATTACTATAGAGAAAATCTATAGTAACAGGTAAACTTGGTTCAAACTCATCAGATTTTGACATGAGCCATTGACAACCGAAAAATCCAAATAAGAACGATAGACCACACAATCACAAAACGTCAGCGCTGAAACACAACAAGCCTACAAAATAAACACAAGTATCACAATAATAAACAAAAATTCTACAATAAGGCAAAAACAATACACC